TCGACTATGAACTTTTTCTTTGCGAATAGCTTGCAGTTAATAAATTAAAATATTTAAAAAAAAGAGAAGCAATTAATTTATTAGAAACAAAAATTCTGCTGATTTCACTTTGTACTCAATTCTATATTCTGTTTGTTTAATTACTCTGTGTTCTATATATAAGTTTTTAAATTTTTATTATTTTACAATTTCGCTAAAATTAATAATACAATTAATACATTTATAATAATAACACAATTAATAAGTTAATTAATAAGTTATTAATATTAATAAATTAAATTAAATTAATATAATTAATTAATAATTAATATCATTATATTAATATTATTAATTAATATAATTATATTAATATTATTATATTATTATATTATATTATATATTATATATATTATATATATTATATATATATATTATTATATTATATTATTATATTAATATTATTACTGAAAATATTTTTAGTTTTTTACAGTTAAGTGAGTGACGTGGTCTAGTGGTTAGTGCGTTGCACTTCAAGTGCGTTGGTTCTAGGTTCAATTCTCCTCTCCTGCGTTAATTTTATTTATTCTACGTTAAACTTAATTTTTTTTGTATTATCCTATGTATTTTTTCGTATATAATATATATTGAAGAATCAAACTTATTATTAAAAATTATCAAAGAAAGTAGTAGAACTCTAAACCTTACGCTATACTTTTTTCTAGTTTTTGCGTACCTATATTGTTTCTTTAAAAATCGACACTTTTTTGTTGTTATCTTTACCGGTTTTCATTTAATTGTTATTCTAAACCGAACAATATTGCTGGAACGGAAGGGCAATCACCTGTTCAGGAAACTAATCGTTCGTATCGCAAATTGCAAGCTGCTTATTTTAAACTCACGTATGTACGATGCGTATAAATGCACGTGTGCACTTCTTGAATTTTCTTAAGAGGGGAATGATACAGTGTGTGATTCACTACTGACGTGAATCATTCACAATAAACTTGCCGTTTAGATAATATTTTCGCGAATTCAAACGTATTATTCTCAATTATCGATTCTACAAAAGCAAAAAAAAAAAAAAGTTGTTATCTTTATGCAATGTTTCCTTTATTCAAGACTACCAGTTTTATACCAAAGAAAGAAAGAGGAGAATTTAGTCTTTATTTTTTTATTACAATTAAATAAAATAAATTAGCTGCAAAATTAAATATTAGAAGTTAATTTCTGGATATTTACAATTTTTTTTTTATATTCGCTGCAAATTTATTTAAACGAAAAATTTTCAGAGGTTAACCTAGGCAACTCACGTATACTACGATAGTCTAGAAAAAAAATTGCATTGCAACACGCATACTACACGTTTGGTGCAGAATAATGCAAACTAATTCTCAAGATCGACTATATCATGTTCTATGAATTGTAAATGTTTTCTTGTCAATTTCAGTTAAATGCAAAAGTCTTTTGAAAATACAATTTTCTATAAAATGCAACAATATAGAAATGAATAATATATTTAAAAATTTTATACATTCTTTAAAATACAAAAAGATAGAAAAAGATACAAAAAGGTACAAAAAGATACAAAAAGATACAAAAAGATACAAAAAAATACAAAAAGATACAAAAGGAATAGTTTAAAAGAAACATATTTTTCATTTTAACTGCGATGTACTGCGAATGTTACAAAAATTGAAAAAAGAAATGTATTCAAAGCTCATAGATTACGGATGGAAAATTATTAACCGATTGAATTATATCTTATATTGAAATTATTATTATTATTATTAAGCATATAGTCGGCATATTGTCAACGTGAAATTGATATCCGAGCGGAAACTTCGATATCTCATCATATAACGGAGGGATCGTTTTGTTGTCAACGAGACGGTGTTAAATCCCTTCTCGTGTCGCTTGTTAAACGCTACCCATTTCTCGACTCGTATGACCTAATATTTTCTTAAACTACATGCACGATAAATCTTATATCTTATTTGATAAAAAGTCTTCGGTACATACAACTTGCGACAGATCCTCAATAACCATAATTGTATTCATGATAAAGAATAATCAGTAGGTACTGAGGGAAAAATTATACATATGTTAGCAAAACGAACGTGGGTGATTTTTTTTATACCTACGTCAAGTATTTTTAGTTCCAGTGAATGAATTTGCTAATATTCTCTTCTCTTTCTCTATACTGATCACATTTTACTAATCAAACTCTTAAATTCTAAATTTTATTTTTATTATTTTATTATTTATTTTATTTTATTTCGACTAGTTTTATTTGACCCAATTTCTATTTGGCCTAACTTCACTTGACCTAATTATTATTTCGCTATAGTATAGAAAATGAAAGAAAGAAATTATTTTAGGAACCAGTAAAAGTATTTAAAAATAGGGACTTTACGGACCGAAAATGAAAAATTAGGGACCAATTACTGACAAAAATATAACCAGTCAATTAAATTATTGTTTTCAAGAATTTTTAAATAAAATTCTTCTTTAAGGGAATTTGTACCATGATGACGTCACAGCTTTAGAACACACGCTTTGCACAAATTGTGACGTCATAATGGTTCAAATGCCCTTAAATCGATTATTTTTATAATAATTTTGGACAAAGTTCTTTGACAATTTTTAAATCCATTTGTTCACAATATTCAATTTTACAAAATTTCAATTATTCGTAAACTCTTCAATTAAATATATATTAGAAAATAAAAACTTAAAATAATATAAAAAAAAATTTTTTTTTTAAAATAATTTCAAAATTCAATTATTTCTAAAAATTCACGTTATATCATTGCTTTTAATATTCAATTATAATCTAAAATTTTAACTAACAATTCATTTTTAAATCAATTTCTATTAGTAAATTCAATTATTTAAATAAAAAAATTAATAATTTATTAAACAATTGAATGTTTTTTTAAAATTCAATTCTCAAAAAGAATTTTATCAACAAATTTTTAAATAATTGAATTCTTTCGACAAATTTTAATAAAATTTTTAAGGACAATTACATTTTAGAAAATAATTAAATATTTGTGTAGAACTTTGTCAAAATTTTTTTAAATAATTGAATTCTTTCGACGAATTTTAATAAATTAAAAAAAAAATTTTTTAGAGAAATTTGATTAAAATTGTATTAAAAATAATTGAAATTCAGTGGTGAGTTTCATTATTTGTGAAAATAATTATTGAAGTTTTAAGAAGAATTTTATTATTTTTTAACAATATTTAATTTTTAAGAAGAATATTATTACTCTTGAAAATAATTGAATTTCTGCAATAATTTGTAACTTTTGCAAAATAAAATTTTTTTTCCTGTTTTTAACTAAAATTCTTCTAATAAATATATTCATTATTTTTAATTTTTTTTTTTTTAAAGTTCTTTGAGAATATTCAAATTCATTTATTTACACTTCAATTTTACAAAATTTCAATTGTTTGTAAATTCTTCAATTGAATATATATTAGAAAATAAAAACTTCAAATAAGTTCAAAATTAAATTTTCTCAAAAAAATTAATTCCACAGAATTATTGGTAAAAAATTATGAAAAATTCAGATTTTTAATTGGAAATCCACTTTTATTAGAAAATTTTACTAGAATTCAATTATTTAAACACAAAAATAAATAATTTATTGAATATTTGAATGTTTCTTAAAATTCAATTTTCATAAAAAATTTTATCAACAAATTTTTAAATAATTGAATTCTTTCGACGAATTTTTTTGATTAAAATTGTATTAAAAATAATTAAAATCATGCGATGAGTTTTATTATTTATGAAAATAATTAAAATTTTCCCAAGAATTTTATTAAAATTTTTTTCTAAAATAATTGAATTTCGAAGAAGAATTTTATTATTTATAAAGATACTTGAAATTTTGACAAGAATTTTTTTTTTTAATTTTTGAACATAATTGAATTTTTGCGAAGAATTTTATTACTTTTGAAAATAATTTAATTCTTTCAACGAATTTTATTCAAGTTTATAAAAATAAATGAATTTCTGTGAAGAATTTTATAATTTATATAAATAATAAATTGAATTCTCGCAACGAATTTTATTCAAGTTTATAAAAAGAATTGAATTTCGGTGAAGAATTTTATTATTTATAAAAATAATTGAATTCTTGAAAAGAACTTTGTTAAATCTTTTTAAATAATTGATATTTTCCGAAAGATTTTATGAAATTTTGTATTTTAAATAATTGAATTCCTGTGAAAATTTTATTACTTATGAAAATAATTGAATTATTTCGAAGAAATTTATTAAAAATTTTGTAAATAATTGAATTCCTGTGAAATTTTGCTAACAATTTTATTAAAATTTTTTATAATAATTTAATTTTAAAGAAGAATTTATTTATTTCTAAAGATAATTGAAATTTTTTGAAATTTTTAAACATATAATTGAATTTTAGCGAAGAATTTTATTACTTTTGAAAATAATTGAATTTCTGCAATCATTTGTATAATTTCTCCAAAATTCTCCAAATTATATCTTACACTTTACAAACTTTTCGTTTTTTCTCCATCAAATTACGGACTTTACGGACTTTTTTTTTTAAAAAAAAACTGACTTTTACGGACTTCAAACAAATTTACGAACCTTTACGGGATTTACGGACCTAGTTCGTGCCCTGATATTTGGAAAGTAAATCGAGCTGATTAGAGGTAAATTAGAGCTGATTGCAGGTATCAAAGTGGAAGCACATAACGATTAGATTTGAAACACCCAAAATCGAATCTAAATTGAAACTTTTTACAGCATTCAATTTGACCTAATTCCTATTTTTCTTAATATAGTTCTGACCTAATTTTAACTTGCCTTCAGGTCAAGTATAGATAAGGACAAATAAGAATCAGACCATTAGGCTAAATGAGAATTCGATAAGAAAAATTAGGAAAAATCAGAATTAACCACTGAAATAGTCATTTAAAAATATAAAAATTGGTCTAAATTCTATATTCTATTCTTCTAACAATTTTTATTTATTTTACAGAAGCTTTTCCGTTCGTGGAACATGAATGTAGAGTAGGACCGGAAATGTGTAAAGTACTGGCCAAAGATTGTGCCGAATATACAAGACTTCGCGAATGCTGTTGTCATGCTCATTTAGCTTCTTATTGTAAGTACATACAAATAAATATCTATTTTTACTTCCTATGCAAAATTATGTCTCTGTTTTTCTCGTTTAAAAAAAAAGAAAAAAATCTGCATGTTTGGGGAAAAAAATTTTTTCATAAATTAAATCTTAAAGTAAAAATAAGAGGAGAGCATTTTTTATAATCCACGTAATCACTTTTCAGAATACAAAATAATTGAAATAATTCATTTTCTTTTTCAGGGAAATATTTAGCAGGAGATTCATCACGCATGGAGATAAATTTTACAACGATCTTGACCGTCCTCCTGATGCTTAAATTATTTTCATAATTATAGCTTTTTACACCAAAAAAAAAGAAAAAAACTGTACAGCGTCATTTATTTTAATAAATTATTTTTTCAATGCTATAAATAAGTTTTCTGTTCAATATAGTATTATTTCATTGTTTACTTCTTTCACATTCGCAATAATTGATAATTATATTGTTAACATAAAATTATCAAACTGCAACCAGATACCAAAAATGTGGTTCCAAAAACTAATCCTAATTTTTGGCATCAATATGATTCAATTTAGTATGATCCAATTTGATACATTCAAGCTGAACTGTGCAATTACGGTTTTAAACAATTTAGAAAAATTAAAAAAAAAAAATCTATTATTTAACGTCGATAACTTCTATTAAAATTGAAGACCATTTTTAAAACAGTTTATAAAAAAATGTTATTTAAACCCTAAAATATTTACTTGTTCCAAAATATTAATAAAGGATATCAATTTTTAAACATACACGAAACATGCAGTAAAAAAAAATGTTAACGACTGCAAAATAATAGAAAATATGTTTAAAAACAATCATTTTTTAAAAAGAGAATTTTAAATTTTTCAAAAATGTGAAATGTTGCTTTTTTGTTATTACAATCAAAGTTGTGTATAATTGTTCTTATGATAAAATGATAGGACAGAGAGCTTTATTATCGACGCAAGTTTAGCACTATAATTTAAAGTTTTCTTGGTAATACTTGAAAGTAATAGGATATAAAATCGATTACGCAAATTACCATGCACGCAAAGCATTGTCTACATTTTATCATTATTATACAAAGGTCATGTATCCTTTGAGCATTTTGTAATTTCATGGGAATCATTAAAAGTTCAGGGATTAATTTCCTATCAACTATTAGGTAGTTTAATAATGACTAAATTACAAGGGAAACAAAAAAAAATTTATTTAATTCAAATAATCGGTTACTTGCGCGCGATTACTTATGACTATACTATCAAATGAATATTTAATTTTACCAAGTAATTATTTATTCCAAGTAACAATATTTATTTAGAAAAAAAAACGATTTGTGTTATTGAAACAAAAGCAATTTTTTCCAAATAAATATTTACCTGCTATGTCAAGATTTTAATAAAATAAATCGTTTTAAAATTTTTTAGAAAATTAGGCGAAAATTTTAAACAGTAAAAAGTAATCAAATTTTTAAAAAATGCGAAAAATGTTTCAAAGTTTAATAGCAATTACTGAATAATTGAAAGAAAAAATTGAACAAAATAAAAAAGAAAAAGAATCTAGTTACTAATTAAGAAAGGCAATAATTTTAATTAGAAAGTACAGAACAATTTGCGTTATTTTGTCAACTGATCTAAAAAAACTCTTGTTTTTCAAGATCAGTTAACAAAATTTTTACAGTCAGTTAACTTTTTTTCTGCCATGCTCCTTTAAATTCAAGAATAGAGTGGAGGATTTTCGCAGTTATGAATAACGGAATCGCGTTGATCTACATAGAAATCTTAGTCCTTATTGTCCACAATTCTTTTAAGTTTCAAGTGCTAAACGTGGACCACAAACAAAAAGGGAAATTTATTGAGGAAAAAAATCCCTAGCGCAAAAAAACAATTAGAAAAATTTTAAACAATTTAATTTTTAAAAGCATATTAGTAAAAATGCCATTTTTTAAAAAAGTGATTCTTCTATTTGTTTCTATAAATTTTTGTTTCGCCGACGACGAACGTAAGTAGAACATTTGTTTAGTAGAATATTTATAATTCACAAAATCACAAGAATAAAAAAGATGATTAAAAACTTTTTTTTAAAAATTAATAATTGAGAAAATTATTTTTAAAAAAACGCTACTAATTAAAATGAAAATACAATAATAATTAATTAATCTACATTTAGATTATTTAAAAAAAGAAAATGAGAATAAGAGAGTAAATATTTTCCTGAAATAGCGAAAAATATTTACTAACAATTTTCCTTGTTTTAGAAAAAATAATTAACAATTTATTATTCTGCTTACAATTTATTAGATTTTATCTTTTTTAGCTATTTTAATTTATTTAATAACATATTTATCAAAAGCTTTTTTTTAAACTCTATCTATATACCTATCTATAAATAAAACTGTGAATTAAAATTAACCTTCTAAATCGATATTTTTACACTACTCGGTCTAATTTTAAAATTCAAAATCCATATTCATGAAGTATAGAAAATTTAACTATCAATAATCGCTAAAATTACGAAAAGAAAATTTTAATTTTAGTGCCCCTGAGTGTTGAGGACCACAACACGACGACTGTAATGCCAAGTGGTCGTCAGTTAGGCGTCATTTCTTTCTTACAAAAACTGATACCGACTCAAGACCCAAAAACGTACATATCATTACCATTTAAGTAAGTATTTGATATATATTTTTTTTGTATAATATTTTATATTTTTATTTTAATTTAAGAATACATTTTTTGGTCAAGGAACTATAAAACATTATAAAGGGACTATAAAGATCTATAAAGCATTTACAGGGTTTCTACAAATTTAATTGAAAATAATTAATTTATTTCAAATATTTTATTACAATTCTTGAAAATCATCTTTTGAAGAATTTGAATTGTAAATTTTGAAAATAATTCAACTATCAAAAATTTTAATAAAAAATATTTAAACTTAAATTTAAAAATGAAAATAAACTTCTAATTTTTAAAATTCAATTTAATATTTTCAATTATTACATATTTCCAAAAATAATAATATTTTAGAATAATTTTTAACATTTTGGAGAAAACAATAATGTTCAAAATTTTTAATTAAAATTCATCAAATAATTCATCAGTTTTTTTAAATTGTACAAAAATTCCTTTAAGAAATACAATTATTTTCGAAAAATTACATTAATAAAATATGTTAAAAACTAATTATTACAATTGTTTTGTAATAATTTTTTAAGATTTAAAATTTACATTTTGGACTTATTAAATTTTTTGAGAAATCATGGTCCTGTTTATAATTAAAATTCTTTAAAAACTTGATCATTTTTATTTATACTTTTCAAGAATTCAATTATTTTTAAAAGATTTTATCAAATTTTAATTTTTCAAAGATTTTAATATGAAACCTTTTCAAAATTCAATTGTTTCTAAAAATTCACGCTATATTGCTTTTAATATTCAATTATTATCTCAAATTTTAACTAAAATTAATTTTTAAATCAATTTTTATTAGAAAATTCTACTAAAAATCAATTATTTAAATACAAAAATAAATAATTTGATGAATGTTTCTTAAAATTCAATTTCCATAAAGAATTTTATCAACAAAATTTTAAATAATTGATTTCTTTCGACGAATTTTAATAAAATTTTTAAGAAATAATTACATTTTTCGAGAAATTTGATTAAAAAATTGTATTAAAAATAATTGAAATTCAGCGATGAGTTTTATTATTTGTGAAAAAAATTAAATTTTAAGGAAGAAAGAAATTTTAATTTTAATGAAAAATCTTTAAAGGTAAATTTAAAAATGAAAATAAGCTTCTAATTTTTTAAAATTCAATATTTTTTAATATTTTTAAATACATATTTCCAAAAATAATAACATTTTTGAATTATTTTTAACATTTTGGAGAAAACAATAATGTTCAAAATTTTTTATTAAAATTCATCAAAAACTTCATTAGTTTTTTTAAATTATACAAAAATTTCTTCAAGAAATACAATTATTTTCGAAAAATTACATTAATAAAATATGTTAAAAACTAATTATTAGAATTGTTTTGTAATAATTTTTTAAGATTTAAAATTTACATTTTGGACTTATTAAATTTTTTGAGAAATCACAGTCCTGTTTATAATTAAAATTCTTCAAAAATTTGATCTTTTTTATTTATACTTTTGAAAAATTCAATTATTTTTTAAAGATTTTACCAAATTTTAATTGTTTGGAAATTTTTCAAAATTGGAAAACAATTTAATAATAATAATTTAATATGCTTAATAATTTATTATGCTTCAAAAATTATTTAAAAATATTTTTAAAAAATTAATTGTAAGAATTTCTTTATTATAATTTTTTGAAAATATTATACCTTAATAACTTAAAAAAAACTATGGAGAGTCACAATTATTATAAAAAATTGAGTTTATGTATTTAAATAATTGAATTCTATAGAAGAACTTTTGGAAAATTATTTAAATTAATTAATTCAGAGATGAAGTTTAGTTGAAAATTGCAGAAAATATTTAAATTCAGGAAGGGTTATAATTGTAATTTTTATAAATATTATTGAAATTCGTAAATTTTACTCATTTTTCGTAAACATTAATATTTTTCTACTGTAAAAAGAATTTTGTTATAGGGAAAGTAATTTTAATGTCAGTAAATTGTCAGGGAAATTGATAAACTGAAACTTGTGACCACTCTGAGTAATAAAAGAGCGCAAATTTCAATCACACGGGTTTATAATAAAAATTAAAACATTTACATAATTCGATTAGAAATTCCATGAGATTTCCATGATCGCATTAATCAAAATGAAATCCTATGACAATAATTCCATGATTTCCAGGTTTTTCATGACTTGTAGAAACCCTGATTTAGTTTCGCTTGTTCAATAAATAAATATAATGAAAAATAATATTAAATTAAGGAATTAAAAATAATATTAAATAAGAGAATTAAGAATTATTTGTAAGGAATCTATGTTGTGTTTTATTAAAGCATATGAATTTAATATCTTTAATTTTTCTTCTACTGATTATAAAACTTATACCTTTTTAAATTATATTCATCAATTAATAAATAATAATAGTTGATAGTCTCGTTTGATCAATAAATTAATAAATAAATAAATATAATGAAAAATAATATTAAATAAAAAAATTAAGAATCATTCACAAGGAAGCTGTTGTCTTTTGCCTAATTAAGCACATGAATTTCTTATTTTCAATTTTCTTCTACTGATTATAAAACTTATTTTTTAATTATTAATCAATTAATAAGTAATAATATTAATAATTGATTAATTATTAATTATTAATATTATTAACAAATAATTATAATAATATTATTACTCAATTAATTGTAAGTATGATTATGATTTTTAATCATTCTTCTGAATTAATGTCTAGACACTTGGAAAATAGATATCTTATAATTAAAATTACAAAACTTAATTTCTTACTAGAGAATAATTTTTTTCTAATTATGCTAATTTTCTACTAATGACTAATAAACAATAAACTCCATTTACAGTCAAAGATGCCCATTGTGCGACAGTTCAGTTTATTCCTATTGTGGAGAAAGACTTTTGCACGACGCCTGCTGTTGTACTAAGACATCTAATTATCAATTACCCTATCAATGTCAACTCGCCGATTGCAGCTTTCTACACGCGAATACTTGTCGCGAACATCGATTAATAGCCAATTGTTGTTGCAGCGATGAATATCGTTCGGTTTTGAAAAGTTTCAAATATTAATGCGAATGCCTACCATGACGCCTTAGTATAATAATTTTAGATTACAACACAATAAAATATTTATGATTATATATGTTAAATATTTTTAATTATTAAATTATTAATAATAATAAATTATCGAAAAAAATTTCAATAATTTTTTGACTTCTTTCAAGTGAAACAACTTTCTTTTCAAGTAAAATAAAAATAGTTTTGACAAATGTATACTTTTTAAGTTTTATTGTCAAGGTAATACGTAAATTTTTCTCAAGAGAAGAAAAGTCAGTTTTTCCAGACAAATCTAGTTAGAAGGCATACATGTATACCTAATTCAAAATATTTATCATATCAGACATAAAATTTAAGGACAAAAAATTAAATATTATACATTACATTAGAAATAAATTAAATTTATTTAATAAACCGAAATATAGGCGCTAAAATTTCTTCTTCTTTCAATTAACATTATCTGCCCTTTTATATGGTATAAATAAAATATGAGAATTTCAAAAATCTTTTAGCATTAATGAATAGTTTTTGTATACATTATACTTTGTTAATTTATTAATGATTACAATTTATTTATTTATTTTTTTTGAAACTTTTATATAATAATGATGCTCTTTAAGAAACACACTTATCTCAGTCTCATTCCAAATGAAGACACTCATTTTGTCCATAAATAAAGAACGCAGCATATTAATGCAGTTATACAGAAATGCATTAAAATGGTCCCATTTAAGTCAAATGAAGGTCAAACACGTGCTTCTCTTCGCCGAAAAAAATATATACATTCTAAAATTATAAGAATATATCGATGACATTTATTTCAATGCAATTTATTGTGATTTAATACAATATTTCATTCTTAATTTAGTGTATTTATATTTTTTTTAAACTGACTCTACTATTCCATTTTTTTTTTAAGAAAAAATTTATAAAAAAAGACAATGTTAAAATTTAAATAATAATAACTTATTTTAATTACTACGGAGAATTTTGTGAAAAGATTGAATACACAATTCTTAGAAACATAAGATAACAATATTATAATAAAACAAAAGAACATTGAGTCAGTACCTAAAAATTCTATTTAAAAAAAATAAAATGTAAACATTCCATAAACAACATAGTATAATAAATGTATATCACTATCATTAGCTTTGAGGAAAGATTCCTTTTTCTCACATTTTAAAAAACGATTAATTTTTTAATTTTTATGAAATTTGAATAAATCCACGTGGCCAGATATACAGAAATATGACACATTTAAAAATAATGAGATAATATCATTTTTCAGAAAATTTCAAGCTTACGTAATATTAGAACAATTTTTCCTAATCGCTTTCCATATTTTTCAGTTTCTTTTTAATTTTCCGCGCCCAAAAAGTATTATACCTACAGATCTTTTCTTTCTCGAGTAAGATCTTTTTAAATTGAATCATCATTGCTTGCATAACGGAAAAAAAGAAAATGAAATATTAAAGCCGGATGATGTCATTATGGAAAACAAAATTTTCGAACTATTTTTGCCTTGAATCAAAATTTTCTGTCCAAAATCAAAACAGGATCAAAGATTAGATAATGATCCAACTTTTGATCCAATTTTTGAAGAAAAAAACCTAACGAACTAATTTTCGAATGAACAACTAATTCTAACATATAACATCTGTAGCTATTTCATTAAAAATATCACCGAATACTGGAGATTTGAATGCGAACAATGAAAGAACATACAAAAATACACCTCTCTGAACATAAACAAATTTAGAGAAAAATTTGTCAAGAAATTACATAACTAATAATAATCATAAACGAAAAAAATTCGTAACACAATAAAAACAATTTTACATAACTCTCTCTCTCTCTCTAAAAAAAAGTTGTTACAAATTTCCTGTACTTTGTACTTTGCACCGCAAATTTTTCTCTCAATTCAATAATCTAGACACAAAACAAATTGTCTCTCTAAGAAAGAAGATCAACAACAAAAAAAAAATAATTTTTTGTTGATAAAATCTAAAATCCCTTATCTTGATTATCTATTATTATTAGCTAAATCTCGATACCTCTAAAGGTAGGGGATTTTTTTTTTTCAATGATTATAGTATCTGTTGCATGAAAGGATGCAGGAATTATTTTTTTTCCTGATGAATATTCGCCGGCAGTAAAACTAAATATACCATCGAATTGAATGCAGTTTAGAGATAACCGTCTGAAACTGACATTGTTTTGCCAGGGGTTGTCGCCCTGAAATCGTTGGCACGTGTAACCCTGCCACGTCCTTGGAATTATAGACACTGGGGACCAGGTAAAATATTTTCACCAAAAGAATTTTCTCAACAAAAAAATTTATACAAACAAAACAACAACAGTTGGGAATTTTTTTTATTAATAGATTTTTAATTTTTAACTAATCTAAATGAAAACAATTTTCTAATTGGAATTATGTCAAAAAGTCCAATGCTATTAATCGGACTTTTTGACATGATTTCAATTTTGAAAGTAAAAAATAAAAATTTAAAATATTCAGTAATTAAATTTTTATTTTAAGTAAAGGATTTTCGAAGTTACAAACTAAAGTATCATTGTAAAAAGAAAGTGCTAAATTAGAGCTGATTTCTGGTAATAAACTGGAACCAATTGACTCCTTAATACCCAAAATTGATTCTAAATTGATACTTATCTTTTTACGGTGATAATAGAATTTCCTGTAGTTTATCGTCAGAGGAATTAAATTGAAAAAATTGAAAAGAAAACTTATTGCATAATTGAAAGTTCTCTCCTTTTTTCAGAAAAAAATTTCCGAATTGCAAAAAATGAATATTTTAAGGGGGAAATCCTCGACAATGGCCTTCGAAAGTCAGATCAGGTGATAGGAGATGAGGTAACGAAATTTCGGCACATAATACACGTTATGTTGCATTTCGAAGCGATTTCATGAAAAAAAAACATGCACTCGAAAGCGACCCGTCGTCCTTACTCAAATTTAGGGTTTAATAAGTGGGTTATTTCAAATATACAATCCGAAATCATATTCAATTTTTACACTCTTCCTCGAAGCAATATAAACGAACCGAAAAAATTACAATACCACAAACATAATAATTAGTAACGATAAAGCAACTTTTTTTTCCAAAACACAATTTCACCAAAGAAGAAAAGTAATCAACGAAAACAGCCCATCGAGAACAAACTAAAACTTTCTTTTCTTTAAATTGCATACCGCGTATATAAACAGGAAGAGATCACAACAAAAATGTGTGATTCCGAATTTTGTTGCATGAATGAAGAAAGAAAATTTCATCAACCATTTTGCTTTCAATGAAATATGAATAAAATGAATAAAATAAATATAATAATCTATAAATAAAAACAAAAAAATATGCAAATTTTAAAAACCAGTTTGAGGCGGAAACAATTTTTTTTCATTGACTGGATATATAATCGCGAAAGTTTGGACATTATATGCGCTTACGTATCTGTCTATATGTCTGCAAAGTCTGTGAAAGAAGTTTTTATTTCATTTTGCAAACTCAATACACAAGATGAAGTCAGATCGACACGTGCGCTACAAAAGAGCGCATTCAGTATATGGTACATATAACCGGTCAATTTCTTTTATTGATCAAACTATTTCTGAATCGTAAGTACGACCCAGTTTCTTGAATCATCATCATCGCGGGAAAAAAAAGAGATTTCAATTTCAAAAAAAAGAAGTTTCAATCAACTTGAAATATAAAATAAGTTAATATCACTCCCCTTCAAGAAAAGTATTGAAATAGTTAACGTTTTATATAAAATGATTGATCAGCATTGTCAGATAAATCTCTAATGTATAATTGGATCCAATGAATCTTATTCTTATTAAAGATAACAAAAAATTAATTTCTTTAATTAAACTAAAAATAAATAGAAAAAGAATTTATAAACGCTATTTATATCGCTATTTGATCAATGATTTAGATCAAGTAATTATTGTACGCAGACGAAAATTGTACCTAAATATCAATTTCTATGCAGACAATAGAATTTTCAAGAAGATACGATTTCAAGTCACGAAATTAATTAGAAACATTTATTTTCGCTAATGGATCTTAATTAGAAATGTTATCTATGCTAGTGGACCAGACAGCCACCCAATATATATATATGATCAATTCGAAATCAGCTGATATGCGAAAAGGAAACGCTACAATAATTATGCGATAAGAAATTTTTTGACATGCGAGTTATATCATAAGTTATGTATGTCATTATTATCAATTAACTCACTATCAAAAATTCGTCTACACTTAAGTGACTGCAAAATGTACTCGATATACAAAACTAGAAACGAAAAAAATTTATCGCAAACGATCATATTTATCATTAAAGATAATCAATATAATTTCACTTGTATGTAATTAATTTCACTGTATAAGACATTGCAGCTGTTCACTGACTCGTAAAAATTTATTAATAGCATTCTAATTATTCAATTTTATAATTAAACACAAGGAAGTAGAAAAAGGGACTAAAAAAAAATTTATTCCCGAAAAAACATGTGCGAGACACTTTGGAAACTTCGTTGTAGTTTTCCTATATAAATCGAAGGTCATAAAAATCGTGACGTTAGTCAAATATTTGTCGAATCCAAATTTCAAATATATGTAACACTCATTATTCTTTATGTAAATCAATAAGTTACGAAAAGCAAAAAAAAAAAAAATAATCAAACTATACCTGCTATTATTTTTCAGAAAGTAAAAAAGTGCGTCGCGTCTAATGATGACGTACATAATAGTCTTTAACAATTTTACAAAATGAAATAACAAATAATTCATGTCAATAAAGAAGTTTTAATTTACATTTTCTAAATGATTCAGGTTTTAAATTTGTCAAAAAGGCGACATTAGAAAAAAAAATGATAAATCGATTAAACAATCTTTAGACAACATAGAAAAAAGACGAACAATTTTTCTTTTTCCGCACGTAACGATTTTCCACCTTCGCGATACTACTTATTCCTTTTCTCTATTGCGTAAAATTTTCAAAATGAATATTAACAATGCCTATATATAAACAAAAAAGCAATTTTTCTTTTTTTGAAAAAATATTCTGAGATACTGTCCTTATTATAATTACACGTGGAAACCTGTTCACATTATGCAATACTGTTGTTTGCACGATCAATGATTCAAATAAGATGAGGTCGCACACGTGGAAGCCCATCTAATTTATACAAATATCGTGAGGAAAGTTCGATATCCGATCGAGAAAAGTTCACCGTACTGGATGTCAATAAGTTTTTTTTTATTATTATAATTTCGTAGAAATTTAATTGTGTGTGATTTAATGTATCCAATCTAGCAAAAATGCCGTATTAATTTATGCAGCATTATATAGGGAAACATGAATAAAATTATGACGAAATGATAATTTTGTCTAACAGTTTTTATTTGAATTGATTGTATACTAATTATTACCGCTCCTGTATTTTTAAGAATTCTTGTTTTTATTCTAAGGCTTTTTGGGAATTATTTACATCCACGTGCCAATCGAAATTTTTTCATCTGGGGTCTCAATTCAGATGGTATTACAATATGTAGATTTTCTATTTCTTTACATACTTGGTCATTTGGGCATACGAAAAATAGTTATTTTTATTAATCTTTCGGATTAACAATAACAACTTTGGATACTAAATTAGTTTACGAGAACTAAGCAATTGAAATTACTATCGATTTTAGCAACCAAGTTCACAAAATAGGAGGTTTGTGAACTCCAACAAATCCCTATCGCATCAGAGTCGAAAACTTATTTTCGCGAAAATCGAAAAGAATCAAAGATTACAGGTTGGAAATTTACTCTGAACTTTTTTTTAGCTCCCTAGATCTAGGTGTCCTATGAATGAAAGAATCGAAATTCGTGACCCGAAATAATAGTTTGAAGATGATTTGAAGACGCTAACTTAGGAGACATTGTCCGGTTGCTGTTCTGATTGGAATTCGTACAGTAATGTCTCAACTAATTTCGAAGCAAAATCTAGTAAAGTCTGAAATTTTTGAAGCAATACAAAGTCTACAACAGTTTGCGTTCTATCTTCAGGAATAATTAATAAATCCAGAAGTGTTATGCAAGAAATCAAAGAAATTTTCCACAAAGAATCCCTAATGACTGCTGAATCAGTTTCTTGTTACTCTTGTCAACAAAGGAAAATTCTACTACATTGTAAACTACAACATTGAAACGAATCATATTTTTATGAATTGCTGATTTATAACAAAAAGATTTTATAGAGTGCTGCTGATTTCCGATATAGATTATTTTCTAAACTAAACACGATTTGCAGATTCCAAGCGACGTTCCTGTTCGATTTTGGATCTAACAAAAAAAGAGCTTCCATTCGAAAATTAAAAATTTCTTGATAGAGAATTTCTCTTCTATTTTACAGAATAGCGAAAGTCTTAACCCTCCATCCGTCGCATGGTGAGAATTTCCCTCACCCAGTTTCTTTTTTTATTTATAACTTTTAAAATACAAAAAATTATAATTTCATATTCTCATTACCTTTCACAACACTCTTCTTCTTTACATTAAAACAATTTTTGTGTTTTTTTATATTTTAATTTCTTTGTTATTGAATTTGAAAGCAGCAAATGTCGAGGATTTTTGACGCGAAGTGAGGGAACTTCTCACCATGCGACTGACCGCGTATACTCGATTTCATTTGTCATTAATTTTTTATTTAAATAATTAACAGAAAATAAAAGTTAATTTTACTGCCAATAGGTTGTTTAGAAATTCTAATGAACATTTAAAAAAAAATTTGGCATTTTAAAACAAGTTTGGACTAATTTATGAGGGTGAGAATTTCTCTCACCTGCGACGGATCGCGTTACAAAAAAAGGTGCGACGGATGGAGGGTTAAGGGAAACAACTAAAATTTCGTTAATAGAGTGAAATTTATAGCCTTTTCTAGTGCATAATTTCCCTGTGTGTGAGTTTTAGTTTTTTCTTCTACTAATTATAAATAATACTTTTTAGCCTTGTTCTTATTCGAAAAGAATAGAATCATTTCGAATTTGTTGCGAATCATTTCTGATTTATCGTAAACCACTTTCGGATATTCTGAAACAAAAAACTATAATTTATTTTGGAATTCAAATTGAGTTGAATTTAATATTTCTAACTGCGACAATCGAAAATATTTTCACTGTCAGAAAAAATACTAATTTTCACACTACCAATAAAAGTTTAAAATAGCCAGATGATCAGTATTCAATTTATAATTAGATCCAAAACAACTCTTAATTTACTCCAGCAGTTAGAAATCAACGAAAGAAGAAAAATATTTCCTCGAAATTTTTGGTGGGACTAATTTAAAACTGCTCCTGCAAGAATCTTCATCTCTCATAATATCATATTCGCCTCGTGGATTTAAATCGTCAAGTCATGAAACACGTGTCGAATCCTAATTATAATAGTCAGAATAAAAAAAAATTGCTTTAAATCTTTGTTTTTTATCCTCATTTATCAAATTGAATGATATTTATTAGTCTGTTTATAATCAATTTTTATTATAGAAGACAATAGTAGTTATTTTTATATTTTTCGCCTTTTATATTTTCCCCGCAACGAAAATTTATGGAAATTCAACTTTTCACAGTATAATTTTCTAAAGAAGCATATATACTTTTCTTTGGGGATACATGTCATTTTTTTCCTTTTTTAATAACAAAAGCAGCCATAGAAGTGTCTATCGAGATGGAAAAAAAGAAACTCGTTGCAATTGAATTTCTACAGATACCAAAAAGAAAAAAAAAACATTAAACTAACAATGACAACTATAGAGATTTGGGATTTTGCGATAAGATATAATACTTTTTTCATTTTCATACTTGACATACTCTAGATTCAGTACTACATTCTCTCCTCTTTCTTTTTATTATTATTCTCGGAAAATACAAACTTGCAGATGTTATTCATTCATATATCGAATGTATTATGTATGAATATTTGATAATGAATTCTTCAGTTTAATTACACTAAATATGCTTTTTGAGTAATTTTCATATCCTGTTTGGTACCTATTGTCAGCTAATTTCTATTATCTTGATCTGTATTAACAGTGCAATTAAGTAGTAGAATTTTATTTTCATTTTTATCGAAATTCCTCTATTTTAAAGGAGTAAATTCATTTTTCAGAAACAAGTTGTTTGAGAAAAAAGGGGTTTGAGTAAAGAAAACAAATTTTCCGAAACAAAATAAATAAGACCATTAGCAGATAGGGAAATCCCGGTTCTCAAAGACCTACTACTAGTCTAGTACAAAAAAAAGGGTCTTCTCGTCTAGACTCCTCTTTTCTAAAACCAGACGTCCTTGGTTCTCGTTTTCAAACTCAGACTGCATAAAAATAAATGAATAAATCCTCTATTATCCTCCAGTTCTTAAATTTTTTAACATTATAAAGAAAGCATCTACGCCTAAATTTTTTTTAATAATATGCTTCTTTCATTCTAATTGGGAAAAGTGCACGCGTAAAATATTTAAAACAAACTTTGTTTGTATGTTCTTTCAAAGTTCATTTCATATTATTAAAAATCAATTAAGTCAACAATAGTAGAACTGATTAAATTTGAATCATTATGACGTTTTAGTTTTAGAACAAAATGCTTTGAACTGAACAAACTGTGACGTCATAATGATTCAAATGCCCTTAAGGACAATTTTTTAAAATTTTAGTTTTAGGTTTCTTTATGTTTATCTACTAAGGAACCTAAAAGTTTTGCTATCTTCTATAAAAACATTTTACGTTACGACAACTTTATTAATTGTTTATTCTTCAATATTTGAATTCAATATTTTTCATTGTTTAATAATTGTTTTCTTTTAATAATTGTTTATCGTCTAAATTGATTAATTGTTTATTCTTCAATGTGTATTGTTTAAAAATTGTTTTCTTTAATAATTGTTTATCGCCTAAATTATATTTTTTTTCTAAATTTCATGTAATTATATCTTTATTAGAAATTTCTAAATTTAATAGTTTCAATAATTGATCTTAATTTTAACAAAAAAAAATTCTCCTTTTTCTTGCAATTGTGAATCGAAGAAAAAACCAAAAATCATTTTTCGAAATCAACGGAATTGTGACTGAAAACATTTTTATATAGGTATATTAATCTAAACTCCGATAAGGTTTTATTCAAGTAAATTTACGAAAATTTGCATAACAGCTTATTTGTATAGTCTGCTTAAATGAAACAGAAATTCTTGTCTATATGAAATGAACTATCGAGTACGTATAGTGTAAGAAAAAAAAATTGTACATCGTAAGAAAAAAGGAAAGAGAATAAAACCACGAAATTAAATTAAAAAAAAACAAAAACTAAAAGGGGGTTGAAATGGTTCTGATGAATTTTAGGATAGGGTCAATAGAGTGATTCTTCCTTTTTTTTCTTTCTTTTTTGTGGTTCTGTGTCACGTGGACTGGATTGTAGAAAATCTTAACCGATCGTGTGCGTTATCGGGGAGGTTGAAGCCGACCACGTGTTTCTTTATTGGCTGAGAGCTAGCCACTGGTCGTGTGGTATATATACACACCGTTCTTCTCAGATTCACGATATACAACTCTACCGTCTTCTCATCGCGACTCAAAAAATTAAATAATTATCATCTCCTTTCCATCCGCAATATTTTCGAAAAAAAAAAAAAATTCCAAACAAAAAAAACGATGGTTTCGTGAATTATTAAGTGTTTTTTTACCCTTTGAAAAAATTTTCTTTTTTCCCCATTTTTGTGATCGGATAAAATAGACGAATTTTTACGGGAAAAAAAGAACTTTTTGGTTTTTGTTTTTTTTCAAGTGAAAAAATGGCGGCAATTTTGGAAACAAGTTTTATAATAAATTCTTGGACTACTGTTCTTCTTTCGCTTTGTCTTTCATCAATTTTCTTGATGCTTTTGGCGAAAAGAGCGCATTTTTTGTATACATTGAGAAAAGTGCCTTCACCGTTTGCTGTGCCAATTATTGGAAACGCGCATCAACTTAATTGTGATTTGGAAGGTAGGATTTTAAAAATTTTTTCGCATTTATTGAAAGTGACATTTTTATTATAGTTATAGAGGGAGAAAAAAAAAATTTTTTTTATTCAAATAACCGATTAATTGTCTACTATTAAATAATATAATTTTCACGCGCGCTTTACTTGAATTAAATCAATTTTCTTTTTAATCTGATAAATTAAATTTGAATCAATAATTTTAGTATTTAAAGGAAATAAATTTTAACTGAACAAAGAATTTTAGTATTCGAAGCAAATAAATTTTATTTAAACGAATAATTTTAGTATTTGAAGCAAAGCAATTTTATTCGAACCAATAATTTTAGAGTTTGAATCAATTATTTTAGTTTTTTAACCAATAATTTCAGTATTTAACGAAAATAAATTTTATTTCAACCAAAAATTTCAGTATTTAACGAAAATAAATTTTACTTGAACCAATTATTTCAGAATTTGAATCAATTATTTTAGTATTTGAAGAAAATAAATTTTACTTGAACCAATAATTTCAGTATTTAACGAAAAGAAAATTTACTTGAACCAATTATTTTAGTATTTGAATCAAATTGTTTTTATTTGAACCAATTATTTCAGTATTTGAATCAAATAAATTTTATTCGAACCAAAAATTTGAGTATTTGACAAATTTTTAAAAAATTTTTATTGACAATAAAATGATTTGATACAAATAAAAATGGTTTGATACAAATAAAAATTATTTGATATAAATAAAAATTATTCGATTCAATTAAAAATTATTTGATTCAAATAAAAATTATATGATTAAAATAAAAATTATTTATGACAAATAAATATTTACTTCAAAATAGAAAAATAATCATTTACTTGAATCAAATAAATTTTTTCAGTACATACTATAAAGTTTTATAAAAATAAAAATTTAATTTTACTACCATGGGAGGGGAACAAAAATTTTTGCTGCCGAGTATATCAAGTAACAATTAATTCCTCATATTTGTTTAATTATACAAATAATAATAAATATCCCTATAATTAATGAATACTAATTTTATTAATTTATCAAAATGAAAAATCTTTATTCCGCAATATTTTAGATATATAAATTCTTATAGAGATACAATCAATAAAAAATTTTTAGATATCAGTGAAAACGATTGAAATATCACTGATAACATATTTCAAATTATTTGCAAATTTCATCTATAATTTCGAGAAAAATTTTTTGAATTTCAAAACATTTGAATTGTGCGCGCTCTTTCTGTACATTAAAAAATATACTTTATTCGTAAAAAAATTCAAAGATAAATTAATATTTCAGTTCTCTTTCTGAATGAGAAAATTTTCCTTTCTTTTGTTTCAAGAAAAAGAATTTAGAAAAAAGTATTGAGAAAAGTAAGAAAATAATTAATAATTAAGAAAATAATTAATAATTAAGAAAATTATTAAGAAAATTAAGAAAATTATTAAAAAGTAAGAAAATAATTGAAAATTAAGAAAATAATTAATAATTAAGAAAATAATTAATAATTAAGAAAATAATTAATAATTAAGAAAATTATTAAGAAAATTAAAAAAAAAATTGAAAAAAGTAAAGTTTGGTAAAAATTTTACTATAAAGTAAATTTATAATTAAAAAAAAGGGTTTTCTTCTCGAACCATCAGAACAAAGATATAACAAACTAGACATGGAAGACAAGCGTTCAGCAAATTCATTGAATACTCGCTCTATTAAGGTCGATCATTGCACTCTTGGCAAAATAACACATGTATCATTGTAACATTATAAAAATTTTAAATTGCGCGCATGATTCCGATTAAATAAAATTGCTCCCCGATTATTTATTCTCTACAACTCTTTATCATTTATAATAATATACCATCGATATATTAACAATTTTACCAAAAATCAAATTTTATTCACTTTAACTGAAAAAAAACTTAAATCAAAAAATTTGATCAAAAAAGAAAATTTTCTCTGAATTAAAAAAAAATTTCAAATTTTATATGTCGCAAGTTTTCTTTAAAGAAAAGAAAATGCAATTTTCAAGTCTAAGAGCGCGATTTTTTTTCCATTCAATCAACACTTAGAGTCATCAATTATTATTACTGATGGTTAATAATGTACATGAATGATTTGGAAGAAATAGGTCGAGGACGTGAAATGAATAAAAAGTTGTACATTGGGGTCGAAAAAAAAATGACTTACGATGTATCTATCCCCCTTTACTTCTCTTATCAAATAATGCACAGCACACACGTGTAAAATAAGAGCAACAGTGATGGCAAAATGATTTTTTATTGTCACAAGAAGAATAAGAATTATTAAAAAAAAAAAATTTTTTTTTTAAATCCGAAAATAAAAAAAGAAGAAAATATTTTACATAAAATTTCGTAATTTTCTTTTTAGGGACAAAAATATAAAGTAACTTTTACCATAACAGTACAGTAAATTTTACTTCAATTTTTCCCACTTATAGTAATAAAAAAAAAAATTTGTCAAAATTAAAAAAACCTTCGAAATTTACAGATTTTTAACCTATATTGAATTAAAATTTTCTTAACTCTCTAGGGAAATCTCTAAAAACCTCAAATAATAAGTTTTTACGCCGAGCGTCGACGCTAACTTCAGCAAAATAAATTATGTCCCGGAACGCTACAATTTTTATCACTCTTTTTAATTTAACAAAAAATAATAAAATAATAATAAATCTAACAAAAAATAATATTTTAATTAAATTAAAATTAAAAAGAAGAAAAGAATTAAAAATTTTGAATTTTCGATTTAATTTACATTCAGTTCCCGCTTTTAAGAAAAAAAAAAAATAGTTTATCCCATTTTTTGCAAAAAATATGAAGTAAAAATAAAATTACGTAATTTTCGTTTCATTTTTTTTTGAGGGGGGGAGGAGGAGGGTCAATACAATGAGAACGGCGATGAATGAAATTTTGTTTGACGTTTAAAAATCGAAAGTTCCCGTGAAAAAAAGCGGTCGTACACGTGCAGCCTTGGCAGCGCAATGACACGATGAGAATGACTTTGCTTGCGTGCATTATATAGTGATAGTTTTAAATACATTAATATACGTATGGTTGTATATATGTATATATATATAGTCTTCTAAACGAAGGACGCCATATACATAAGACATCTCCCTCGATGCATCTATGTAACTGGTTCCGCGAGAAAAATGCGTGCCATTTTTTCCGGTCAATGTCCGGTCAGCGGCACTATAAATGGCTGCACGTTGCACACTCATTGCTACTTTCTATGATCAAAGATCGGGACATCATAATCCTTTTATTGTAAATCGCTAAGGGCAATTCTACAATAAGGACAGTAGATTTTTTTCAAAGGGAAATTTTTTTCTTTTTTTTATGAATTTTTGTTTATTTTCTCGAATTTTGTTCTTTTATTTATTATTTTATTTCTAATTTAAATTTATATAGTTAATTAATTTAATTAGTTAATTATTATTAATAATTAACTATATATAAATTAAAATTAAAAATAAAATAATAAATAAAAAAACAAAATTAGAGAAAATAAACTAAAATTTTTAAGAAAAGGAAAAAAAATTTAACTATTAATTATTAATAGTTAATTATTAACTAATTGTTGAAAGTTAATTATTAATTAACAATTAATAGTTAATTATTAACTAATTATTGTGACGCGCTCCAGAGAAAGGTTCCTAAGAAGCAAATAAAATTGAGCTTATGTTAGTTATTTTTTTAATGAAAATACGTAAAGAAGATCAATTTTCAGTATAAACTACTGATGTTTAACTCTTCATTGCACCAAAAATAATTAATAAAAACTGATTTTAGCTTTAACAAAGGAAAATTTCTATACACTTTTAAAATTAAAAGAAAATAACAAACATCAATTTAAAATTAAGAAAACATAAAAAAAACATGAAAAATTAAATAAATTCAAAGACCACAAAATCAAAAACGATCAAAAAATCTATCTTTCATCGTAGTATCACCCATATATTGTACCTTCAATTCATCATTGCCTAATACCGAATTTATTTTCTCAGGAAGCTGCCAACATTTTTTTTTTCTGCCAAATCGGGTCATCGAACTCTCAATTAACTACTACATATCAAAATTAATCCATAATCTTTCATTTTATTATAGAAGTTTCAAAAAATTCTGAATTTTTCAAAAGAACAAAATATTTTTTCAATAATAATATACAAAAATATTTTCAAAAATTACTGTCTGTCTTAAAAAATAAAAAAAAAGTAAATTAAACATTTTGGAAATTTTTGAATTATTAAAAAATTAATGAATTTTGGAAATTATTTTTTTAATACAATAATACTAGAATAAAATTTAAAGTTTAAAAATAAATAAATTTTGTTCACTCAACAATTTTAACTTCGTTCATTTCGAAAACAATTCTATTTTTTTGCAACAAAATAATAATGAATATTTTATTTTTTATTTGTTTCTAATTACACGGGTCAAAAATGCTCATTCGAATTAATGAGGCTAAAGTTCGCAACGTTTTGAAAAAACCTTTTTTCACCAGTTAATTAATATTAAATATTTTAATTATCAATTAAAGAAATACGGATTCGTTTGCCAATTGAATAGTAATGATTTTATTAATTTTTTAGTAGAAAACTACTAAGTTTTTAGTAAAATATTAAAAGTTTATTACTGTAAAATTAATATTTTTTTTACTATTAAATTAGTAGTTTTTCTATTATTAAATTAGTAGTTTTTCTACTTTTAAATTAGTAGTTTATTTAAATCAGTTAAATGTTATTTAAATTTAAAATTTATTTAATTCAAATACTAAAATAATTGGTTCAAGTAAAATTTATTTTCATTAAATTCTGAAATAATTGGTTCAAATAAAATTTATTTTCGTTAAATACTAAAATTATTGGTTCAAATAAAATTTATTTGCTTCAAATAAAAATTATTTGATCCAAGTAAATATTTACTTGATTTAAATAAAAATTAACTGATCCAAGTAAATATTTATTTGATTTAAATAAAAATTAACCGATTCAAGAAAATATTTATTTAATAATAAACAATTAATCTGTTTTTTTTTCAATAAAATAATTTTTTTTTCAGAGAAATAATAAGAAATGCATATATTTTCAGAATTTTTCAAAAAATTGATAAAATGGAGCAAAGAATTTGGAGACATTTTTATAACTTGGGTTGGCATGAGGCCATTTTTGTGGATTTATCGAGTGGAACAAGTTCAACCATTGCTGAGCAGTAACATTCACATAGACAAAAGTCTAGAATACGAATTCCTAAGGCCCTGGATTGGTACAGGACTAATAACAAGTAACGGTAAGGATTTGTCATTATTTTTTTTTCTTTCATATCCTGTTAATCCTTCGCTCGAAATTAAAAACGTGAAATCGTGAATGAATCGAGAGAATAATTAAAGGATATAAAACCAGATTTTAGGTATCAAAGTCCTATTTCTAATGGTTGAGAAAAAAAAAATTCTATCGACGATCAAAAATTTAGAGACGGACAAAAATACTGATCAAATTTTCGAAAACTGAATTTATATTTTTTTGAAAAAATCTTTCGACTTCTTATTTATTATTAATTTATTATGAATTTATTTGGACCAAAAAATACACCCGATAGATTATTAATTTTTGTACCTAAATAAATAAATATTTTATTTCTCGAATTATTTAAATTAAAATTCTTTTTCTAAATTTTAATTCAAATAAATTAATAACAGTAAGTAAATAAATTATAAAAATTCCTAATTATTTCTAAAGAAATAATATTTCTAAAAAAAATAATTATTTATTGTTTCTACATAACAAAATAAAAAAAATCAAGTTTTTTCATTGACGCGTTTTCAGATTAGAAGAGAAAAAGATATAAATCAGAAATGAAATATAAAAGATCCTTTCGCGAGATAATAATTCCTCAGTAATCAGAAATTTATCAATGACGATGATTCTCGCTACTGTATCTAAATGTGTATTTGTATGTGAAAATAGATTTGCATTTCGCTTTAAATTATAACACCGGCAAAATCTATATAGTAACGTAAAATTGAACTTGAAATAAAGTGTGAATCACTCGCGAGAAAATATAAAAATACACAGAGAGAAATTTTGTAAAAAAAAAGAAGAAAAATTTTTATCCTTTTTTTAAATTTTGAATAAATGCAAATTTTTTTAATTTCACTATTTTTTATTTAAATTTTATTTATTTATTAATAATTAAAATTTTATCAAATTCTTAATCAATTTATTTGGTAATTTTTTTTTTACTTAGTTTGCAATAATATCAACTTTATTTAATTTTAATTTAATGCGGAAATAATTTTCAGAAATCTAGAAAAAAATATTTATTTTACAAAAATTGCAAGTTAGAGTTTAATAAATTTCCAAATTAATAATTCTTTTTAGAAAAGTTAACTAATTACACGAAAAAAAATTTTTTTTCCTGAAACAACTACAAATTATTATTAATAATACCTAATAATAATAATAATAATAATAAAGTACATGTTGTTTGCTTTTTTGTTTCTTAACTTTTTTATAATTTTTCTTTGCAAATATTTTCAATTTTAAAATTAATGTATTGAAAATCATCGAATTGTTGCAAAAAACTTTATCAAAATATTTGATAATAATAGAATTCCTTCAAAGAATTTTATTATTTAGAAAAATAACTGAATTCTCGCGAAAAATTTTATTAAAATTTTAAAAAATCCTAATTAAATTCTTTTGAAGAATTTCTTTGATTTTTTTTTAAACTAATGGAGATTCTATAATAATTTTAATTGAAAATTTTGAAAGCAATTAAATTTTCTGAAGAAGAATTTCATTAAAATTGTATTGAAAATAATTGAATTCTTGCGAAGAATTTTACTATTCATAAAAATAATTGAATTATTGCGAAGAAATTTACTATTTATAAAAATAATTGAAATGTTTCGAAGAATTTATTAAAATTTTAAGAAATAATTAAATTGTTATGAAGAATTTTATGGAAATATTTAAAAATAATGAAATTTTTTTGAGAAATTCAATTAAAGTTGTTTCGAAAATAATTAAATTTCTTTAAAGAATTTTATTAAAATTAAGTTTATTCAAAATAATTGAAATTCATCACAAAAATTTTATTATTTTTCGAAAATAATTGAATTCTTTCAATTTTTTTACGAATATATTTAAAAATTGCATTGAAAGTAATTTAATTTTTAAAAAGAATTTTTTAAAAATATTTTGAAAATAATTGAATTATTTTTAGAGAATTTTAAATTTTCGTTGAAATTGAATTTTATGGAAATTTTTGTAAATAATTAAATTCTTTCGTGTAATTTTATTTAAATTGTATTAAAAATTATTAAATTCCTGCAAAGAATTTTAGTATTTATAAAGATAGTTGAATTGTTTCGAAGAATTTATTAAATTTTAGAAAATAATTGAAAAATTTATAAAAATATTTTTAAATATTTGAATTCATCCGAGGAATTCAATTAAAATTGTTTTGAAAATAATTGAATTCCTGCAAAGAATTTTAGTATTTTATAAAATTAATTGAATTCTTGTGAAGAATTTTACTATTTATAAAAATAATTGAATTTTTTCGAAGGATTTATTGAAATTTTAGAAAAAATTGAATTTTTTCGAGGAATTCATTTAAAATTGTTTTGAAAATCATTGAATTTTTGTAAAGATTTTACTTAAAAGATTTTATTTAAAAAAATAATTTAATTGTTTGGAAGGATTTATTAAAATTTTAGAAAATAATTGAATTCTTTCGTGAAATTTTATTAAAATTTTTGAAAATATGAACAGCAATAATTAATTTTGTACTTAATAAGAGAATTTTTTAAATTTTAACTATGAAATTATTTTAAAAATGTATTATTTGAAAATAAAATCGCTATTCTAGAGAAATTTATCGCTGTTTCAGGTTAAATTTCTTTTCCTAATAATTAAAAAAACATTTAATCATTAATTAGTTAATAATTTACTAATAATTATAATTACTAATAATTAAATTAATAATTGCTTATAATTTTAATAATTTGCTATAATTAAATGAAATTACTAATTACTATATTATTATTAATTTAATTAATTTACCAGTTAGTAAATTAAAAGTATTTAATTATTAATGTATTAAATAATAATTAGTAATTAAAAAGTATGTGATTATTGATTAGTTAATTAATTAGTCTACATAAAATAAAAATAAATCTATATTATTTTCAGAAATCAAGTTCAGAAATAGTAAATAAATAATAGCTGCATAAGCAAAGCAAAAAGGAGTAAAAGTATTTTCTTTTTTTTTCTAAAAGGTTCCACGTGTGGATAAAATTATGATGAACATTGTTTTTACTTTTGATGAACGTTTTACGTAAATTTAGTTGCCCTATTGATTATTTATTGATTGTTGATTAGCCCGAGGCTAAATATCGCGTTTATGCATTCTTATCGTTTTATACAAGTTTCATGGATAAAGAAATGAACGCGCGTGCCAAGATGTTATTTTCCATCGAAAATCTTTGAGCAGACATACACAAGGTTGCTTTAAAAAGATAAACAATAAATAAACTAAAAATTTCTTTTTTTTACCAAAATAAGTAAAGAAAAAATGTCTAAATTTCCAAAAATCGTACTTTTTTTTAAATGAAAATTTTATTATTAAATATATGCACTGAGAAAAAAAATGTATTTTATCCGATTACTTGTCCATTATTAAATAAATTATTATAATATAATATTTACTTGAATCTAATTTTTATTTTTAAATAAAACACCTGATTTTCTGTTTTTTTAGGTTTAAAATGGCACTCTAGAAGAAAACTACTGTCGCCAACATTTCACTGTGAACTTTTGAGAGATTATCTCAAAATAACAATGAAGGAAGTTAATATTCTGATAGGTTGTTTGCAACAGGAAATTGGAAAAAATGCTTTCGATATTGTTCCCTATGCTAAACGAGCGGCTCTCGATGTTATTTGCAGTAAGTTGGATTTATTATTATTAATTAAATAATTACTGGAATAAAATGTAGAAAATATTTTTGAATTGATTCAAAATAGGAGAAAAAAATATCGCCATAAATATCCAACAATATTGCTTTAATTTTTCTCTGCAACATTGCAAAATTGATTAAATACTTTTATTATTATTAATTTTCATTTTTTATACTTTTAATTATTACTCCATTTTAATTATTATATAGCCTCGAACCCTACAGTAGTAGGGACAGTAAATAAACATTTTATTTTTTATTATTATTATTATTTCTATTATTATTTTTTTATTGTTTTAAATTTTTATTTCGTTGTTATTATTATATTTTTAAAATTATTTTCCAAAATATGAATAAAGAAATAAAATAAACTTTTAATTCGATTAAATATATAAATTGTTTGCTAAATTTAAAAGAAAAATGTTATTTATATATTTCTCGATATACAATGATTTAATCATAATAATCGTAATCGAAAGCATCTTTTTTTTTTTAAGATGTGACACAATGATTAAATATTATAATAATACTGTTACTTAATAAGTGCTCAACGGATAATTTTTGATAAATTTTCTCATCCATGTTAATTTTCTTTTCATTTTTCTCTTAAAACGATTTCTTCGAGAATTCACTTTTTCCAAAGATTCATCAAAATTTGAAATTAAAATCACCGATCTACTCGAATAATTTGAATGTAAATTATAATTCTCTTCACTATTTTGATATTCTCTCTGGAAATTTTCTTTAACACGCGACTTCTTATTTCTTTTTCTGTCAATTAAAAATTTTGGGAGGTAAATTAAATATTTTTTCCTATACAACAATATTTTATAGAATTTAAAATCGAGAAAAGAAAATTTACTCCAAAATTAAATCATTCATTATTATTAAAATTAAAATAAAATTCTAGAAGTTGGAAAATTTTGTAATTAGAAATACTGTCTATAAATAAATTTAATACACTTATTTATTTCAAGAATTTTGAAATTAATTTAAATATTAGTATTTCTAAAAATAGATTAATTTATATAATAAAAATGTTTAAAATATTTCTTAATAATATAAATATTTAATTATTTCTAATATTAATTTAAATATTTATAATAACTCAAATATTTATAACAATCATTGAAATATTTCTAATAAAAATAATTTAAATGTTTCTAATAATAATTTAAATACTCATATATAATTACTATTTCAATTTTTGAAATTCATTAATCAATCATTTAATGTTGAGAATTTTCTAAATTTAAATTCTAATTTTAAGAATAAAATGAATATATTTATAAATTAAAAAAAAAATGTCGTCAAGAATAAATTGAACAGTAACTTCTCTAGGTCATCAAAATCAATAATTAATTAATTAATTAATTAATCATTAACTACCGTACGATTATAATTTTAAATTAAACAAAAAAATATATTTATAATAATTAAAAAAATAAATAATTTTATAAACAAAAATAGAAAAATTATAAAAATAAAAGCCTACTTTGCTTTCTTTGACAATGTTTTTCGGTTCGGAAATTTTCTTTTCACTTTTTCATGATGATAATGGTGATAAAGTCTTGGCTTTGCGAGAAATTCGATTCGTGAATTACAAGTCGCATAGAAATTAAAATTCCTTTTACGTTGTAATTTTAATTTCTTTTTTATTCGAGGCTTTGAAAGTTCAAGAATTCTCGGAGTCGCTAACAAGAAAAAGAAAAAAATTTTTATATAATAATAATATTAATAATAATATTTAATGATAATAATATTAATAATATTTAATAATAGTAGTAATAATAATAAGTAATAAAATGATAAAATAATAATTCCTTTAATAAACTAATTTTTTTTAAATAATAAAAAAGGGACCTTTTTGGAAAATTCAAAAAATAATTGTTTTTATTTTTTCGTTTTGGGAAAACAAACCGATAGCTTTTAAGGCATTTGGAGAAACGCTGAATGATGGTTTTAAATTTTGTTTAAAAGGTACTCTTGGCTTAGCGAGTTCAATTAAACGATTTGATGCGACGAGAATTTGATTAATTTTATTAAAATCCGTTTCTTGGGGAGATTTATTTTCACGATTTATATGAATTCTTGGTTGTGCTAATTTATTAGTTCGTTCTGTTATTTTATATAACAATGCGGACGATTTGACCTAAATTTGAAAAATATGTTTTTATTGATATATTTTTCTAATTATAATTATAAAAAAGTTTTTTTTATTTTTCTAATTATAATTATGGAAAAAAGTTTTTTAATTTATTTTTCTAATTACAATTATAAAAAAAAAGTTTAAACATTTATTTTTCTATAATTATAATTATAAAAAAAAGTTTTTAAATTTATTTTCATAATTATAGAAAAAAAGGTTTTAAAATTTATTTCTCTAATTTTATAATTATAGAAAAAAAGTTTTTAAATTTATTTTTCTAATTATAATTATAAAAAAAAGTTTTTTAATTTATTTGCATATATATTTTTATTTGAAATAGTTAATAATTGAATTGAATTTATAAAAAAAAAAAAAAAAATTTCACTAAAATTATTTACGCACTCGAAATATATTATTGATAGGATTTTTATTAATTTCCTTTTTCGTTCTTTCTACTGCAGAAATTAAAGCCTTTGAAATGGTATTATTTAAATTTATTTTCCTTGGACGTTTTTCCTGAGAATTTAAATATTTTTGTCATTTATTTTACATGGCGGTTAATTTTTCTTTTATAAATTTTATAAATAAAAATTTTTCTTTCTTAATATTCAAAACAATTATTTACTGACATATTGTTTAACGCGATGATTCCAAAGAGGATTTTCTCTAAGTAGAATACTTCCTAAAGAATCTGTAGAATTCGATTGTGAGAGATTTATTTCAAAAGACATTTTTTTCTTTCTAAATTTATTAACTTAGTAATTAATGAATTAAAATTATATTCAATCAGTCACATTTTAGAAGAGTTACTATTTGATTTTTTTTTTTTTGGTAATTAATTTTATCTTTCAATCAATTTTTTCTTTTGACTTGTTCTTCATTTTTATTGTAGTTATATCAATTTTCTTAAAAAAAAGGTTAAAAAAATCTGCCAAAAAGAGAAAAATTATTTGCACTGTGTTCATTTGTCGATCTTCATATTTTATTCTTATAAATTTTTAATTTTCTACATTTTGTTTCAGAAATAAGAGAAATAAAATATAAATAAAAAAAAATTCAATTTTAGTAAAATCAAATTATAGAAAAATATAAATAAGAATAAATAATAAAAAATATTAGAAGATATTTTAATATTTATTATTTATTATTTATATTTTTCTATTATTTTATTTTACTAATTTTAATTCAATTTTTTTATTTCTTCAATAATTTTACTATTTTTTATTTATTTACTAAAATTGTTACTATTACGTCAGTATAATAAAACATTTTCGCTAAATTTAGTTTCTTTTTTAAAACAGACACTGCCATGGGCTATCCAATCAATGCTCAGACGAATCACAAAAACGAGTACGTCTTGGCTGTTGAAAGGTGAGTTGAAAATTGCAAGAAAAAAAAACTGATTGAAAAAATTTTAAAAATAAAAGAAACGAATTTATTAATAGAAAAATACAAAAAAAATACAAAAAAAGAAAAAAGGATTAAAAATAAAGAACTCCTTTTTTTCCAGATTATCGAAACTCATGCAGATGAGGTTCACGAACATTTGGATAAAATGGGATCCTATTTTTAACAGGACTTCTTGGGGAAAGGAACAGGCACGCTCGATCAACATAATTCACAGTTTTGTCGACAAGGTCAGTGCAAGAGTAAAAAAAAAAGAATCTATCATATTTAAGCGAAAAAAAAATCTTCAAGGTTTCATTAACTTTTTTCGAAAAAAAAAAATCTTTTCAAGTGACCAACTTTTGTGTCAATTTTTAAATTCAATTTTTAAATATATAGGAAACTATCTTCTATTTTTCATTTTTATTCAAGAAACTAAAAGTGTTAAATTTTAATAGTTCTGTATTTTCTTAATTTTTGGCATTTCAATTTTATTTGCAATTTTGTCAAACGAATTTTTACTTTTCTTAATTATATTTTTTTTAAATGTAATTTTTTTTTTTATAAATTAAATTTGTGAAGAAATTAATTCTCAATTTAGTGAATTAATTTCAATTATTATTCTCTTTTGTAAATTGTTTTACAATTTTTTAAAATATTGAAGCAAAGAAATAAATGTCTTTCATTTAAAAGAAAATTTCAGGGAATTGTCCAAACATTTCTATAAAATTTCAACTTCTGCAGGTGATTTTCGAAAGGAAACTAGAGTGGTCAATGAAATTCGATGGAAATTGCAATGAGACACCGAAAAAATTCCAAGCCTTGCTGGACTTGTTATTAGATGCGACACACAATGGGGAAACATTATCTGACGAAGATTTGCGAGATGAAGTGAATACTTTTATGTTCGCCGGACACGACACTATCGCTACGAGTGTATCCTGGTTTCTCTATGCATTAGGAAGACATCCCGAATATCAGGTAATTATACTAGAAAAAGTAAAATATAATAATTAAATATTCACGAAATGAATATTTTATAAGCATATTAAATATTTTCTGTAAGCAAAATAAATATTTTTTGTAAGCAAATTAAATATTTTATAAGCAAAACAAATACTCTATAAGCAAAATAAATATTTTACAAGCAAAGTAAATATTTTTTGTAAGCAAAATAAATATTTTACAAACGAAATAAATAGTTTGTAATCAAAAAAATAATTTTTTAGAATAATAAATATTTCACAAACAAAATCAATATTTTTTAAGCCAAATAGATATTTTTTAAGCAAAATAAATATTTTACAAACGAAATAAATATTTTATAAGCAAAAAAATATTCTTATATGCAAAATAAAAATTTTATTCTTTTAATTATATTTTCTAATTATCTCAATTAATTAATTGAATTTAATGATTGACAGAAATTAATCATCGACGAATATGAAAGTGTAATTGGTACGCAAGAACTCACATTGGACCTTCTTCAGAAATTAGTTTGGTTGGATGCTTGCTTAAAAGAAAGTTGGAGAATTTATCCAGTTACTCCAATAATTGCGAGACAAATCTACAGTCCTCTTAAATTATGTAAGTTTTAATTGAAAAATATTCTACTAATTGAAATAGTCTAACACTAAATTTAGCACAAAATTCACAATAAAATTACTAAACAATATTCTAAAATTTCGACTCACGGAATTTTAATTTTACTAAATAAATAATTCACCCCAAATCACATTTTTTTTATGAAAGAAATTTTATAAAATATTTTATTAAATAAAATTTTGTTCATGAAAAAAAATTGTTTTGTGATAAAAATTATTTTATCAGGGTTGCCACAAAAACTTAATTTTGTTTTTCCCTGATTTCCAGACTTTTTCCTGACTGATTTTGACTTTTTCCCTGACCCTAAAGAATATTCTGATTCACTCTAAAAATTGTTAGATACTCAAAAAAAGTTCTTTTCCATTTATTTACAAATTTCTTTAATTGTAAAATTCGTTATAAAAATTAAATTATTTTCATTAATGATAAAATTTTTCACAGGATTTCAATTATTTTTTATGCAATTTTAAATGAATTTATCGAAAAATGTAATTATTTTCAAAAAGTATCGGAAAATTTTTGCAAGAATTCAATTACTTTTCACAAATAATGAAATTCTTCGCTGAAATTCAAATATTTTCAAAATCTACTATGTTAATAAAATTTCTTAAAAGAATTCAATTATTTAAAAAAAATGTAATAAAGTTCGTTGTAAGAATTCAATTATTTTCATAATTAATCAAATCCTTCACAGGATTTCAATTATTTAACAAAAATGTAATAAAATTCGTTGCGAGAATTCAATTATTTTCATAAACAATAAAATTGTTAACATGATTTCAATTATTTTTAAAAAATGTAACAAAATTCGTTGTAAGAATTCAATTATTTTTATAAATACATATATAATAAAATTTTTCACAGGATTTCAATTATTTTTAATACAATGTTAAGTAAATTCTTCGAAAAATGTAATTATTTTAAAAATTATTCTTAAAATTCATCGAAAGAAAAATGGATTTGAAAATTCTCAAAGAACTTTTTCAAATACATTTGTAAACAATTCAATTTTACGAATTTTTAATTATTTCCAAATCCTTCAATTCAATTTTTAAAAAATAAAAACTTGAAATGATTTTTTAAAAAAATTTAATTAAACTTTTTCAAAAAAAAATAATTCCACAGAATTGTCAGTTAAAAGTATAAAAAATTTTAATTTTTAAAGATTTCAATTTGAAACCTTTTCAAAATTCAATTATTTCTAAAAATTCACGCTATATTTTAACTGAAATTCATTTTTAAATCAATTTTTATTAGAAAATTCTAAGATAATTCAATTATTTAAATACAAAAATAAATAATTTATTGAATAATTGAATGTTTCTTAAAATTAAATTCTCATAAAGAATTTTATCAAAAAATTTTTTAATAATTAAATTTTATTGACGAAATTTAATAAAATTTTTAATTACATTTTTCGAGGAATTCGATTAAAATTGTATTAAAAATAATTAAAATTTTGCAATGAGTTTTATTATTTATGAAAATAATTGAATCTATCTTTAAAAAATGTTTTTATTTACTAAAATAATGAAATTATTGCTAAAAAATTTATAAAGAATTGGTAAATGATTGAATTCCTGTGGAATTTTTTATTATTTATTAATATAATTAAATGTTTGCGAAAAATTTTATTAAATTATTATTTAAATAATTGAATATTCTTTCGAAAAATTTAATTTAAATAATAAATATTGAAATTTGAATAATTATAATTTTTCAAAAATCTAAGTTCTTTAACATTTCAAATTAAAACCTTTTGAAGTTGATATATTTATGAAAATTGTAAACGCAACTCTTTTAAAATTCAATTAATTTAGAAATATTTAAGTAAAATTATTGATTAAATAATTTGTAAGTCATAATTTTATGATAGTTCTTGAAAAATTAAGTTATTTCAAAAGAAATTATTTTTAAAAATAAAAAAAAATTGAAGGTTTTTTATTAGAATTCGTAGTAATTTCATAGTTTATGAGGCAAATAAAAAAGAAACCAAAATTCATAGTTTTCTTATGAATTTTATAAATTCAATTTTTTCCAGTTCTTTAACTAAAAATTCCTGACTTTTCCCTAATTTTCCTGACCAATTCTACTTTCTCTGACTTATCCCTGACTTTACAGACCTGTGGCAACCCTGTTTATTAAATAAAATTATTCATGAAAAAAATTGTTTTATGATAAAAATTATTTTACGGAAAAATAGTTTTATGATAAAAATTATTTTACGAAAAAATTGTTTTATGATAGAAATTATTTTACAAAAAAATTGTTTTTAAATAATAAATACCAAATTTTTGTTTAAATTCTCTCCTCAGCTGCACAAGAAATTCCAGCGGGTACGACAGTGTTGATAAATTCCTACATACTTCATCGTGATCCAAGATATTTTTCTCAGCCCGATATTTTTATGCCCGAACGTTTTCTGCCTGACAAACCAAAACCACCGCCATTCACCTACATTCCATTTAGTGCCGGTTCAAGAAACTGCATAGGTTGGAAATTCGCTCAAATGGAAGTTAAAGTCACAATTCTATCTATACTTCGAGCATTTGAAGTCTATTCCATTCAAAGTGAAGATCAACTCAAGTTTGTTGCAAATCTTGTGCTTGATAACGCTGGTGGAATTCCTATTCAAATCAAACCGAGACAACTGTAAAAAAAAATTATGATCTGCACAAATGACTGATAATTCATTTTTTTTATTCGATATTATCTACGATACTATAGAACAAATATATAAGTATTTTTTAAAGTATACAACAAAATGCGAGGAGGAGAAGAAAAAACTCTTTCACTGAGAAAGTAATGTATTATTTTTTAACACTCGATATATTATTATATTGAAAAAAGATAGAGGCAATGGCGGATGGTAAAAAATACCAAAAAAAATTTGTTTTTCAAGACAGTAAAAGATAATTATGAGAATAATACAGAGAGATCGAGAGAATCCAACGACAAATTTCACGAAGTTGAAGTCCACAACGTTTATCAACGAAAAAAATTTATTTAATGCATTCAAGTATTATTTTTAATTTAATTTTTAATTGTAAAATAATTATTATCAAAATATAAACACCAATTTTTTTTCTAAATATTTTTGTGTCAATATTTATGCGTCATTTTTAATTAATTTACTAAGTGAACAATTTTTTTTCGTTTATCAACGTTGTGGACTTCAACTTGGTCAAATTTCCCTAAAGTTTCCGCTAATTTGATTTTATTCTTTGAAAATAATTAATTTCCTGACTAAAATGTTTAATTATTTTTTCCATAATTTTTATGGTTAATTTATTTTTCTACCAGTGTGTAATATTTGAAAACATTGAAACAAAACATAAATTCTTCTATTTAAATCGGACGAACTTTGGGGAAATAATAGAAAATGTTTGTTTTAATTTTTTCCAAAAAGAAGACTGTTAAATAAAAATTACCATTTTAGAAAAAATTGTATATTACCTAGTCGATTATTTAGTTAATTAAATGTACGTGATATAGAAAACTTAACAATTATAAGCACGCGCATATTTTTTTTTTTTAATGTAAGTGATTATTTTCAACAAGTGAAAATAAAAACATTGTATATACAAAATGTATTATTGTTTAGAGTTTTGCCTTAATTTCAAGGCTGATTGTATAAATTATAAAAAAAAGCGTATAAATTGCATAGGAATAATAATGGCCCTGATAATATGCCTATGTAGAAATAATGGCTTGTTACTTACAAGTGATTTGTTGAAATAAATGTTGACTAAAAGATTTATAGACATTTCTCACCTCGATATCGTCGCTCTTCTTGTGTACTACAAATATTATGTAACAACGATCCACTACTTTGTTAATTAATTGAAATTGAATTGAATTTAATTATTTAATTGAAACTTAATTAATTTTAAGTATTTGAGTTATTTGAACATTAATAATTGATATTATTTTGGTTTTAACATTTGTAGGTTAGGAAATTCGACGACTTCTTTCACTGTTTAAATTTTCACTCACAAACGAAATGCAATAGTAATTCTATACTTCATTATGTAGACATAAACTCGTTAATGTTATTTTAAGTCACTGTATAGTATAAATTTGTACTAAAATACACTTTTTCAATAAAATAAAACATGAAGAAATATTGAGAACTGTATAAATTTGTTTACTTATGACGTTTAATGGCTACTGATGGCTACTCAGCGCGCCAAAAAGCCAAAACGGAAAATAGCAGAGCTGCCTAGCGGAAGAGAGCGTTACTAAATTGGCGCGAAAATTCAAAACTTGTTACAATAATCTAATTTCGCAATTTAGTTTATTACAAAAATTATTAACCGAATCAACAGTGTTCTCTATGTATTCTTATTCGGCAACTTTTTTCTTTATTTTAAGGCATAATTAATTTTATAAATTGTAAATCTAATCAGGACTAAAAGTTTTTGTTTTGACTCACGAGAAATGATGGCACACTTGTCATTTTCAAATTCTTCATCTCAAGGCACTTTTTATTTACACGTAGACGAACATCAGTTCATTTCACTTTTTAAAACACTTGCACAATTAAAAATTACACTTTAACTATAATATTATTAAAATTGCTGCACGTTAAATTTTTTAGGTTAGAAAGTATGCAATCTTTCGCTCTTTGAGTTTTGACCGTTTTCACTATCAAAATAGTAAACCAAAACTAATTTCACATATCAATAAGTAAAAATAAACTTTTTAAAGTAAATTTAAGTTACCGTACACTATTTTAATGGTTAATATATACTTTTTTAATTAACAAAACAACGAAACGATTGACACATTTGCGACAATTTCAATAAATACTAACCGCCAAAATGTGCCACCTGGCGGAATAGAGAGTTACTAAATGGCGCGAAAATTTTAAATTCTATAACATTACTTTTACTAAAATTAATATAAATATTATTAAAAGATTATTATGATAATAAAATAAATTAATTAACAACTTATAAGTTGTATTTCAAATTAGATTACAAAATTTTTTTATATTTACCATGAAATGCTTGAAGTGCATGAAATGAAATGAATGAAATTACACAATGAAAATTCTGAATAAAACATCTTTGAAAATTTATTACTGATGGAAAGAAGAAATTATTTCAAAAAAATGTTTACGTATAATTTTTGTTTAAACAAAAAAAAATAGTAACAGATAAAAATTATTTCTGATTTACAATTTTTGAAAATTGCCGCTTTTTTCCCTCTCCACAAAAAATAAATTTAAAGTTCAAGGTCATTTCAATGCAAAAACATTGCTAAAATATGAAGTTTTCTAATTAGTGTGTAATGATGGGTATTAACTGTAATTTCAAGTATATTAAGACTATATACCTAAATGACAGTGCAACAAAAGTATTTATTTCTTATCTTTAAAGAACGTCAGAGTAATATTAGTTCATAATCAGATGTTATAAGCGTTTGCTCGTGATTTTTATATATTCTTTTAGTGAGGAAGCAATTTATAGGTTAGAACATAAAAGACAGTATTTTTCTTTTTTAAATTAGCAAAAAGAAAATGAACAAGGCACCTTTAGCAATTTTTCTAGTTTTTCTGGGTTGTTGTTTAAATGTTATATTTCTGGAACTACTTGTCATGTAAGTATGGAATTTAAAATGTTTATGCTTTTCTAACCTAGTATAGTCAACGTCAAGTAGAATTATTTTGATAATTTTGACTAATATTCCTAATATTCTACGTACTTTATATTCTATTGTTGTTATTTACATTCATTATTACTTATCAAACTTTGGAAGATTCTGAGGAAAATAATACTGGAAGTATTTTTATATAAACATAAGTTAGTCGTTTAACTGACACGTCATTCAAAAATGATAATTGATTTATCACGATTACTAATAAAATTGTTACTATTAGTATTTTATTATTCTTTAATTACTATTAGTACCTTCTATTAGGTAAATTTTCATTTATTAGGTGAACTTTTACTAATAAAACTATTTGGCAAATTATTACTAGTAATTCTAGTCATATAATATATTTATATTCGAAAGGACATATTTTGCAATATTTACATATTACATAAGAAAGAATATATTTCCTTTATTAATTATTATTTCACTTTTTGGAAACATAGTTTTTTAATAAATAAACTAAGAGTTGTAATTTATTCTTCACATTATCTATAAAGAAGATTTATTACATAAAGCTTTAAATGAATTACTTTTTTCTTTTCTCAATAGTTTCTTTATTGAAGCGTATTTATCACATGAAATTTAGATATTCATGTTAATATAACGATTGAAATTTATCTCTTTGACCTCTTTTTGATTATTATATCGCAGAATGGTTCTTAACATGATTTTTTCAATTTAAATATAGAAAATATAGGGTAACAATTTTTTTTTGTAATTAATGAACAATTTTAATTTATTAATTAATGTTTTTTTTCAGTGGAGATCCTGGCAGTGGGAATCTTATAACTTTCGCCCAATTTTTATTCATTTCAATAGAAGGATTTTTATTTACATCAAAATGTGGTACTGTAAAACCAAAAATAGGACTAAAGGATTATACAATTTTAGTTACAATGTTTTTCGTTAGTAGTGTATGTAATAATTATGCATTCGATTTTAATGTGCCTATGCCACTTCACATGATATTCAGAGCAGTGAGTATATATTTTTCTGTTTATGAATAATTTTTTTTATTTAAAATAATTCTTCTAACTATTCAACTATAATTTTGAATAGAAGATATTTTGAATAAAAAGAATTAAAGTTGTAAATTTTGAATATAAACGAAATGAAAAATTGTAATTATTTCTTTTTCAGGGTTCTCTTATAGCAAATATGATAATGGGTATAATTATTTTACAAAAGACGTATACTTTTAGTAAATATTTGTCAGTTTTTATGATTTCTGTTGGAATTGCATTGTGTACGTTAATAAGTGGACAGGATATTAAATCGACGCAAACAGTTAATGTTCAGCCAACGACGCCTTGGGACGATTTCTTTTGGTGGACTGTTGGAATTATTTTATTAACTGTTGCACTTTTTATCAGTGCCAGAATGGGCCTTTATCAGGAAGTTTTATATAAACGTTATGGAAAGCATCCTAAGGAAGCTCTTTTTTATACTGTTCGTAAAACAAATAATTTTCCTTTTTGAAAAAAATAATAATTTGAATAACAATAATTTGAATTTGAATTTTTAAAATAATTTAAATTATTAATTTTTCAGCATCTTTTGCCACTGCCATTTTTTCTCACATTGGGACCCAATATATGGCAACATTGGAATGTGGCATTAGCTTCTGCACCAATAGCAGTCCCCTTAATTGGAGTGCAATTACCAAAATTAGTCGTCTATTTAATTGGAAATGTCCTCACGCAGTATCCTTTTCTTTTAAAAAAATTTGACTTAAGAAACAATAATTTAAATTAGAATACTTTTCTTAATTAGGGTTGCCACAAATATTTAATTTTATTTTTCCCTGATTTCCAGACAAAATTTTCACTTTTTCCCTGACCCTAAAGTATATTCTGATTCACTATGAAAATTATTAGATACTCAAAAAAATGTTCTATTACATTTATTTACAAATTTCTTTAATTGTAAAATTATTCAAAAACATCAATAACTTCTTTTTTAAATAAATATTTACACTGGGGTCAAAAAGTTTCAGTACATTTGTATTGATTACTGTTAAGTGCTCGCTTCACTTAAAATTCAAATATTTCTGTAAAGATGGATGTAAGAGCTATCAAAGTAGAATCATTTTAAAGTTTAATAAATTTAGAGTCAAGTAGGCTAAGATATAACCAATTTAATAGTGTAAATATTAAAAATATAATTCTTTAAAGTTAGATATTTTTTTATGAAAATTGCGATTTTGAAATCTGGAATTCAAGCGTACGCCAATTGAAGAAAAATTTTTTTTAAGTTTTGATAGTTGCACAATAAAAAGTACAAATTTCATTCTTTAATTCTAGACCAAAATCATTCACATATATTGAGTATTTTCTTCAAATTCTATAAAAATAATATCTCTTGCTCTAAATTTTTCGATGAATATAAATAGCAAATTCGTCGTTTTCATTCACTTGTTCTATCAAATAACCACACTTTTGAAAAATATAGAACCTCTTCATCTTAGGAAATTTAAGTTATTTACATGAAATTTATCCCTCTTCTTATAATTTTACAAATTTTAACTCTATCATTATTCCTTATTTTCATTCTAGGTGTCTATTTTTTATTTTTCAATAAAAAAAAGGTGCATATTTTTCAAAAGTGTGGTTAATTGAAAAAACAAGTGAACGAAAACGACGAATTTGCAATTAATATTCTTTGAAAAATTTCGAGAGCAAAGGAAGTTATTTTTATAGAATTTGAAGAAAATACTTAATATATGTGAATTATTTTGGTCCAGAATTAAAGAATGGAATTTGTACTTGATATTGTGCAACTATCAAAGCTTAAAAAAAAATTTTCTTCAATTGGCGTGCGCTTGAATTCCAGATTTCAAAATCAAATTTTTCACGAAAAATCTCTAACATTAAAGAATTATATTTTCAATATTTACACTATTAAATTGGTTATATCTTAGCCTATTTGACTCTAAATTTATTGAACTTTAAAATGATCCTAATTTGATAGCTCTAACATCTATTTTTACAGAAATATTTGAATTTGAAGTGAAGCGAGCACTTAACAGTAATCAGTACAAATGTACTGAAACTTTTTGACCCCAGTGTAGGTCATTATTTTTCTGTAGGAATTAAATTCTTCCAAACATTCAAATTCGAACCTTTTTGAAATTCAACAACTTAAAAGAATACAAAACATGAAGAAGGCGATCAATCCGAGTCTTCGACTTGGAGTGATCGCCTTCTTCATGTTTTGTAATAATTTAAATTACCATAAAATTTTTCAACAAAAATTAATTATTTACAAAAATTCTAATAAAATCCTTCGCAAGAATTCAATTATTTTTACAAGTAGTAAAATTTCTCAAATAAATTCAATTATTTAAAAAAATGTAATAAGTTTCGTTGCAAAAATTCAATTATTTTCATAAATAATAAATCGATTATTTGTAAATCCATTTTTAAATTAACTTTTATTAGAAAATTCTAAGAAAAATCCAATTATTTAAATTAAAAAATAAATTATTTATTGAATAATTGAATGTTTGTTAAAATTGAATTCTCATAAAGAATTATATCAACAAATTTTTAAATAATTGAATTCATTTGACAAATTTTAATAAAATTGTTAAGAATAATTAAATTTTTCGAGGAATTCGATTAAAATATTATATCAAAAATAATTAAAATCCTGCGATGAGTTTTATTATTTATGAAAATAATTAAAATTTTCCCAAGAATTTTATTAAAATTTTTCTAAAATAATTGAATTTCGGAGAAGAATTTTATTATTTATAAAGATACTTGAAATTCTGAAGAGAATTTTTTTTTAATTTTTGAACATAATTGAATTTCTGCAAAGAATTTTATTACTTTTGAAAATAATTTAATTCTTCCAACGAATTTTATTTAAGTTTATAAAAATAACTGAATTTCTGTGAAGAATTTTATTATTTATATGAATAATTGAATTTTTGCAACAAATTTTATTCAAGTTTATAAAAATAATTGAATTCTTGAAAAGAACTTTGTTAAATTTTTTTAAATAATTGAATTCTTGCGACGAATTTTATAAAAATCTTTTTAAATAATTGATATTTGTCGATAAATTTTATGAAATTTTGTATTTTAAATAATTGAATTCCTGTGAAAATTTTATTACTTATGAAAATAAGTGAATTATTTCGAAGAAATTTATTAAAAATTTTGTAAATAATTGAATTCCTGTGGAATTTTGCCACGAATTTTATTAAAAGTTTAAAAAATAATTGAATTTCGGTGAAGAATTTTATTATTTTTAATGATAATTGAAATTTTGAAGAGAATTTTTTAAAAATTGTTGAACATAATTAAAATTCGGTGAAGAATTTTTATAACTTTTGAAAATAATTGAATTTCTGGAATCATTTCTAACTTTTCCAAAATTCAATTTTTTTTAGTATTTTTAACTAAAATTCTTCTATCAACCTAGTATTTATGAAAATTGTTTCATTAAATAATTTATAAATCATAATTTTATGATAGTTCTTGAAAAATTAAGTTATTTAAAAAGAAATTATTGTCAAAAATAGAAAAAATTGAAGGTTTTGTATTAAAATTCGTGGTAATTTCATAGTTTACGAGGCAAACAGAAAAAAAACATAAAAATTCAGAATTTTCTTATGAATTCTAAACTTTTAATTTTTTCCAGTACTTTTAAGAAAAATCCCTGAGTTTTCCCTGATTTTCCTGACCAATTTTACTTTCTTTGACTTTTCCCTGAATTCCCTGACTTGTGGCAACCCTGTTAATTTATTCAAATTTAATTAATTAATAACTAGATCACTATTTATTTTAGATAAGATTTATTTATTTATTTATATTAAAGTAAAAATATCTAATAGTAATAGTTATACATTCTACACATCGATTTATTTAATTAAATCGTTAATTTAATTCACTGTTACATTAAATATTTAATTTTTGTTATTTTCCTTAATATTTTCTTTTCAAACAGATACATGTGCATTGGATCGGTGTACGTTTTGACGACAGAGTGTACTTCCCTCACAGTAACACTTGTGGTAACTCTACGTAAATTTTTGTCACTTATATTTTCTATATTGTACTTTAAAAATCCATTCACCCTATACCATTGGGTTGGAACGAGTCTCGTTTTTATAGGAACAATTATATTCACCGAAATTTTACCAAAAATTAAGCAAAACTTAATAAGTGTTCCAAGTGAAAAGAAAGTGAAATAACCAAAGAATTTAGACAATTAATAACGAAAATTTTTTTTTTTTAATTATTTAATTAGATAAAATAAATTTTTTACCGAATGCTTTATTTTAAATAACTAGAGAAATTACATATTTTCGGAAAAAAATATCAATTGTATATTACAATTGATATTTTTGACATTTTAATTAAAGTTAGAAATTGTAAATAATTAGAGAATTTTAGACAATTTTTTTCGATAAGGAACAGAAATATTAACGCAATAATGAATTAGAGAAAAAACACAATTTTTATTATAAAGCATCAAATTAGAAAAAAACAGATACATTCTATAATTTCGTTGAATAAATCAAATAAAAAAAAATATGTTTGTCTATAATATTTATTACAGAATGTAATAACCAATTTGTGAAATATGATGTACATAACTAGTTTATACAAATTAAAGCAAATCATCGAGGATATAAACTATATGATTGAAATTTACAATAGTTTCAATCGCAATGCGTCATAAAGTTTCTTTTTACAATTTGGCAATATAAAATAATTCCTACTTTCTCACTTGTAATGAAATTCTAATGAAGAAATAAAAATTATGGCGGTATAAATGTACAAAAATGTAATAAAATAAATTTAAAGGCCTTAGCTAAAATTTTCTCTCATTTAATATATTATGCAAATTGGAAAAAAATTATTTTTCATTCAATCTACTAGTTTATTTCAGCCAAAATTGAACATTTTAATAAATTTAGCTGTTACTAAAAAATTTATTTTGGTCATTCATAGAAGTCTGTTGAGAAACAATTTTATTTTTTTACAATATCTTCTCTCTTTTAAAGTACAACTTTTTTTTCGTCTTTATAAGAAATAGATTTTTAATATAATTTTTCTTAATTGCTAAACATGATTTAACAGCCATTGTTAAAATAGAAACTATTTATATGAGATAACATTAGGTTTTGCGAGGTAAAATTTTTTTTTTTTTGGAGAAAATCAATTTCCATAAATGCCGCAAAGCGGAAAATGGATTTTATAATCCGTTTGAAAATTAATTAAGCTTGTCGATTTTGTTCTTGTGTTCGTTTTTATAAGATTTGAAGAGTTGAAACAATTAAATTTCAACTCTATTGATGGCGAGGGACGGAACACAAGAGAACGGTAGACGCTAGAATGAATCTAATTTTTCAACGACTTTGAAAATATTGGAGAGCTCATCGACCATTGTCTCATATCGATAAGCAACACGAATATCTGGCACATTTGTTCGAGTGATATCGTTTCCAGCGACACCTTCTTTTGTATAATTTGGACCCAGCCAATATTGTTTGCTCTAAAAAGATAAAGAAAATCTATATTAATAATCGTTGTATTCCGGTAATCTGTTCGTAGTTTGAAGTTAATTGTTGTTTGTTTTTTTGTTTCCTAACATTTTTAATGATTTTTCTTTTTAAATCATTTCTATTTTAAAATTAATGTCATGAAAATCTTGAATTCTTGCAAAGAATTTTACAAATAATAAAAATAATTGAATTGTTTTGAAGAATTTTATCATAATTTTTGAAAATAATTTAATGTTTTGAAAGAATTTTATTAAAAATTTTGAAAATAATTGGATTCTTTAGAGAAATTTTATTAAAATAGTATTAAAAATAATTGAATTCCTCCGAAGAATTTTATTACTGATGAAAATAATTGAATTTCTTTAAAGAATGTTATTGTTTATGAAAATAAAAATAATAATAATAATAATTCTTCTTCGAAGAATTTCAGTATTTTAGAAAATAATTGGATTCTTGAGAAGAACTTTACTAGAATTGAATTAAAAATAATTGAATTGAAATTAAAAATAATTGAATTAAAATAATTGAATTCCTTTGAAGAATTTTATTATTTATGAAAATAATTGAATTGTTTTCAAAAATTTATTCAAATTTTTAAAAATAAATGAATTTTTTAAGGAATTTTATTAAAAAAAATATTTTAAATAACCAGAAGGAAAGGAGAAGAAAAAAATTTCAATAATTGAAAATAATTGAATGTTTGCAAAGACTTTACTATTTAAAAAAAAATAATTTTTTTCAATGTTTTTATTCAAATTTTAGAAAATAATTGAATTTCTGCAAAGAATTCTACTATTTATAAAAATAGTTTAAATGATCGAAGAATTTATTAAAGTTTTAGGAAAAATTGAATTGTTTTGAAGAATTTTATAGAAACTAGCCAAACTATCCGCGCGCAAGCGCGCGGGAATGTTGTATGGGGCTGCTTATTTTAAACAATTTAAAAAATTTTAAAGAAATAATTATTATAACCTAACAAAGAGATTTAACTAACTAAAATTCAAATAATTTCACTCAATGGTCTCAATTTAAATAGAATTTACATTACTAGACTTAAACTATGGCTAGAACAATTACAATTAGTATCTGGGTCATCTTTTGCATTGCTTATTTTATAAAGCCATTTTAAATTAAATACTTTTTAAAGAAATAATAATTATTACACACTGAAAAAAGTTTTACTTGAAATGGCGATAAGTTTCTCTAGAATAACGAAAGTATTAATTGAAGCACTGAAAAATTTCGCTACTAAAGTGAAATCTGTAGTTCATCCAGCTAAATATTTTTTGCCGTGCATAACTAAAAAAGATATAAATTAACATCAGATTTTCTACATTCAAAAAAAACGAATTCAAATAGAAATTAATCATTTTAAAACTTAACCAAATTCACCCCAGAAATCACTGAATTCGATAATTTAGAAGAAAGTCAGACAAAAGCAGGGTTCCTACAGAATCTGGAAATCAGAGAAATCATTGAAAAGGCCTGTAATTTTTAAAAAATTCTAAATTTTTTCAGTTTTCCATTTTTTTTCTTGAATAAAAATTCAAATAATAATAAAGCTAAATGGTATAAAAGAGAAAAAAAATGTTGAATTTTAAGAAATTCAATTTTTCGGATTTTTGATAATTTTTAATAATTTTTTATTTTTTTCCAAAGAGTCGAGACAATTTAATAAGTAAAGTATTTTCCAAAAGCACAAAAATAATGAAGCTAAATCCCATAAAAGAGAAGAAAAAATGTTGAATTTTAAGAAAATCGGATTTTTGAATTTTTGATAATTTTCGATAATTTTAGATTTTTTACCAAAGAGTCGAGACAATTTAATAAGTAAAGTATTTTCCAAAAGCAAAAAAATAATGAAGCTAAATCCTATAAAAGAGAGGAAAAAATGTTGAATTTTAAAAAATTCAAATTTTTGAATTTTTGATAATTTTCGATAATTTCACATTTTTTACCAAAGAGTCGAGACAATTTAATAAGTAAAGTATTTTCCAAAAGCACAAAAATAATGAAGCTAAATCCTATAAAAGAGAGGAAAAAATGTTGAATTTTAAGAAATTCAATTTTTCGGATTTTTGATAATTTTCGATAATTTTAGATTTTTTACCAAAGATTCGAGACTATTAAATAAGTAAAGTATTTTCCAAAAAAAATGAAGCTAAATCCCATAAAAGAGAAGAAAAAATGTTGAATTTTAAGAAATTCGGATTTTTGAATTTTTGATAATTTTCGATAATTTCACATTTTTTACCAAAGAGTCGAGACAATTTAATAAGTAAAGTATTTTCCAAAAGCACAAAAATAATGAAGCTAAATCCTATAAAAGAGAGGAAAAAATGTTGAATTTTAAAAAATTCGGCTTTTTGAATTTTTGATAATTTTCGATAATTTTAGATTTTTTACCAAAGATTCGAGACTATTAAATAAGTAAAGTATTTTCCAAAAGCACAAAAATAAAGAAGCTAAATCCCATAAAAGAGAAGAAAAAATGTTGAATTTTAAGAAAATCGGATTTTTGAATTTTTTTGAATTTTTGATAATTTTAGATTTTTTACCAAAGATTCGAGACAATTTAATAAGTAAAGTATTTTCCAAAAGCACAAAAATAATGAAGCTAAATCCTATAAAAGAGAGGAAAAAATGTTGAATTTTAAGAAATTCGGATTTTTGAATTTTTGATAATTTTCATTAATTTTAGATTTTTTACCAAAGATTCGAGACTATTAAATATGTAAAGTATTTTCCAAAAGCACAAAAATAATAAAGCTAAATCCCATAAAAGAGAGGAAAAAATGTTGAATTTTAAAAAATTCGGATTTTTGAATTTTTTCGAATTTTTGATAATTTTAGATTTTTTACCAAAGAGTCGAGACTATTAAATATGTAAAGTATTTTCCAAAAGCACAAAAATAATGAAGCTAAATCCCATAAAAGAGAAGAAAAAATGTTGAATTTTAAGAAAATCGAATTTTTGAATTTTTGATAATTTTCGATAATTTCACATTTTTTACCAAAGAGTCGAGACAATTTTATAAGTAAAGTATTTTCCAAAAGCACAAAAATAATGAAGCTAAATCCCATAAAAGAGAAGAAAAAATGTTGAATTTTAAGAAAATCGGATTTTTGAATTTTTGATAATTTTCGATAATTTCACATTTTTTACCAAAGAGTCGAGACAATTTAATAAGTAAAGTGTTTTCCAAAAGCACAAAAATAATGAAGCTAAATCCTATAAAAGAGAGGAAAAAATGTTGAATTTTAAGAAAATCAAATTTTTGAATTTTTTCGAATTTTTGATAATTTTAGATTTTTTACCAAAGAGTCGAGACTATTAAATATGTAAAGTATTTTCCAAAAGCACAAAAATAATGAAGCTAAATCCCATAAAAGAGAAGAAAAAATGTTGAATTTTAAGAAAATCGGATTTTTGAATTTTTGATAATTTTCGATAATTTCACATTTTTTACCAAAGAGTCGAGACAATTTAATAAGTAAAGTATTTTCCAAAAGCACAAAAATAATGAAGCTAAATCCTATAAAAGAGAGGAAAAAATGTTGAATTTTAAGAAAATCAAATTTTTGAATTTTTTCGAATTTTTGATAATTTTAGATTTTTTACCAAAGAGTCGAGACAATTTAATAAGTAAAGTATTTTCCAAAAGCACAAAAATAATGAAGCTAAATCCTATAAAAGAGAGGAAAAAATGTTGAATTTTAAAAAATTCGGATTTTTGAATTTTTGATAATTTTCGATAATTTTAGATTTTTTACCAAAGATTCGAGACTATTAAATAAGTAAAGTATTTTCCAAAAGCACAAAAATAAAGAAGCTAAATCCTATAAAAGAGAGGAAAAAATGTTGAATTTTAAGAAAATCAAATTTTTGAATTTTTTTGAATTTTTGATAATTTTAGATTTTTTACCAAAGAGTCGAGACAATTTAATAAGTAAAGTATTTTCCAAAAGCACAAAAATAATGAAGCTAAATCCTATAAAAGAGAGGAAAAAATGTTGAATTTTAAGAAATTCGGATTTTTGAATTTTTGATAATTTTCATTAATTTTAGATTTTTTACCAAAGAGTCGAGACTATTAAATATGTAAAGTATTTTCCAAAAGCACAAAAATAATGAAGCTAAATCCCATAAAAGAGAAGAAAAAATGTTGAATTTTAAGAAAATCGGATTTTTGAATTTTTGATAATTTTCGATAATTTCACATTTTTTACCAAAGAGTCGAGACAATTTAATAAGTAAAGTATTTTCCAAAAGCACAAAAATAATGAAGCTAAATCCTATAAAAGAGAGGAAAAAATGTTGAATTTTAAAAAATTCGGATTTTTGAATTTTTTCGAATTTTTGATAATTTTAGATTTTTTACCAAAGAGTCGAGACTATTAAATATGTAAAGTATTTTCCAAAAGCACAAAAATAATGAAGCTAAATCCTATAAAAGAGAAGAAAAAATGTTGAATTTTAAGAAAATCGAATTTTTGAATTTTTGATAATTTTCGATAATTTCACATTTTTTACCAAAGAGTCGAGACAATTTAATAAGTAAAGTATTTTCCAAAAGCACAAAAATAATGAAGCTAAATCCCATAAAAGAGAAGAAAAAATGTTGAATTTTAAGAAAATCAAATTTTTGAATTTTTTCGAATTTTTGATAATTTTAGATTTTTTACCAAAGAGTCGAGACAATTTAATAAGTAAAGTATTTTCCAAAAGCACAAAAATAATGAAGCTAAATCCTATAAAAGAGAGGAAAAAATGTTGAATTTTAAAAAATTCGGATTTTTGAATTTTTGATAATTTTCGATAATTTTAGATTTTTTACCAAAGATTCGAGACTATTAAATAAGTAAAGTATTTTCCAAAAGCACAAAAATAAAGAAGCTAAATCCCATAAAAGAGAAGAAAAAATGTTGAATTTTAAGAAAATCGGATTTTTGAATTTTTTCGAATTTTTGATAATTTTAGATTTTTTACTAAAGAGTCGAGACAATTTAATAAGTAAAGTATTTTCCAAAAGCACAAAAATAATGAAGCTAAATCCCTTAAAAGAGAAGAAAAAATGTTGAATTTTAAGAAAATCGGATTTTTGAATTTTTTCGAATTTTTGATAATTTTAGATTTTTTACTAAAGAGTCGAACTATTGAATAAGTAAAGTATTTTCCAAAAGCACAAAAATAATAAAGCTAAATCCCATAAAAGAGAGGAAAAAATGTTGAATTTTAAGAAAATCGGATTTTTGAATTTTTTCGAATTTTTGATAATTTTAGATTTTTTACTAAAGAGTCGAGACAATTTAATAAGTAAAGTATTTTCCAAAAGCACAAAAATAATGAAGCTAAATCCCATAAAAGAAAGGAAAAAATGTTGAATTTTAATAAAATCGGATTTTTGAATTTTTTCGAATTTTTGATAATTTTAGATTTTTTACCAAAAAGTCGAGACTATTAAATAAGTAAAGTATTTTCCAAAAGCACAATAATAATGAAGCTAAATCCCATAAAAGAGAAGAAAAAATGTTGAATTTTAAGAAAATCGGATTTTTGAATTTTTTCGAATTTTTGATAATTTTAGATTTTTTACTAAAGAGTCGAACTATTAAATAAGTAAAGTATTTTCCAAAAGCACAAAAATAATAAAGCTAAATCCCATAAAAGAGAGGAAAAAATGTTGAATTTTAAGAAAATCGGATTTTTGAATTTTTTCGAATTTTTGATAATTTCAGATTTTTTACTAAAGAGTCGAGACAATTTAATAAGTAAAGTATTTTCCAAAAGCACAAAAATAATGAAGCTAAATCCCATAAAAGAGAGGAAAAAATAATGAATTTTAAGAAAATCGGATTTTTGAATTTTTTCGAATTTTTGATAATTTTAGATTTTTTACCAAAGAGTCGAGACTATTAAATAAGTAAAGTATTTTCCAAAAGCACAAAAATAATGAAGCTAAATCCCATAAAAGAGAAGAAAAAATGTTGAATTTTAAGAAAATCGGATTTTTGAATTTTTTCGAATTTTTGATAATTTTAGATTTTTTACTAAAGAGTCGAACTATTAAATAAGTAAAGTATTTTCCAAAAGCACAAAAATAATAAAGCTAAATCCCATAAAAGAGAGGAAAAAACGTTGAATTTTAAGAAAATCGGATTTTTGAATTTTTTCGAATTTTTGATAATTTTAGATTTTTTACTAAAGAGTCGAGACAATTTAATAAGTAAAGTATTTTCCAAAAGCACAAAAATAATGAAGCTAAATCCCATAAAAGAAAGGAAAAAATGTTGAATTTTAATATAATCGGATTTTTGAATTTTTTCGAATTTTTGATAATTTTAGATTTTTTACCAAAGAGTCGAGACTATTAAATAAGTAAAGTATTTTCCAAAAGCACAATAATAATGAAGCTAAATCCCATAAAAGAGAAGAAAAAATGTTGAATTTTAAGAAAATCGGATTTTTGAATTTTTTCGAATTTTTGATAATTTTAGATTTTTTACTAAAGAGTCGAGACAATTTAATAAGTAAAGTATTTTCCAAAAGCACAAAAATAATGAAGCTAAATCCTATAAAAGAGAGGAAAAAATGTTGAATTTTTAGAAATTCGGATTTTTTGAATTTTTGATAATTTCGATAATTTCACATTTTTTACCAAAGAGTCGAGACAATTTGATAAGTAAAGTATTTTCCAAAAGCACAAAAATAATGAAGCTAAATCCTATAAAAGAGAGGAAAAAATGTTGAATTTTAAAAAATTCGGATTTTTGAATTTTTGATATTTTTCATTAATTTTAGATTTTTTACCAAAGAGTTGAGACAATTTAATAAGTAAAGTATTTTCCAAAAGCACAAAAATAATGAAGCTAATTCCCATAAAACAGAGGAAAAAATGTTGAATTTTAAGAAAATCGGATTTTTGAATTTTTTCGAATTTTTGATAATTTTAGATTTTTTACCAAAGATTCGAGACTATTAAATAAGTAAAGTATTTTCCAAAAGCACAAAAATAATGAAGCTAAATCCCATAAAAGAGAAGAAAAAATGTTGAATTTTAAGAAAATCAAATTTTTGAATTTTTTCGAATTTTTGATAATTTCACATTTTTTACCAAAGAGTCGAGACAATTTAATAAGTAAAGTATTTTCCAAAAGCACAAAAATAATGAAGCTAAGTCCCATAAAAGAGAGGAAAGAATGTTAAATTTTAAGAAATTCGGATTTTTGAATTTTTGATAATTTTCGATAATTTTAGATTTTTTACCAAAGAGTCGAGACAATTTAATAAGTAAAGTATTTTCCACATTAAAAAGTTTGACATTAAAAAATATATAAAAAATGCCAATACTTAACCCACAAAATTAAATTTTCAAAACAAACAAATGAATGCAGATAATTTGCTAACGGAAAGGAAACTTACGATTATTATAATGTATGTATATGTATATGTATATTTCTATTTTCTATCAAAACGTATAAAAAACAAAAGAATAACTATAACTAACTTCAAGTGTGGACAGAGATCCGGAAATCTGGAATCACGACGATTATTATATATAATATTTGAAAATAATTAAATTCTTTCGAGAAATTGAATTAAAGTTGTTTCGAAAATAATTGAATTTCTGTAAATAATTTTATTAAAATTAAGCATATTCAAAATAATTGTATTCATCAGAAGAATTTTATTATTTTTTGAAAATAATTGAATTCTTTTAATTTTTTGACGGTTATATTTAAAAATTGCATTGAAAGTAATATAATTTTCATATAGAATTTTTTAAAAATATTTTGAGAATAATTGAATTATTTTTAGAGAATTTGAAATTCTTGATGAAATTTAATTTTATGGAAATTTTTGACAATAATTAAATTCTTTCGTGTAATTTTATTTAAATTGGATTAAAAATAATTTAATTCCTGCAAAGAATTTTAGTATTTATAACAATAGTTGAATATTGTTTCGAAGAATTTATTAAAGTTTAAGGAAATAATTGAATTTTATGGATATATTTGAAAATTTTTTAATCCTGCCGAGGAATTCAATTAAAATGGTTTTTGAAAATAATTGAATTCCTGCAAAGGATTTTACTATTTATAAAAATAATTGAATTCTTGCGAAGAATTTTACTATTTTTAAAAATAATTGAATTCTTTCGTGAAATTTTATTAAAATTTTAGAAAATAATTGAATTCTTTCGTGAAATTTTATTTGAAAATAATTGAATTTTTGCAAAAAGTTTTACTATTTATAAAAATAATTGAATTCTTCCAAAGAATGTTATTATTTATATAAAAATAATTGAATTCTTGTGAAGAATTATATTAAAATTTTTGAAAATATAAACAATAATAATTAATTTTGTACGTAATAGGTAAATTTAAAAAATTTTGTTTATGAAATTATTTTAAAATTTATATTTGAAAATAAAAAATTTTGTAATTTTTTATTATTGCGTATCATTTGCCAGTGTATTAATAAAGTGATAAGAATTAAAAATTGTATACCTTGTGTGGAAATCCACTCATAATGACAGAATTTCTCGCAAGTTCGCACATATCGCATGAGCTTAATTTCCAAACTTGAGCGGCAATGCTGTATTCCTCCATTAATGGTTCCTTGGTGAAATGAAATTGAAGTGGATCGTCAGTTGAGAGACTGACACAAAGTCCTCTGGCCAAATATTCCGGTAGTGGATTGCGATGGTAATTGAGAAATAGGGAATTATTGCTGAGTGGTGACATTGCAATGCCAATTTGCGCCAAATAGTAAAGATATTGAAGCACTGGTACTTTTCTTAGCAAAAGACCGTGGGAGATGTTTTCTGCCATCATATAACCGCAAACTAAGTGCTGGATCGGTCCTGCCTCTCCACAATGTGGTCTCAAAACAAACGTATTTAGTCCTTGTTCTCTATAAATAACATTATTTTCACACTTAATTTTTTATTTATAAAATTAAATTTTTCATAATTCTTTTTCCAAAAAAGGGCCAAAACTGTGAAATAGGATTTTTTTGTCATACTTCAAAGCCAAAAAGCTTTATGAAGACCAAACTAAATTTAAAATTTTAATTAATTAAAAATGATGAATATTATATTTTTATTTTTTATTATTTTAATTTTATATTATTAATAAATTACTATAGAAAAATATTCAAGTGATTTCTTACGCTCTGAAATGATTGAGAACAGTCATATTTGCGTATGTATAGTACTGATAGTATCCATAAGGAGGATTTTCAATATCATCCCATTTTTCCGGTGGAAACACGTCCTTGTCAAAGAGAGGATTCTCCGGTTTGCTCTCATCGTCGACGGAATCGAAACCAATCACCTATTATTAAAAATTATTATAAAGTACAAATTTTTCAGTATAAAAATAATAAAATTTAAAAAATTTAGTCTTTCAGAAAAAAAATTTCGAACCATTGATTTGAACGAAACTCACATATTGAAGAAATTTATGAAGTTCCGGATGCGAATTAGGATCGTTTGTCGCTTCGAAAAGCGGTAAAAATATGTTGTTAAGTATCTCTTGAAAATTCTTCATAAGTTTGTTTAGTTTAAAAATATCACTGTAAATATAAGAAAGTAATTAGAATCTAAAAATAAAATTATATTTGCTTTTTTAATTTCTAACTATTTTATCAAATATTTTCATTTTTAAAATTATTGAATTCTTGCTAAGAATTTTACAATTATATAAAAATAATTGAATTTTATTTAATATGTTTAAAAATAATTGTATTCTTTTGAGAAATTTTATTAAAATTGCATTTAAAAATAATTGAACTTTTTTGAAGAATTTTATTATTTATAAAAATAATTGAATTCTTTCGAAGAATTTGAACAGAATTTTCGAAAATAATTGAATTTAATTAATATTTTAAAAAATAATTGAATTCTTTCGAGAAATTTTATTAAAATTGAATTAAAAATAATTTAATTCCACCGAAAAATTTTATTATTAATGAAAATAATTTAATTCCTTTGAAGAATTTTTTTATTTTTATGAAAATAATTAAAATTTTAAGAAGAATTTAATCAAAATTTTTTAATATAGTTTGAATTCTTTAAAATAAATTGTATTTAAAATGCTGAAAAATTAGTATTTAAATTCTATAAGAAGTAATATAATTTTTCAATAATTTAATTAAAAAATTGACATACCTAATTAAATTTATATAAACAAATTGTGTTATTTTTTAATTTTTATAGAAATAATTTAATATTTTATACAAGAAATTTCTTCAAAATTTTGAAAATAATTGAGTTTTTAAAATAAAATTTCACAGACAATTTTAGAAATAATTGCATTTTTCAGATTAACTCAATTTTAGAATTATTTTTTAAAAAATTAAATTTTTGGAATTATAGTTGAAATTTTTGAAGTTTTAAAAAAGATATTGAAATTTATTAAAATTGCATTGAAAATAATTGAATGGTTCCGAAAAATGTACTATTAATGAAAATAATTGAATTGTTCCGAAGAATGTATTATTAATAAAAATAATTGAATTCTTGCGAAGTATTATATAAAAATTTTTGAAAATATGAACAGTAATAATTAATTATATACTTAATAAGTGAATTTTTTAAATTTTGATTATGAAAGTATTTAAAAATTTAAATTTGAAAATAAAAAATTTTAGAATTTACGTTTAATAATAATCAATTTAATTAAAAATATAAACTCACTATAATCTGGGAATTTGTATGAGCCAGCGAACATTGTCAGAAGAAACATCGCCTTCAATTGCCCATTTCGCTAATTTGTCCCATTCGTCGGGACTCTTTCCATAAATTGAAAGACGAAGTTCAGAATTCTGGTATTTTGATTCCTCAAGATCACTCGACACTTCTTTAATTATTCGCGCAAAGTATTTGCCATTTAAATAATTATCCGTTTTTAGAAAAACCTCACGCAGTCGACTCTCACCGATTGGATTATATTTTGCATTAAACTTATCAAACCTGTGAAAAGTATTTCGATCCTGAAAGAAAATACGTAATTAATACATAAATACATAAATTTTATTCTTTTATTTGTATTTACGTTATTTTTCAATTTTTTATTTTCCATTTAAGCGAATTTTCTTCGATAGAAATTTTATTTTGTAATTTTTTTTTTGATCGTGAGTGGTTCAAAATTTTATTTGAATTTAGAAAAATGAGAAAACTTACAGCATGAACGTCAAGCATGTCTACACTGAGATCATAGGTTGTCAAATTCATTGACTGAAATACTTCTCGAAGTGTCATTGTTTCTCCAGTTTTCGAACATGTCACTACTTCATCGGCGTGATTTTTAAGCGTCTTTTTGATAAATCGCAGTAAATGTTTCTGATTCATGCAAGAGGCCGCGTGAATATGTGTATCAACCTAAAAGAGAAAAATTATTTATTCAAAAAAAATAGTAACAATCTCTTTAAACATATTCTCATTATCTCAGAAATATTTAATTAATTTAATTTTCAAATTTTTATTTCGATTCTAAATTAAATTTCAAATTGAAATTCAAACTCAAATTCGAAAGAAAAAAATCATGATGAACTCGTTACCTTTCTAATATTATAAAAATCTCGATGAGGAACCGCCTTTTGACTCGCGAGTTCCCTAAGTTCGTTGAGAAGAACATGCAATTGAAATTTCGATGAGAGATAACTCAGTCTTCGATAGCAAAATGATTTCAATGGTCCATCGGCAATCATTGCACAAAGAACATTCATATCACCGACAAATGTCGCTAAATCTGGATATGAATAAGGAACTGGTTTTTTATTTTCTAAATCTTCATCAGTGGCGAATAAATTAAAAACTCCATTAATAGGCGCAATTCGGTAATTTTTCGTCGGTGGGAATTCACATTCCCATGGATCGCCACGTGATGCTGGCACGTGAACTGGATGATCTAGAGAGAAAATAATTCTACAATTAATAATTCATGTATTTGACAAAATTATATTTCTTTTTTTATTTTACACGTATTTAAAAAATTCCAAAAAAAAACAGACAGAAAAAAATAGAAAAAAAAAGAATTATGAAACATGACAACAGACGAGGATAAAACAAAATTTGATTATTAAAATTAAAATATCAATCATTAGTCAAGGAAGAAGGAAAAATAATAAAAAGAAGATTAAATGAAGTGAATAAAACAAGGAAGGGAAGGGAAAAGGACCTGTTAAATTCAAGTTCTTGATGACGGCGTCGATGTCTGCGTCAGAGCGAATTTCTGAGATTTCATCACTGAGACAAGTTGAACTCGCTCCTTGAGAAATAAACCGCAAAATTAATGAATTAAAGTTATTTTTTTATTTAATTAAAAATAATGATTACTATTTAAATAATAATTATTCATTACTTTATTACAAATTATGATATTAATCTCCAAAAGTAGAAATGGAATAACTAAATAAATAAAATTCATTTAAGTATTAAATTAAATATAGAAATATAAAATTATAAAATTAATTAATATTATAATTTTTTTTCATTTACCTTTAATGGTCTTTCGATCATCGTGTTGAAAATCGTCTCCTGTCGAGTGAGGCCTTTTGTCAACACTTCGCAAAAATCTTGACGTAATTGTCGGAAATGTTTGTTTGGAATTATTCATGTATTTCTCGCGAGTTGCCAGTGCCTGAACCAATAATTGCGATGCTTGATGTAAGTCTTCCAATGGTACCTGAAAAATATTATAAATTAATAAATAAGACTAAATAATAATTATAACAAATAATTCGATACATTAAATAAAAAATATTAATAAAGAAACTAAAAAAAATATAAAGACTTGAAAAATTATTATTGCGATTAAATTTCAAAAAAAGATAAATATCAAATATCTAATACTAATCGCTCTATTTAAAAAGAAAAATGAATAAATAAAAAAAAAATTAACTAAGACATTCTATTGTCTTAATTCATATTTTACGACCTTCACTGTCTCCTTATGATGTAAGTCATATCGAACCGCTTTTTCAAGAGGGATGTATTATGCGAATGAAACTATTATACAATTAATTTTCATTTAAAAAGGAATTTTTTCCCAAACAACAAAATTCTTAAGGATAAAAATTTATTCTCATATTTTTTTCCCCCGAGTATTTAATATTTTTTCTAGAATTATTAGTATTTTTCTTTTTTGTTTATTAGTTTTTCTTAATATCATAGACTAGTTTAGTAGTTGGATTGTTTTTTTTTCCTCTCTATAACGATTAATACAATAATTATTGTTGCATTTAACAAAAGATTTATCTTTGTAAGGAACTAAGAAATTATGCAATCAAAGTTACACAATGAGGATTATGTTCGCTCTCAAATTGAATCTACTTATATGAATATACATAATAATATTTTATAAATGTGTGCGTCGAAAATTTAATTCCATATCATTAGCTTTTTCCCATTAATTTGATTAATAAATAATAATTCGAATTAACTATTAGATTATTATTCAGATAATAATATAAATTAAATAATTTCGTGCAGGGGCGAAAGCTAAAAATATATAAAATATAAAATATTAACTATGTGGATTTTTTAAAAACAAATTTGACATCTCCTACTATATTATTTTAATTAAAACAAATTTTTCATCTTTTACTATAAATTAAATAATTTAAAAAAGTTATAACAATACACTCATGTTTACAATAAATCAAATCAAATACTAATAATGATAAAAGTAATAAAAATAAAATTTTTGATAAAAAGTAAAAAAAAGGCGAAAAAGTCGCATTTTTTTAATATAAGTCGATAAAAATCGCATTATTTGAAAATAGTCGAAAAAAGTCGAAAAAGTCATAATTTCCAAGGCCTGTAAATAATGAAATTAAGAAGAAGAATTTAAGAATTATTAACTCTATAATAATAATATAATAATAAATAATATTAATATTTATAATAAAAATAGTAACATTAATATTAATAATGAAAATAATATTAATAATAATATTTTTCCTCAGCTCGTAAATAATTTTCTGTTCATAAATTTTATCATCAACATTGAAGGAAAATTCATATTTTTTTCATAGAGATATTTTTGAGCACTTTTAATTGAAAATTCCATTGACTGACATCATCTGACAAGGTCAATGTGAACTACGTTGATTATAAAAGTGAGGATTAAAGAGACTTTCAAGGCAACGTATCGAGAAAGGGATGAAAGGTGGTTGTTAACAAGGGTTTCTTCCGACTTTTCCAGGCTTCTCTTTTAAGAATCTTTTTTTTCTATTAAGAGATACGTATATCAAGCTCACTAATCTAACAACTTGATCTCTCTTAATTATTTTTCTCACTTTACAATTTCCTTAAAATTAAGAGTTGGCAAAATAAATTAACATTAATAAATTTGCGAAAAATGAGAAGAGAATTCTTATAATTCGTTTAATAATGAAAAATAATTTTTTGCTGTTAAATCTCTCTCTATTATTATCAATTATATTATTGTTACTTTATATTTATTGTTAATAATATTATAATTGATATTAACAATAATTGTTATTAATAATAATTATTATTAGAAATAATAATTATTTTTATATTATTATTAGTAATAATTACTATTTTTATATTATTATTAGTAATAATTACTAATTTTAAATTATTACTAGTAATAATTACTATCTTTATATTATTATTAGTAATAATATTACTAATTTAAAATTATTACTAGTAATAATTATTATTTATTATTATTTGTCCTAGTATGTAAAATTTACCCCGGAAGTATCCTCTCCAGAAATGGAAACTCGTTGGAAATGCGGTACAAAGTCATTCTCTTCAAGTTTAAAGGGATGTTCGATATCATCCGGCACTCCTGGTCCAATAGATGGCTCATAATGACTGCGTCTTTCCTCGAGATCCTTCGCAGCCCTGAAATCGAATCATTTTACTATTAGAAAACTTTTAATTTCAAATACAACAAATTTTATATGAAATTAAAAATTAAATTAAATTAAAACAAAAATTTTTAAATTGTTACCGCCTTTAAATTTTTATCACTGTTATTAACTAAAATATTTTATTCGTTTAAATTTCTTCTAAATAAATAATTATACCAAACAAAATTTATTATAAATTATTTCATAGTTTGGTGAAAAAAAATTTAGAGAACATAATTAAAGTTTTTGATTGATAAAATTAATAAATATAAACGAATATATAAATATCAAAGAAAAATTTACAGAAGCTGATAAACTTGTCTGGCTGCAAAATTAAAATTTATTCAGGAAATAAATAAATGTATCAAATCTTGTTTATAAATTATAGCTAATAAATTAATCATGTTTCAAGAAACATAAATATCTTGACCACTTCTATCAGGGTAATTTATTAAATTAATTAATTACATTCCCCATTAAGAAATGATTATTGCCAAAAATTTACTTCATAACTACCCTCGCGACAAATATAGGTAAATTAATGACAATTTAAAAATAGATTTTCGTAATTTAAACAGAAAGAATATGAGAAAAAAAAAGGTTGTTAATTCTTTACAGTTATGAAATTTAAAAACAAAATTTAATTATTAATTATTATTATCATTATTAATTTTTTAGTGTGAAAAGTAAATTTTATTATCATTAAATAATTATTACTAAAATATTGAGAGTATGTAATTTAATTTAAATTGAAATATTCAATTGAACAACAATGATAATCCATTAAAGCTTCAAGATACGAGAATTAATGTTTAGATTGTTAATTTTGAAGATTTTGTTATCAGGTTGAAGCAATAATAAGTATTCGCACGCCAACATTAGTTTCATGGAACGATATTCTATATCAACTATTCCAAAATAAACTGCATAAGACATTATATGAATTGACGTCAGATAATACTATATATCAGATAGAGATCATCTAATGCAACATTTTTCATCTCAAATAAACACATACTTTGCAATCTTAAATTCGAGATATCCCTTTTCTCAAGGATAAGACTAAAATAAAAATTCCAAAGCAAGAAAAATTTTCTTGATAGTACGAATTTTTTTAATATAAATTCAATTTGATAACAAAAATTAAATTTGTATTATAAATTAAATTTCATAACAAAAATTAAATTTGTATTAAAAATTCAATTTACGTTATCAAATAAAATTTTACGTAGACAAAACGAAATAGAATTTTTTTGGTTTAGAAAAAAAAGAGATAAAAATTATTAAACAGTGAATAATATTTAATAATTATCTTTTGCGATAATTCTATGAAAATTTAAATAACAATTACCTCACGAGTATTTTACAATCTCTCAACCATCGTTTCGATTCGATGGCACCGGCAAACATTATTTTCTTTAAAATAATTTAATCAATCTCTGTAAATTATTTTCTCAATACAATCAACATGTGTCACATAATTAACAAAATAAAAATTATTACTCGTAAATTTTTCACTGTACATTGTAGATGTCATGGAATTTATCCCTCCGGTGATTCAAATTTAACAACACTTAACGAACAATTTTTTTTTTAAATAAAAAGCATCATATAAATAAATAAATTAGATAAAAAATATTAACCGAAAAAATAAAAATGTTTGTAAATAAATGAAAAAGAATAAATTTCCGCACTAATAAATCTTTCCTAATAACAAATTTACAAAGTATTATTTTCTTTCTTAATGAATGCCAAGGGTTGTTAAGAAGAACGAAAACATTGCACTCAACTCGGCAGACGCGCAAAGACTGAGATGACCTACGGTTGTTGCAACCCCTACTTTACACAACTATATACATACAGTGTATTAATTGATGACCAAACTGAACACCTTTTTTTCACACTTATCAATAAAAATTCTACAATTGTAAATAAAAACTGAAACTAATCAATTTTAATTAATTCCCAATTAGACAATTTTTAATAATTCAACGACAAAAATAATTATTAATTAATTTCTAATCAATCATGAATCAAATTCAGTAAAGATTATTTTAAAAAGAAGGAAAAATTAGAAATACTCTAGCAATAATAATTAACAAGGTAATTTTTTCAATTTTTTTTTTAAATTAATATTTTTTATTTATTAAAATTTCCAATTTTGTGCCGATAAAATTTTTTTTTTATTAAATTAGTTTCGGGCGTTACATCAAGCAACGTGAGTTGTACTGCGGAACATTATTGATCCACAAAGTATTCTTAGGTTTAAGAATTTCTAATAAAAAAAAGTGTGAAGGATTCAATTTCTATACAAGAAATAGCAGCTTTTTTGTCGACTATGAAAAGGAAACATTTTTTAAGCTCGAAAAAAAAGGAAGTTGTTGAAAATGATGAAAAGCTATTTGAAATGAAAAAATCTCTTTTCTTTTTGGATTTTTGTTCTTCAAACACGTCATAAAAGAGGAATTCAAATTATTCTCGTTGGGGAAAAAAAATTGCTTACTTTACTGTAAGTTGTCGTTGAATAAGAAGCTTTTTCTCAATTTGCTCAATTGGAAATTGTGGCACTTCGTATGGTGCAGAAATTTCATTTGGTAGTTCATGAGATGCTAATCTTCCCGATCCACCTTCATGACCAAATACCGGACTTTCACTCCCTGAAAATTATCGAAAAATTATTATTAGAAAAAATATTATTATTAGAGAAAAATCATTATAACTAGATAAAAATAAAATAATTACAAAAATAAAGTAATTATTTTATATTATAAGAATTATTCGGAAATTCTTCAATTAAATATAAATTAGAAAATAAAAACTTGAAATAATTGCAAAAGAAATCCATTAAACTTTATCAAAAAAATTAATTCTACCCAATTGTTATAGTTAAAAGTATGAAAAATTAAGATATTCAAAAATTTTAATATAAAAATTCTACGAAAATTCACATATTTAAATACACAAATAAATAATTTATTGAATTCTCATAAAACATTTTATCAACAAATTTTTAAAATAATTAAATTCTTGACTGGAATTTTATTACAATTTTCGAAAATAATTTAATTCTTTAGATAAATTTTAATAAAATTATAAAGAATTGAATTTTTTTAATTTTGAAATATTTAAGAAAAATTATTCATTAAATATAATTTATGAATTAAAACTTTATGACTGTTGTTAAAGATAATTAAATTATTTAAAATAAATTATTGTCAGAAATGAAAAAAATGGAAGGTTTTGTATTAGAATTCGTGGAAATTTGTTAGTTTATGAAGCAAACAAAAAAAAGACACCAAAATTCAAAATTTTCTTATGAATTCTAAAAATTAATTAGATTTCATGAATAATCACAATAACTTTAGAAAACAACAATTTTCTCCAGGATTCCGATAAAAATTCCCCGACTTTTCCAGGTTTTTTCAAGGTTTTCTACGTAATTTATCATCCCTTTTAAAATAAGTATTTTTTTTTTAAATTTTACCCTCGATTTTCAATTGACCACTTTTCTGCAACCACTCTACAATACTTGATGAATCGGTCTTAAACAGTTCATCTTCTCGCTCCAAAACCATAATGTTAATATATTTGCACAGAAAAAAATTACTAGAGGTAAAAAAATAAAAACAAAAAGTAAAATTTCCCCTTTTAAAACTATTTTTTGATTAATAATCACAATATTAACTGTAAAATTCTTCTTAAATTTTGAATCTGTAGTATAGGAAACTATGATTCACTAGAAGTTAAAATCAAATTCAAGAATCTTATTACAAAAACACACTTTTCGAATCTCTGCACGTAAAATGCAATACAGCAGACAAGGATGAGTCAATTTCCAGAGAATAAAGTATAAAATACGTGAATCACATAAAACTATTTGTGACACTTTCAGAAAGAAGTTAAATAAACTTTTTTTCTTAACTCAGCCAGAAAAAGTTTTCAACAATAAAAGAAGAAAAAAAGTGAAATAATGAAAAAATAAAATGAAAACAATTTAATTTACAACAATCAAGTTATATAACACTGTTTTTAACCTTTCTCAATATTTTAAATGCGTATAAGACACAATGAATATTAAACCAAAAATAAACAAAGTAATTCCTAACCTCCAAATACGATTATAAATAGAAAAGCACGAAAATCGAATTTAAAAGAAATAAAATATACGCCGGGAGTTGAATATTGAATCACAGTTTCCCTTTTTTTTAATTTAGTTCTGATTGGATATATTCACTGAGAAAAAAATCACTGATTTAAATAAGAAAAATGCGCACAACAATATAAAGGGCACTGACCATCCCCTTCGCCAGTATAGAAATTACTGACTGCTCGTGTGTGCAGCTGGCACACAAAACACTCTTCGTACTCTCATAAATGTTTCATGAATAATCAAGGCCGCATTCACGCACTTGTAAACACATATATAAAAATAAGAGGTTTTTCGTGAATAAATTTTGTAATTCCATGTTTGCAATTATTTTCGTGCGGCATTTTTGTTATTAACAAACAATTCTCTGTTTCTTAGATTATTTCCTTTTTTTCACTGATAACTTCATTCTTTTACTATATACACTGTATATATTTCAAAATTCTTTTTTATTCATTTCGTAATTGTTTATTTAATCTTTGTTTATTTCTCTGCACGTCAAAGTTCATTTCCCTTTAAATGCTTTAATAAATATTACTATATATGGTAACAACTACTACGTGAATATTTATATAAACTATAATTAAAATATTCCTTATTCTAGTATAATTATATAAAGATATAATAAATTCTACTAATATGATAAATTTTCAAATTGATTTTTGTTTAGAAAATTAATTAATTAATTAATTAGAAAATACTTTTTTATTAAATAGTTGGACATTTGACTTATTTGAAAAACCGGAAGTGAAATACTGTAAAGTTCGTTAAAAGGGTTTTAGAGGGGATGGAAAAGTTTAAAAATTTATAATCTCTATATTAATTGTGTTTATATAATAGAAATATTAAAAACGGAAGTTTCTTCAAGAAATATACTGTTTTTTTTATATTTTTAATAGAAGTTATTTAAAGTCTCTCGAATTAAATTAATTGGAATAAAAAAGAATTTTGAATTACGACCTTGAAAAAAAAATCAATAATCATTATGGCGGGATTGTCGGTTATATTTTGTTACTTCCGGTTCATTGTAGCGTCTCTTGGCCTGTCTTGTCGCTTGTTTGTTGCGAAAGTTTACCATTATTTCATCCATCGGACATTCCAGAATATAATAAAATACGTCATTTGAAACTAAAATTGCATCTATTTCAAAAGTGATAAATGGGAAATTCAATTATGGACGGGGAAATTGATAAAAAGTTGCAATTTGGAAATGATAGAGAGCACATTCAGGGACCTCAGGGACACAAAGTTCATCTGTAATCGTCTCGTGAATTTACGAAATGTTTTGTCCCAAAGAAGAAAGAAAAGATTGTTTTTAACGATTATTAAAGAGGTAAATATAAAATTACACAAAAAAATATTCATACTGATAAGTATTGTGAGACAAAATTTTTAGGTTATGTTACAATTCCGCGTTTTTTCCACTTGCGACAATTTCGCATCTTTTTTCATAAAATGATGATTTGTTTTTCTCGCAAAAAAGCACGTTTTTTTACCTCGCCACGAACAAAATATGTTTATAATTTTGAAAATATAGAAAAGCCCGAGTTTTTTTTAACTAAAATTGTTCACCCTTTAATTATATTAAATGAAATTAAATTTTAAATTACGACACACGAGTCATTCAGTAGTAATATTTAATTGAAGGAACTTGAACTCTCTTTGTCTAGCGAGAGACAAATGTTTACATTCAAAATAGCATAAAGATTTTATTAATAGTAACACTGCGTTTCTATTTTAGAATCGCATTCGAAAACATTGAATAAAATTACTACTATGCACGCCATTTGAAAAATACGAATGAAAAAAGTTCTTTTTTTCCTGTGAACAATTTATGTTTTTTTAAAAAAAATCGCGAAAAATAATATTATTTATTTAAATTTATTTTCAGAATGATAAGAGTATTGAACAAGAATTTTTTTTCTTGATGAAAGTACTCGATGTTAGGAATGTGATCGAGTTTCTTGAACGTTAATAAAACTAGAGCATTTGTATTGAAATAAATGCGAGAAAATAACGGTTAAAACGAGAAATATTGAATTATTCATATCTAGTAATAATAGATATTCTTTATTATTATTACAATTTTTATTATTTCTATTATTATTAGTACTTCTTTTATTATTATTACTAATAGAGTAATAACAGTTATTTATTATTATTTTTATAACTAAAATTATTAAAATAATTATTATCAAATAGTAACTATTATATTCGTTTAAAAATTAGTTTTATTCATTTTATTAATTTTTTCTTAATAGAATTTTTTTTATTAATATCGAAATATTAAAAAAAAAAGCTTTCTCACGAAGAAGCAAAATTAAAGACACGTGGAGACATTCAATATTATATACACTTGTGTCAAAGTGAATAATCAAATAAATTTCATCGTGGAAAAATACCAAATGAATTCCGAAGAAAACTTTCTTTCGCTATTTTCTAGATTCTATAGACTTCCTATAGTGTCGTTCAGTTTTCAGAATATAAATTGCTGAATAAATCGAGTATTTGCAATCTGACACCAGAATAAAATAATCTTTTTTACTATATTTGGAATTTGCGTAACTTGTTTTGTAAATACATTATAATTAACAGAATTTTTAATTTTTAGACAAGCTTATCAATATTGTTTTTTTTAAATTTTTCCTTAAAAATATTGAATACTTTATTTTATTTATAGTTTTAATAATTTTTACTTCGTTATAAGCCTCTGATTATTCTACTTTATATATATTTCAGCAGCTGTACTAAATGATGAATCAGTGAATATTTTTCCGAGAAATTATAAAAGAAAAAAATTAAAATAATATTTTTTTCCAATAAAATTACGTCTCAATAGAGTTCACAATATGTTTATGCTCAACGATTGAAGGGGAAAAATTGTTTTTTCGTAAATAATAAAATATTTTATTATTTACAATTTTTCTTTTTCAAATTATTGATAAAAAAATTATGCAAAACATTTTTTATACCAAAATATATAAAAATATGAAGAAGAAAACGTTTTTCTTTATACGAAAACAATAAAGTTTTCTTTTTAAAATTATTCTTAACAAAATTATGCAAAACATTTTTTATACATAAATGTATAAAAATTTAAATAATCATGTTTTTCTTAACGAAAAGAATAAAATGTTTTGTTACAAATTTTTCTTTTACAAATTATTCTTGAAAGAAATTATGTAAAAGATTTTTTATACAGAAATACAATATAAAAATTTGATTAAGGAAATATTTTTTCTTAACGAAAACAATAAAATGTTTTGTTTACAAATTTTTCTCTTAAAAATTATTCTTCAAAAAATTGTGTAAAACATTTTTTGTACAAAACTAAAAATTTAAATAAGAAAATGTTTTTCTTAACGAAAACAATAAAATATTTTGTTTACAAATTATTCTTGAAAAAATTGTGCAAAACATTTTTTGTACAAAATTTAAAATTTAAATAAGAAAATGTTTTTCTTAAAGAAAACAATAAAATATTTTGTTTACAAATTATTCTTGAAAAAATTGTGCAAAACATTTTTTGTACAAAATTTAAAATTTAAATAAGAAAATGTTTTTCTTAAAGAAAACAATAAAATATTTTGTTTACAAATTATTCTTGAAAAAATTGTGCAAAACATTTTTTGTACAAAACAGTAAAAATTAAAAAAAAAACATTTTTTCTTTGAAATCGTTGATTATAAACGTTTTGTGAACCACAATATAAAATTGAAAATTAATATAAACCTCATTGAATCAATAATTTTGTTAATTAATAAACGTGTATATTGAAATTGACTTTTTAGAAAATATCAAAAATACTGAAAAATGGATTGAATTTTTCGTGGTTAAAATAATATTTCTAAATGAATTCTCAATTGGCGTCGTGTCAAAAAATATCTTCATTATTGAACAAAGAAGTAAAGTTTCAGAAAATCTATTCTTGACGAAAAAATAGTTTTTAAATTATTTTATTTTCTTTCGATTCTAAAAATTTAACTTATTTTAATGATTTTCAAAATATTTCCCTTTTCTCTTTAATTTAATTCATTTTGCAAAAATAATTTCATATATAAAAATCTCTATTCTAGAGTTTTAATCTTATTTCGTACAAAAGAATGAAATTAGTAGAAGAAAAATTAAAATTACCACCAATTTTTTTTTTATTTACCTTTTTTAGACGTTGAAAATTTGTCATTATTTAACCAAAAGTTCTTAATATCCATGAGATTTATTTTCTATTTTTTGTTTATATTTTCTATTTTTATTTTACTTTACTTTTATTTTTTTTAAAAGAAAAATTTTTTTTTAAGCTATCAAAAAGTTACCAAAGCAATGAAAATACGCGACTGCAAATTATTACCAATTATATTGCACAAGTGATAAATGTAATTCTATATGTTAGAATGTCAGCAAACGTATTTATCAGCTCTGCGGAATAGTTGAGTAAATTCACTGTATCGACAGAGTAAACGATAAGATAACGCGAGCCTATAAAATCGCGAGACAAAATCTACGACAGAAAAATCTATTTTTAACTTTTTTTTAAATTAAATATAAAATAACCAAAATAAATAAAATTAAATTAAAATTTAATATAAAAATATCTTTAAAAGAAAGAATAAAAATATCTTAGCTTTATATTTATTTGAATTTCGTCAGTAATTTTATTTTGTTCTTCTTACTCGCAATTTTACAAATCTAGGATTTATTTAACAATTATTGTTAATTCAATTGAATTAAATAGATAGATTTTTAAATAATATTTTTACCTTCATCAGGATCGATGAAAAGATTTTGTGGAATCAAAATACTAATGAATGGCCTATCCCTCGAAGTAGTAACTCCTCTACTAGACATTTCGTAAAATTCTACTTCTTTTCGCAAATTTTACTATTTAAACAATAAATTAAAATTGTAACACTTTTTCAGATCGGGAATAATTGTTGCAGTGTCACTTGAAAAAAATTCCTTTGGCGCACTAATCGACGTCAACTTCGTCACTGTGCTAAAGCCAGCGTGAAGGATTTTATGATAAATATACGTGTAAATTAAAAATTAGTATACCTTTTCAAGAGTCAAGTGTTAAATTGTGCCAGAAATTTTTTTTTTCCTATTTTCATATTTTTAATATTCTAAAAACTCAGAGCTTTAAAAAAATTCAAAACATTTGTCGTTTCGTCCAATAGAAAGTTAAAAATTAATTAACAAGTAACGATTGTGTTAAAAGGAAATATTTAATTAAATATTTGTTAATTAAATATTTCGTGTCGGTATGTTTTAAAGAAAAAAAGGTAAATTTTTTCCTTGCCCGAGAAAAAAGAATATTGCGCAAAATAACAAAATCACATTTTTGTCGCATGAACGAAATAGCACTAGTGGATTTTGCGCTCGCTTTTCTTTCTTTTTTTTTATGTAAAATCGATTTTTCAAACACTGTGAAATATGAAACACAATATTGGGTAATTTGAGTAGAAATCAATAACTTACATAAATGTTTATATAAAGAAAATAAATATAAATATTCAAATATTTGTTTTAAAAAAAATGGGAAATTGTTTAAATGAATGGCCAATTCGTAACTGACGATTCCGAGACACTGCCGTGAGTCTGCTCTAGTTTGTCTTATTTCTATTCACGTACCACAAACTCCAATTCTAATACACGTGCACATTTAACAACTTGCCAAAACGTCAGTTGTAGGTGATAAAAAGCATCAGGAATGTTAAGAACAGTGAATATGGGACTCAAGCCAGTCAGCTGTTTTTAAACATCTCATTCAGTTAATAATCAAGCCAAAATTTCATTCTTAATTTTATCCGAATTATCAAAAATTCACTCGATTCGTCCTTGAGATATTTTTTTTAGTAAATACTTGAAAAATTCATTTTTTCTAAATTTTTATACACTTCCAAAAAATGTATGTAATTGTTTCAAAATAATCGTTTATGATTAAAATTTAAATAATAATAATAATAATAATAAATTATTAGTAATATGATTCTAAAGTTCTGAACGTTCAAATGAATGAAATTTATTTAATTTCTTCTTCAAAATAAATTTTTATTACAATAATTTTGCGTCACTGTAAAAAAAATTAATTATAAAGTTTCTAAATGTAAAATTTAAGTTTTTAATTTTTATTGCAAAATGTATGTATTTAATTTTTTTTACAATTCTTCTTAAGAATTCAATTATTTTCAAAAATAATACATTTTTTTTATGGGAATTCAATTATTTAAAAAAATTTGAATAACATTCTTCGCTAGAAATCAATTATTTTCATAAATAATAAAATTTTTCTTGAGAATTCAATTATTTTTAAAAATGTTAATAAAATAATTTATAAATTTGAAAAATTATAATAAAATTGATCATAGAATACAATTATTTTCGTAAAATACAACATTCTTCCTAAGAATACAATTATTGTAAAAGATGTTTGTAAAAATCTTCGAAACAATTTAATTATTTTCGTAAAAAATAAAATTCTTCGAAGCAATTCAATTATTTAAGAAATTTTAATAAAATTCTTTCCAAGAATTTAATTCTTTTCAAAAATAAATATTTTCACAGCACTTCAATTATTTACAAAAAATTTCTTTTTAATTCTTTGTCAGATTTCAATTATTTTCAATTTTTTAATGAAATTTCTAGATAAAATTTAATTATTTTTAAAAAGTTTTAAAAAATTTAATTATTTAAAAAAATTTGAATAACATTCTTCGCAGGAAATTAATTATTTTCATAAATAATAATATTTTTCTCCGGAATTCAATTATTTTTACAAATAAAATTCTTTACAGGAATTCAATTCTTTAAAAAAATTTTTAATAAAATTCGTTGCAAGAATTCAATTATTTTCATAAATAACAAAACTTATCGCAGAATTTCAATTATTTTTATACAATTTTAAATAAAATTGCACTTATTCTTACAATTTTTTTAAATTCGCCGAAAGAATTCAATTATTAAAAATTTTGATAAAATTCTTCATAAAAATTCAATTTTAAGAAATATGCAATTATTCAATAAATTATTTATTTTTGTATTTAAATAATTGAATTCTCGGGAAATTTTCTAATAAAATTTGATTTAAATATGAATTTCAGTTAAAATTTTAAATTATAATTCAATATTAAAAGCATGATGGTGTGAATTTTTAGAAATAATTGAATTTTGAAAAGGGTTAAATTAAAATTTTGTGGTAACTCTGATTTAATTATTAATTATTTTTTGGTTTATTTAACGAATTATGATAATAAATTTCCGAAAGTTCATATGACAGAAATTAATTTCCTTCTTCTTGAAATTAAAATTTTACTACAATAATTTTGCGTCACAATAAAAAAATTATTAATAAAGTTTCTAAATAAATAATTTAATTTTTTAATTTCGATTGCAATCAATAATTTCTGAAAATAATTATTATTAAAAGAAATATTTTTTTCATTTGAACGTTCAAAACTTGCGAATCATGAATTATCAAATAAATATTTACTTGAAACGATTTCTATTCAAAGCAAATAAACTCAGGTACATAATTTGATATTAAAAATTGATAAAAATAAAAATATTAGATAAATCTGTTAATTGAATTGATAAAATCAATTATTTGCTAATTATTATTTCTATCTTTTTTTTATCAGTTATGAATTTTATATTCTGGATTTTAAAGAAATCTTTGTCAGATTGCAAAAAAAATTTTTGATGTAAGGAATGAGAGACAAAAATTTATTTTTCGATAGGGAAAATTAAATAATCAACGTGACAAAAAAAGTAACATTTACAAGTTTTTTCAGTTTCGAAAATACAAAAAAAATTAAGTTTTCTCGTGAGGAAGCAAAATTTTTTATTTTCCAACAATAATTATTGTTAGTTGTAAGAAAAAAAAAATTTAACGTGTCACTAACCTTCTGAATCAAATGATCGATCAGACTTTACAGAATCAGAATCCACAGAATGAGTTTTTAAATTCCTATACATTTTGTATCGAAATTTTCTCTGTTTGTTACTATTTAAATAATAATTATCTTAATATAAAAATCACTCTTTCAAATTTGTTTTTTTTAAATTATCTGACAACGATTTATTGAGTCACTTAAAAGAACTATGAATTTTCAGTAATTAAAAAAAATGAAGTTAGTTGAATATAGAATTTATTCCTTTTTTTGAAATTTTAAAATTAAATCTGCTCACTATTATTTTTTTTATGAATTCTTGTTAAACTGAAAAATTGGATTAAATTAATTCCTTGTTTTTGTATTAATGTTATTGTTATTAATTATTAATTATTTTTATTTATTCAAATTTTCGAAAATTTTAACACGTTTTAGAAAAATTCTCTCATTAAACTGACTACAATTTAATTTTAAATTACTTTGTTTACTCATAAGTTCCCGTCTCATAATATTATAATAGTAAAAGCATTGTTGTTGTTGTTTGAAGAATTCTAGTGTTATATACAAAAGAAAAAGAGAAAATATTCAAAATTTCAAATTTTTTAAATTCTACAATTTTCATTAATATTATTTTTTTACAGACTCGTTGCAAATCGGAAATAAGTTGGAAACAATAGGAAATTTTCATAGCCACAAACAAGTTGGAGCTTTCTTCGAGAAATCGCCAAACACCAGGTAATTTTTTATTCATAAAAAGATTTATTATTTTTCTATTTTTGGACGTTCAATTAACGAAATATTTTTTTTTGTTCCCATATTTTTAAAAATTATTAAACTCAAATGAAAAATATTATAACTGACCATTTCTTTAGGTTAAAACTGAATTTTTTGATTTTAAAAACAATATTTTGTAAAACCCTTTTTATTTTTATTTTATTTATACATTTTTTTTATTTCGTAATTCAAATTTAATAAAGTAATAAAAATACTGTCGTTCATATGAACCTTCAAAATTTTCAAGGTTTGATTTGTTAATAAAATATAAATATTTTTTAGCAAGAATCTAAGTCACTTAAAAATTCTATTCGGAAAAAAAATAAAAAATTCATCAGTGAATTTTAAAAATAAAATATATTTAGGTTTTTTTTTTTTAAAAAGCTGAAATTAAATTTAATTTAATTTAAAAATTAAAAATCAATTATTAACTTAATGTATAATTAAGTCAATTTTTTCATGGATGGGATAAAAAATTAAAAAGTGATGATTAGAAAATGTGAACTATTTTAATTTACAGGATTGCCACAGGTCAGGGAAAAGTCAGGGACTTTTATTAAAGTACTGTAAAAAATTGAATTTTGGAGAAGTTACAAATGATTGCAAAATTTAAATTATTTTTCAAAAGTAATAAAATTCTTCGCAGAAATTCAATTATCTTCGGAAATTTTTTTTGTGGCAACCCTGATTTATCTTTATATTAATTTATAAATTAAAAATTACTTACTGCCATTGGAATCGATGTTACTTGCTTGATTCGTACTGTCAGCATCTTCATTTTCATTTAAACCAAAATAAACTGCACCATTTTCACCATTAATATTGCCATTTGTAGAAAGTGGATCCTCCATGACTAAATTAGCAAATAAAAAAATTCTTTCTTTTTTTCTCTCTTAAAATCTCCTTTTAAAAAATGTATTTTCCAATTCGCTTTTAATTAAATACGTTTTTCTCAATAAATCATTAAACTAAAGATAATGTTGCTAAATATTTTATTTTATTCGCAATATTTTGTGAATCATTTAAATTTTAAAGAAGGTCGCTCTGGTCGATCAAAGATATTTTTAGTCTTTAAGCGAGAAACCTTTTCATTGGATCTCAGTGGGAAATAATTTCCAGAAATATACTTAATAATACAGAAAGTCATTTATTTTTCATGAAACAAAAATTCTTTATCGATTTTCTTAAAAATAACGTAAATAATTTTCACCTGAAATATGATTTGAAATTCGTGGTAATTATCTTTTTTTAATCGAAAACTGTAGTTTTTTTTATTTAATTGTTAATTAGTTACCGAAAAGAATTCTTTTCCAAAAAGGAAAAGCATTTCTAATTTTTTTTTTTGTCTAAAATCTTAGTTTGAAATAATTTTACTTTATTTATTTTTTTTTAATGAGAGGGTTCTGGCTTTCGAATCGTTTAGTTTATAATAACTTATTTATGATGTTTGGTTTTTGTTTTTTGTTTCAGGTGAGTGGATTTGAAATCAAAGGCATTCCTAAATAAATCAAGCGCGAATAATCTTTTTGATGATATATATTCGAGGTAAAAGCGAATCAAAAATACAAAGAAAGAAAGAAACAAAGCTATTGGTTGAAAAAAGTATATTTATTTAAAATTTTTAATAATTCTTGGAAGGAAAAGCAAACGATTCGAATATTTTTTTCCAAACATGCAAAAAGAAAATAGAGTAACTTTTCGTTAACAGTATTAAAAATAAATTTTTGCTAATTCGTGTATTTTCGTATTTTAAATTATTTATTGTTAATAATTACTAATTATAAATATTTTATTTTTTGATAATTTTATTATATACGTTATACCTACGTTTTATATATTTTTATTAATATACGTAAATTTCAGAATTAATTATTTTAAATTATTTATTTTTAGATAAAAAATTGTTACCTAATTGTTTATTTAGAAAAATAATTTTTTCTTTGTTCTAAATTGTAAATGAGCCACCAAAACAAAGAGTTTCGATTTTTCCGTGGGTGCCGCTAAAGAATCGCGTGTACGTAGTTTGACAGCGTGGAATCTGACACAACCAATAGCTTTCTTTCTTTTCAGTTTTCAACTATAATTTTCTCACCACGCGCACGTTGTCAACACTTTTTTTTGGTCACTCTTTGTTGCACCTTTTTTCTAAATTAGCCAATAATAACGATATTTAAAAACAATGGAACTATTTTACTTTTAGAGAGAAATAATATCCAAAGAAAAGAAGTCAAAAGGGAAAATAACTTTTGAGGAAGTTTTTTTTTTGTCGGTAGAATTGCTGCAATATTAAAAATATAATTAAACGGGGAAAATTACAATTTTTTCAATCTAATTCGAATGGAATAATTTTTTTTGTTGACACGTCGCCACTGTATGCAGTAAAATAGAATTAGTTACTGGAATGAAAACGTTATAAAGTCAAGGACTGTTCTTTATAAACTAACACAGAATGTTTTAATGCGTATGGAGTTGAGATGAGATGGTTGATATACACGTAATGTTTTGCTGAGTTTTGCGCTGTTTGCAACCATTGGCGGAGCGTTGTCGACGATGCCACTGAATTGGGACAAATGATTGGCGCAGACTCACGCCTTCGACCCCGCGAAAATCCATAAAACCCCTCAGAACAATGAATGACTGCTTTTTACCGGCTTTTTTTCAATACATATATATATCTATATATTGTAAAGTAAAATTCGGATATAATTTTATATTCTCAAATTTATCTACAATCTCATTTTTTCGTTTTCTCGGGAATTCGCCTCGAATTTATTCAATTAGAATTTTGAAACCATATGTTTCGTTAAAACTAATTTATTTTTTCATTCCATTGGAGAAGATTATTTTAATTTTAAACATAAGTGTTTAGAATTAAAATATTTTCAGTCAGGGAGTGAAAATTATTTCGTTTTTTAATGAATTTTACAATAAATTGACTGAATTTTTATATTAAACTTACGAAAGAGTTTCAGGTCAAATTCAATTTTTAGCAGGGACCGATTCTAAAACGAAACTAAATTAATTTTTACTTTTATTTTTTATCGGCCTAAAGTCCGAAAAACTTAAACATTTAGTGTCAGTCAAAAAATTTCTTTCCGACATTTATTTTCAATCTTAGGGTTGCCACAAATATTTAATTTTATTTTTCCCTGACTTTTCCCTGATTTTCAGACAAAATTTTCACTTCTTTTTGAAATAAATATTTAATCATTGTTATTACTTTTCTTTAGGAATTAAAATTCTTCAAAACATTCAAATTCAAATTTTTTTCATGTTCTGTAATAATATAAATTACCGTAAAATTTTTCAAAAAAAAGTTAATTATTTACAAAAATCCTAATAAAATCCTTCGCAAGAATTTAATTTTTTTTACAAGTAGTAAAATTTCTCAAAAAATTCAATTATTTAAAAAGAATGTAATAAAATTCGTTGCAATAATTCAATTATTTTCAAAAATGATAAATCGATTTTTCGGCAATTTATTTTTAAATCAATTTTTATTATAGAAAATTCTAGGAGAATTCAATTATTGAAATTAAAAAATAAATAATTTATTGAATAATTGAATGTTTGTTAAAATTGAATTCTTATAAAGAATTTTATCAACAAGTTTTTAAATAATTGAATACTTTTGACAAATTTTAATAAAACTTTGAAGAATAATGATATTTTTCGAGAAATTCGATTAAAATATTGTATCAAAAATATTTAAAATCCTGCGATGAGTTTTATTATTTATGAAAATAATTCAAATTTTCCCAAGAATTTTTTTGAAATTTTTCTAAAATAATTAAATTTCTACAAAGAATTTTATTCTGTATAAAGATAATTGAAATTTTGTCGAGATATTTTTGTAAATTTTGAACATAAAATTGAATTTTGTGATAAGAATTTTTATAACTTTTGAAAATAATTGAATTTCTGGAATTATTTGTAACTTTTCCAAAATTCAATTTTTTTTTAGTATTTTTAACTAAAATTCTTCTATCAATCTAGTATTTTATGAAAATTGTAAAAATTATTCATTAAATAATTTATAAGTCATAATTTTATGATAGTTCTTGGAAAATTAAGTTATTTAAAAAGAAATTATTGTCAGAAATAGACAAAATTGAATGTTTTTTTATTTAAAACGAGGCAACGAGGCAAACAAAAAAAAACATTAACATTTCTGTGTTTTCTCATGAATTTTAAAAATTCAATTTTTTCAACTACTTCTAATCAAAATTCCTGACTTTTCCCTGAACAATTTTAGTTTCCCTGACTTCCCTGACCTGTGGCAACCCTGGATCTGCACTGAAATAAATTCAATTTTTTTTATTTACAAATTTAGTTTTTTTAGTTTATTTTCGAGTCGACACGAAACTAAATTAGATTGTTAATTTAGTTTTGAGTCGACACGAAACTAAACTGCTAAAAATCAATTTTCAGAATGTACAACAAATTCACTGAATTTTTATTCTAAACAATGAAATACGAATGTCATCAAAAAAGTTTAAGGGTAAAAAATTTCTCGAAAGATTTATTTAATTAGATAATTTTTATTATTTTTCTTTGTAATTAATTTTAATTCCGAAAAAATTAGATTTATTTGTAAAATTTAATTAATACGAACTTTTTTCTATATAGGATTTTAAAGTTCTGAACGTTCAAATAAATAACGAAATTTATATATTTCTTTTTCGAATTAAAATTTTTTTTTTTCAATTTTGCGTCACTAATTATAGTTTTGAAATTTTAGGTTTTTAATTCTTTTTACAATCAGTATTTGAACGTTAAAAAGAATCTTTACTCTTTAAGTTCGTAAAGTAAAATTAATATAAAACAATTATTAAATTTACAAATAATTACAATTTAAAGTTCACTAAATGTTTGCTTAAAGAACAATTTAAAGTTTACTAAAAGAAAAAAATGCCAAAGATTTCTTAATCTAAATTTATTTCTAAATTTAAAGATATACAATCTATTTGACTAGATCTTAACAAAAAATATATTCTTTCTCATGGACGGAAAATTTGTCTTCTTCATTAACAAATAATAACAAAACTGATAATCTCTTCAGTTTCTAAAATAAAAATCTAGTTTAGAATTTCTTTTTTCTATCGACAAAATAATTAATAATATTATCGACAAAAACAACTTGAGGATCGATATTTGTCTACTTGTCCAATATAGATTTGTTTTCTTTAAAAAAAAAACCCAAAAGGACGAGAGAAAAAAATTCATTCTTAAAATACCTATTATCTAAATTACCTCTCTCTATATTCTGTATAGAATATAGTCTCTATATACTGTAGAATTAATTAAAATCAAAATCACTCTCAGTATTCGATGCATTTCTCTCTATTGTACTCTCCGTATCTGATTCTAAAGTAATTACACTCTTTTTGCTATTATTAATATTCGCCTCCACTTTATTATTCTTCTTCTCTTGAGCACTGATATTCGAACTTTCTTCCAGAATCACGTCCGATGTTAAATTCTGATTATGAGACTGATCAGAATTATAAGCTTGTTGTTCCTGTTGACTGTACGATTCATCTTGGTGAGAATATGATTCATCCTGTGATTGAGGATAGTAGGACTGATTTTGATCGTAGGTTTGATTTGGATCGTAAGTTTGATTAGGATCGTAAGTCTGATTAGGATCGTAAGTCTGATTAGAATCATAAGTCTGATTTGTCTCATAATTCTGATTTGTTTCATAAGCTGGATCGTAGACCTGATTGGGATCATAAGGCTGATTAGCATCATAAGGCTGATTCGCATCATAAACCTGATTCGGATCGTATTGCACATTTGGGTCCTGATACTGCTGATTGGGATCGTACTGACTGGGATCCTGATATTGCTGATTTGGATCGTACTGAACATTAGGATCCTGATACTGTTGATTCGGATCGTACTGACTAGGATCCTGATACTGCTGATTCGGATCGTAATGACTAGGATCCTGATAATGTTGATTGGCATCGTACTGATTTGAATTCAGAGCATAATCTTCTGCCGCAGCAGGTGCGTATTGGTTCCCATCTCCTTGTTTCGAAGGTTCCCCCGAATTTTTAGCATCCTGATTATATTGATCGATTTCCTGACTGTGCTGCTTTGAATCTTTCAACTCTTCGCTTTTGAATTTACTTCCCTCTTGTATGTATTCCGAATTTGAATTTTGTTCCAAATTCTGATTATATTCCAAATTCGGATTTTGTTCTGAAGTCTGATTATATTCGGAATTCGGATCGTATTGCTGATTAGGATCCTGATCGTACTGATTAGCAGAGTATTGAGTCGGATCGTATTGTTGATTTTGCTCATATTGAGTCGGATCGTATTGTTGACTGGGATCCTGTTGATCAGAGGTTTGATTTTGATTCTGATAGGATTGCTCATACATTTCGGGGTAAGCAGAATATTGTTCGTAATTTGGATCGTAATTATAATCCTGATTGTACTGATAATTTTCCGCTTGCTCCGATTTTAATTCACTGTTATCTTCTTTCGCAGTTTCTTCTTTTTGCTCTCCATTTGTCTCCTCACTTTTTTCTTTTTCCGCATTACTTCCCTCTTGATTAACTTCTTCCTGAATATTTACCAATCTTGTTCCATTTATTCCATTTATTTCACTTTTTTCCTTTTTTTCCTTTTTTTCAATTTCTTGAAGTTTCTTTGGATCCGAACTGTCTGTAAGTTTACTCTTTGGATCTGAATCGTCTTGAAGTTTAATATTTGGATCCGAACCGTCTTGAAGTTTACTCTTCGGATCCGAACCGTCAGGAAGTTTAATCTTTAGATCTAAACCTTCGCGAAGTTTCTCAACTTCATTCTCAGTTTCTGTTTTCTCCTCCTTCGAAAGCGACTCTGAAGATAATTTCACATCCGAACGTTTTGTTTCAATTTGTTTCTTTTCATCCCCTTTTTTCGGAACTTGTTTAAATTTCTCCTCGTCCTCGTCGTCGGATAGTGTAACATTGAGAATATCGCCACTCGTATTTTGCTCCTGATCGAAATCGTCATAATGATGAATATCTAAATCCCTGTAGAGATTTCTTATTTTCCCGATATATCTATCAATTTCGCTATTCATTCTCTTTGATCGTTCATAAACATCATAGTCACTTTTATATCCACTCGATTTTGGTTTCCATGAAGTTTTCCCCCTTGAGGAATTTAATATCTCTCTGGACGATGGTAGAGAGTAATCACTTCTCTTGAATGTTGTGTTAAAATCAAATCTCTTGAAGAAACGATTTGGTGTTTTATTTTCGTAACGTTGACTTTGCTGTCTGTAATTTCGTTCGAATTGAGGACTCTTGGTCTCGAATCTAGACTCGCCGATTGACCTCCACGAATAGTCGGGATAAGTGCTATCAATTTTTGATGGAAAATTACTCGATTGTCGTTTATTTTCCAAAAAATCGTTAATCTTTGGCAAGGGGAGGCTATAGAGATATTGACTGATATTACTGTCGGCACGTGGACTGGAATATTGGGATAAAGGTTGATAAGAAGAAATTCGACCAATTCCTGATATTTGGCCAGGTTCCATTGAAATGACGGATGGATCGAAAAATAAATTAATTGGTTTATTATCGGTTTGAATATTTTTTGAAACGGATGGAGTTATGTGAATTTTGGGAATAATTTGCGATTGTTGATAAAATATTTCCGGTGTTTGATTTATTTTCGAAGAAGAAGAAGTGTAGAATGATTGTGAGGGTAAATTTAATGTTTCCTTCTTTGGAGTATCAATGAATCTAGGTTCGTATTTTGGTAAAGTTGGTGTTAAAATTCGACTTTGAAAATTTGTCATTGTTGGCGTACTCGGCGGTATTGAAATACTTTGAACTGAATATCTCCGATTGTAGGGTATTAAATCTTTTCGAAAATATCTTTCATCTTGACTCGTTATTCCACTGTCAGCGGTGTAACTTCCCGTTGAACGTTGATTGATCCGATTTTGCAAAAGATATATCTCGTAATTTTTCTGAAAACGAAAATTCGTGTTCAATATTTCCAAAAAGTAGTTTAAAGTAATTTCGAGTAATTTAATGTAATTTAAAGTGATTTAAAAATAGCTGAAAATTTTTCTTAATTTAAAAAATGCGTTTATGAAAAGAAATTTTGTTTATTCGGCAGGTGGAGAGTTTTGGTTAAAATAGACAAAAGTTAAACTTTGTTTTAATTAGTATAGGAAGAGGACGTATGCACTTGGCGTGTAACCTTGAATTATTCAAGGTTTTGAGTATGTATTTCCAAGCCAACATGCAGTCCTAATTTGAGTAAAGCTCAAAATCGATTTTGGCAACACTCTCGCGTTCTTCTCTTAATTGACAATTGAAAAGTCAAAAAGCAGTAAAACTTACTCGAAGTGCGTTTAAACGATTGCTTTTTGCAGTGATTAACGCCAAATGGTTATCCACTTTATCAAGTGCTCCTCGTAATTTATTATTCCTCTCTTCACGATCGCGTTGCTCCTCGAGAAATTCAATGTACCTTAGACGAAGTCTATTAATACAAGCGTCATGCCTAAAAACAATATTAATCATTTAGCTTTTAGAAGAAGAAAAGAAAAAAAAGAAACAAAATTTACAATCATTACAAAAAGTTATTTTCAAAAATTCCCAATATTCAATAAAATGACGAATCGATATAAACCTTGAATGACTTAATTTCTATCTGAAACTATAAAAAGAGAATTGAAAACGAAAAAAGAAATAACAATACGAAGTTTTATAGTCCCAAAACATGATAGCTTGACATTGAACGACTGGTCGTGATTTTTATGTCACGAGATAGACGAAGGTCGCTTTTAATTCTTCTATTTCTAAATATATACAAAATAATTTTGCAGCATTTAATTCAAATATTTTGTCGCAGAATCGATTAAGCAAACAATAAATTTATTTTTTTGGGAAAAATTCTCCATCTCTTTCTTACCTTCAAAATTTTATTGAGCTATCGATTCTCTAAAGTCATCAATCTCGACTAGAATTTGATAGTTTTCTAAAAGTGGGACACGAAAAAAGACAAAAAAATAGAAATAATTCTTCAAAATTCTTTTGAAATTTTTTTCTAAAAATACTCATTTTTCATAAGTACCTGTTCTTTGACTCTTGTATCAATAATTTGAATCGTTCCTCCAATCGTATTCTTTCCTCTTCACTGGAAAATAAATGAAAATCAAAAAAAGTTTATCAACTGTCAAAAGAAGGGAATTTTTTTTTTTATGAAAATTTATAATTCACGCACCTCTTTCTCAATTTTTCTTGAATATCCAACATTCCTTTATAAAAATCCCGTTTGTCGTAATAAAGAAACGTCATTTCTTTTTTTTTTTTTTTTAGCAAAAAACAAAACGAACGAAAAATTCACAGATTAAAAATTCGAAACAATTCGAATTTGAAACGCCACATTGACAACGTTTCTTTTAGAAAAATCTGCGACATTGAGAGAGTGTATTTTTTGCATTTCAAATAGTGGAAAATTCAGGGAATTTTCCTGTAAACAAAATTTTCACTGTAGCACTTAATTATTAAATTTTCTCTCTAAAAAATTATCTTTTTCGATCAATTTTCGAGAAATATAATTATGAAATATAAATTTATTTCTCGCGTTAGATTTTAAAGGCTATCGCTAAAAATTTGTTATTTGAAAACAATTTTAATATTAAAAAAAATTCAATTTTCATTGAAAACAAAATTTTGAATGAGAAAATAAAATTTCATTGAAAACAGAATTTTGAATGAGAAAATAAAATTTAATTGAAAAAATAAATTTATTTTTATTGAATAAATTAATTATTATTGAATTAATTCAATTTCATTAAAAAAAATAAAATTTCACTGAAAAAATAAAAATTTCATTGAATAAAAAAATAATTTTAAATTGAAACGATTTAATTCTTTTCTATTCGTATCAAAGAAAACAAACATAAAAATTATGATTCAAAGCATTATTAAATTTTTTTATTATAGTATAAAATATTGAAGAAAAAAATTTGATTAAATTTTAATTTAACGTGTGTAAAGCTTCTGTGAAAAATTGATAGAGAATTTTGTCAATGGGGAAAAAATAATTTTTATGAGAAAATTTATAAAAACCAGGAAGCAAATAAGTTTTTTCCTGGCACGACCATTCGTTAGTTCGACGCGATGAACAACTGTCGCATTCGGAGGGTTGTTCCAGCAGGTCGACGTACAGGTGCTACCCCTTCCCAATACCATTATACCTCATATACCTTCAACTTCGCATGATTTAGATAAGAAAATCAATAATGCTTTAATGACTCTGCAATAATATTCCGAGATTATAAAGCACCGAACTGCAGCAATTAATATTTTTTCTCATTTTTTTCTCAATCATTATATTTTTTTCCAAAATTCATTTTTTGTTCTATTTCGAAACGAATTTGAAAATTAATTTCCAAATGAAGTTTTTAAATCTATTTTTTGAAATATTTGTACTTTTTTTAATTGTAAATTACATTTTCTAAATAAATACTTTTTCTGATTATTTATTTTCTCTGAAAAATAAAATTATAAATTTAATCAATTTTGAGTAAAACATTTTTTATACGAAAATATATAAAAATTTAAATAAAGAAATGTTTTTTCTTCTAAGTCGTTGATTATAAACGTTATGAACTTTACGATTTCTGAGATTTAATTTAGTTAATTTGATTAATTAATTAATTGATTAATTAAATTAAAATTAAAAATTTTAATTGACAGAAAAATTATTTCCGAAAATAGTGAAAATTTTGTCTTGAAACTTAAATTAAAAAATTTGAATCGTTTAATTTGTCGAGTTTTTGAATTGCATTACAGAATTCTTATTAGTCGCTAATTTTTCTTTTCTTTTTTGTCTTCATTATCGAAGACGACCCCGAGGGCCAAATAAGTCGAGTAATTCTCTCACTCTCCCATAAAAGCTTAAATGTTAAAGCATGCTGGCATGTTGCGTGTCAGGCGTAAATTTACTTTCCAGACTATAGTTTCATTAATTTTCAGTTGAAAACAAAAAGTATGGAAATAACTTTAAACGAAATAAAGAACAAGGACACTGGTAGATTATAATGGGAGGCTCGTTACAAGAATTCCTTTACGTCTCTTCACTCTAAAATTGCATCTCGTTTGTGCGACTAAACTAAAAGGAATAGATCCAATTTTTTTTCTCTGACCAAAATTGTTTATTGTTTATGATAAATTGTTCTCAAATGTTCCATTAATTCTGGTGTTTTTTCCGTTGACATGTAGAAAACATATTCTAGACAATTATCCTCGACCAGCGTGATTTCTCGTTTTGTCTACATTGAATCAATGAAAATTATAATTATTAAATGTTAGAAATTGAAAAACTTAAACATTTAATTTAACTTGAACTTTTAATTTAATTAAATTAAAAAAATTTTTTTTTTTAATTAAAAGGAATTAAAGTTGAATTACCTGAAGGACTTTCGGTGGTTTTGTACCCTCTCTCGGTCTTTCGACAGAGAGACTTGTCAGTATTATTTTTTTATCGCAAACTTCGCCTTCTTCAATTGTCGTCACTCCAAAATTGTGAGCCAAGAGAAAATTTAATTTATTTGTATTTGGAATTATTTTTAGAAATCCAGTTTCATAATGAAGTGGCTTTTTTGTCTCAGGATGCCAGGTTTCTGATTTGTAATTAAACATTGGTTGGCCAACTGAACTGAATGACATTTTTTCGTTATATTCGAAAGGACTTATCGTTGGAAATTTTCCTTTTCCGGCATTTTTCGTTGTCCATGTTCCTTCTAGCCAGCAAATTGGTTCTAGAGCTTCGTGTCTTGGTAGCGCTTCCATTTCTTGCTGGTTTAATAATTTTGACACTGAGGAAAAAAAATTTTTAGATTATAAGTTTCCATTTCTTATTTAATTTTAAATTAATTATTAATTATAAATTATTACTAGCGCGCGGAACTTGGTATTCAATTTATTATTATTATGCAAATTATTCAAACAATTATTCATTTTTTTTTAAACTGTTAAATTATTTTTTTAAATAGTGAAGTCTTTGCAAAAATTCAATTATTTTCAATTATTAAATTTTTTCATTCTCGTTTCTTGAAAAATATTCAAATATCTTCTTTAAAACTTAGGTAATTTCAATTATAATTCCAAAATTCAATATTATTTAAAAAATAATTAAAATAATTCTAAAATTTAGTTAATCTCAAAAATTCAATTATTTCTAAAATTGGCTGTAAAATTTATTTTAAAAATTCAATTATTTTCACAATTTTTAAGAAATTTCTTGTAAAATATTAAATTATTTTCTATAAAAATTAGAAAATGACACAATTTTTAAATCAAATTCTTGAAAAATTAAGTTAATTTTTATAGAATTAAAAATTTTTTTTTTGCAAAATGTTAAATACAATTTCTTTGAAAAATTCAACTATATTCAAAATTTTTGAGTAAATTTTTTTCTCAAGAATTCAATTATTTTCTAAAATAATAAAATTCTTCAAAGGAATTCAATTATTTTCATAAATAATAACATTCTTTAAAGGAATTTAATTATTTTCTTCAATAACAAAATTTTTCGGAAGAATTAAATTATTTTTAATTCAATTTCAATAAAATTTCTCGAAAGAATAAAATTATTTTTAAAAAAATTAATTAAATTCAATTATTTTCAAAAATTGAGATAAAATTCTTCAAAGCAATTCAATTATTTTTATAAATTGTAAAATTTTTTTTTAAGAATTCAATTATTTTCTAAAATAATACAATTCTTCGAAGGCATTCAATTATTTTCATAAATAATAACATTCTTTAAAGGAATTTAATTATTTTCTTCAATAACAAAATTCTTCGGAGGAATAAAATTATTTTTAATTCAATTTTAATAAAATTTCTCGACAGAATATAATTATTTTTAAAAAAATTAATTAAATTCAATTATTTTCAAAAATTCTGATAATATTCTTAGAAAGAATTTAATTATTTTTATAAATAGGTACTAAAATTCTTCGGAAGAATAAAATTATTTTTAATTAAATTTTAATAAAATTTCTCGAAAAATAAAATTATTTTTAAAAATATTAAATAAAATTCAATTATTTTCAACAGTGTTGATAAAATTTTTAAGAAAAATTTATTATTTTAAAACGTTTTAATAAAAGTTTTCGATTGAATCAAATTATTTTCAAAACTTTTAATAAAATTCTTTCAAAACATTAAATTATTTTCAAAAATTGGGATAAAATTCTTCAAAACAATTCAATTATTTTTATAGATTGTAAAATTCTTCTCAAGAATTCAATTATTTTCAAAAATTGGGATAAAATTCTTCAAAACATTTCAATTATTTTTTTAAATTGTAAAATTCTTCTCAAGACTTCAATTATTTTCAAAAATAATAAAATTCTTGGAAGGAATTCAATTATTTTTATAAATAATAACATTCTTCAAAGGAATTTAATTATTTTCGTCAATAATAAAATTCTTCGCAGGAATTCAATTATTTTTAATTCAATTTTATTAAAATTGTGATAAAATTCTTTAAAACAATTCAATTATTTTTATAAATTGTAAAATTCTTTGCAAGAATTCAGTGATTTTCAATATTTTCAATTAGAAACAGAATTTATTTTTTAAGCACTTGATATTTATAATTTACATCTTTACAATACCTTTAGATCCACTTAGGGTTGTTAATTCTTTCAATTTCTCCAAAACATGCTTGAAATCTTTAAAATTCAATCCTGGTATTTTCTTCATAATTAGACATTGATTTGAAATTCTTGATAATATTCTGATACTAATTTACAATTTAAATTTCGTAAAACGTAACATTTTTGTTTTAATACTAAATAAAATGCAATTTTATTTTCTATATTTACACAATTAGTATAGTATTCAGTAATTTATAAAATTAGTAGAATTATTTCTTAGAGTAGCGAACTAAAATGTAATTGTGCAATCTAAACTGCAATATTTCATTAAATTACATAACTATCGACATTTTTTTATTAAAAAAAAAAAAAAATAAGAGGAAAAATCAAATTAAAAAGTAGAAATAGAAGAAAATCGTGGGACAATATTAAAGTGTATAAAATATGAATATACAGTTGTATAATTTTTATATTTTATTTACATTACTTAGTTTTTATCAGTTTTTGTATTTATTTTTTATTTTCTATCGTCGTGAATGTGATCGCCGTCAAAGAGTGAGGTTAGAATTTTTTATTTCGATTCGAATTCCAAATTCAACTAATTATTTTCTGTTTTTAAAGAAACAAAAATGTTAATTATACTTACATTAGAAAAAAATACCTGCTCTTTTTTAAAATTCACCGAATTCCCTTTTTTTTTTTGGAAACAAAAATGATTCTCACGTTTGACATTTGACATTTATTTGTAAACAAGAATTTTTCACTCCCAGCGCTATCTTACGTGAGAAAAGGGAAAATTTCAGACGATTGTGATTTTAAAGTTGTTTACACGATTGCGCTTACGCATGAATATTACTAGAAAATAATTTATATATAAATATATAAATAAATAGGTTTTTCTGGAATTCGGTTTTTTTTTATTTCTTCGCGTGCTTACGACACGTGTGAAAAAAAAACGGGTGATAATTTATTTTTCCCTTTTTTTCTTTTGTGAAACTGTGTCTGTGTGTGTGTGTGAGTTTATGTGTGAATATAAAAAAAATACTGGAAAGTAACACACCTGTTTCTTTTATTTTTGTTGATATTTTCGCGCATAATATCCAAAGAAAAGTGTATATTTTATTTTGAGCTGAATTAAAATTGTGTGATTAGTGATGTCATGGCGACTTTACCGCCGAGAAAGAATCCAACTCCAACAAAAATATCCAAAGAACATCTCACACCGTTGCAAATTTTACTACAATTAGGATTTCCAAAACATAGAGCGTAAGTGAATTTGTGTTTTTTTTACATTTATTGTAAGACAAATTTTTTAGTGCAGAGAGCACCTTTTTTCAGAAATTATTTCACCTCTTTCATAGTGTAAACAAACAGCTGTCAAAAAATGTTCTGTACGATTTTCCTTTTTTCTAATTCTTTTGTTTTACTATAAAATTCGTACTTTTTGCCTAAATTTCCATTTGGGAAATATTATTTTTGCTTTTTTGTCTGGAGTTTTTTGTGTTTGTTCTTGAAAGGTTAAGAATTTTTACGTTCTCATTTTCGTTTTGTTAATATAGAGAGAAAGCATTGACGGCAACGGGACATCGAAGTGTTCAACTTGCTTCAGATTGGCTTCTTGCTCATGTTCGTGATCCAACATTGAATTCCGATGAACCCAGAGAATACGTATTGTATGCCTGTCCAACTGGACATTTTGCCGAAAGTCTCGTGAAATTTTGGACCGAGAGTAAAGAACTTGGTTGGAATGGAGCTCATAATTACATGCCCCACATTACTCTCATCTCGTTCTTCAAAGTATACCCAACAATCTTTGAACGTAGAAGCTAAAACTAAAAATCTTTTAAAAATACATTCAAAATATATCAAAATTGTTAATTATTAATTTGCCTTATTTTTAAAATTTCTGATTTTCTTTTAGGCACCGGACGAAACGGCCGAAAAAATGGCAAGTGCTCTTGAAAATTTAGTGAATCGCAACGAATGTCCAGAGTACATTAATTTAGAAACTTATGTGTCGCCAAATTTTATGGGACTATTTGTTGAGGATAAACAAGCAAAATGGTTGAAATCATTAGCCGTCCAATATTGTAAGAAATTAACAAATCTCGGAATAACAGTTGAACCGCACACGAAATCATTGCATCTTTCGCTTGCCTATCAATTTTCGAGTAATCATTTTCAACATCTTCGTTCAATGGTGGAAAAATTGGAGACAAGTCAAGCGATTAATTGGGAATTGAGATTGTACTCGAGGGATTCACGATTGAGAAATATGCATGTTCATGGGGTATTGCATACACACGGGCCAAGACAACATGACGAATTGGAATTAAGACCTGGTGATTATATTTATTTACCGGAAGGAGCATGCAATGAATCGCCCGATGGTTGGGTCGAGGGTATTTCATGGTTAACCGGAATCTCTGGCTATTTGCCTCTGAATTATACGAAACGATCAGCGGAATCTGATTCCTGGACATTGCACACGTCAATTTCGATAATTGCTGATAGAAATACGGAGAATGTTGAACATGAAATTCCTAAGAATCGAAGGCCTCCTGTTTTATCGAGCACTGAATCGCTTGACACTCCGGATGGAATCGCTCCTGAAAATAATCCTGTAAGTCATTTTTTTGCCTTTTTCAGGGTTGCCACAGGGCAGGGAACAATCAGGGAAAGCAAAATTAGTCAGCGAAATCAGAACTAAGTCAGAAATTTTTATTAAAGTACTGGAAAAAATTAAATTTTTAGAATAATTCTAAATATTTTATTGTCATAAACTAGAAAATTACCATTTTGCATCAAAAACTAGGAAATTACCACGAATTCTAATACAAAACCTTCAATTTTTTCTATTTTGACAATAATTTCCTTTTTAAATAACTTAATTCTTGAAGGACTATCATAACATTATTACTTAAAAATTATTTCATAAACTAGCAAAGTTTTAAAATAATTTCATGATCAAAATTTGAAAAATTCACTTATTTAATAAATAAATAAATTATTATTGTTTATACTTCTTCGCAAGAATTCAATTATTTTTATAAATAGTAAAAATTTTTTGCAAAAATTCAATTATTTTTAAAAAAATTTTAATAAAATTTCACGAAAGAATTCAATTATTTTCATAAATAGTAAAATTCTTTGCAGGAATTCAATTATTTTCAAAAAAATTTTAATTGAATTCCTCGGCAGAATTCAAATATTTCCATAAAATTCTTATTTCTTAAAATTTCAATAAATTCTTCGCAAGAATTCAATTATTATTAAAGACAAATAACAAAATTATTACCGAAAATTCAATTATTTTAAGTCATTTTAATAAAATTCTAAATTTTTTCTTGGAAATTCACTTATTTAAAAAATTCTAATAAAATAAAATAGTTCTATTTTCATAAAATTTCCAAACAGAATTTAATTATTTAAAAAATTTTTTGTAAAAATCTTCGTTAGAATTCAATTATTTAAAAATCTTTATAAAAAAGATAAAGAAAGATAAAGATAAATCTTTATTTAAAAATCTTTTTCTTTGCAAAAATTTAATTATTTTAATAAATAATAAAAATTTCACAGAAATTCAAATATTTGCAAATTTTTTTATAAATTTCTTCGCAATAGTAAAATTGTTTTTTTTTATTCAAATAATTGAATTCTCGTAGAATTTTCTTATAAAAATTGATTTAAAAATGAATTTCAATTAAAATTTTGGATAGTAATTGAATATTAAATGCATTATATTATAAATTTTTAGAAATAATTGAATTTTGAAAAGGTATCAAATTAAAATCTTTGAAAATTTAAATTTCTCATACTTTTAACTAACAATTTTGACGAATTAATTTTTTTAAAAAGTTTAGTTGAATTTTTTTGTTAAAATTATTTTACCTTTTTTTCTAAATAATTAATTAAAGAATTGCCGAATAATAGAATTTTCGTAAAATTGAATTTTAAACAAATGTATTTGAAAATTCTCAAGGAACTTTTGTAAAATTTATAAGAAATAATTGATAATTGATAATAGGAAAAGAATTGAAGTCTTGCAACAAATTTTTATTACATTTTTTTTGAATAATTGAAATTCTGTGGAAAATTACTATTTTTGGAAAAAAATTAAATTCTTGCATCGAATTTTATTGAATTTTTTTTAAATAATTGAAATCTTGTGAAAAATGTTACTATTTATGAAAATAATTGAATTCTTGAATCGAATTTTATTACATTTTTTTTTAAGTAATTGAAATCTTGTGAAGAATTTTATTATTTATGGAAATAATTGAATTCTTGCAAGAAATTTTATTACATTTTTTTAAATAAATGAATTCTTTTGAGAAATTTTATTAAAATAGTAGATTTTGAAAATATTTGAATTTCAACAAAGAAATTCGTTATTTGTAAAATGTAATTGAAATCTTGCAAAAAACTTTTGAAATTAATTATATTTTTCGAGGAATTCATTTAAAATTGTATTAAAAATAATTAAAATCTTATATGAAAAATCATATGTGAAAATTTTATTACTTATTAAAATAATTGAACTCTTTTTTTTATTTTCTTTTTTTTGAATTCTTTTTTCTATTTAAAAAAGAGTTTATTAATATTTTTGAATAATTTTACAATTAAAAAAATTCGTGAATAAATGTAGTAGAACATTTTTTTGAGTATCTAATAATTTTTAGAGTGAATCAGAATATTCTTTAAGGTCAAGGGAAAAAGTCAAAATTTTTTCTTGGAAATCAGTGAAAAACAAAATTATTTTTTTCTGGCAACCTTGTTTTTACTTTTTTTTGTCACTATTTTAAAAATGTACTAGTATATTTTTCTGTATATTAACAAACACTTTTTATTCAGATGGAAGCGTCTGAACCGCCATCAACTGCCTCGAGACAAATTTTCATCTGCCGACATGGGGAACGTGTTGATTTTACATTCGGTGCATGGATTCCCTATTGTTTCGAATCAAATGGCTCTTACATACGTCGTGATTTAAATATGCCGAAAGAAATACCACAGAGAAATATTCAAGACTTTCAAAATGATTGTCCATTGACGACACTGGGTGAATTACAAGCGAGTCTAGTTGGCGAGGCAATGAAAGCGGCAAATGTGAAAATCGACGTTGCATTTGCATCGCCATCGTTACGTTGTATTCAGACATTATCGCAAATACTCAAGGGTCTCGATTGGGATGTACCGATTAAAATTGAACCGGGTTTAATTGAATGGCTCGCTTGGTATCCAAATGGAACGCCAACATGGATGAATGCCGATGAATTATTGAAAGCTGGTTTTAATATTGACGTTAATTATTGTCCAGTGATAAAGGCGGAAAATTTACCATCGAAAGAAAATGCCGCTCAGTATTATGAAAGAAGTTATGCATTAATGAAGGATATTATTGATAATACGGGGGGTAATATATTAATTGTTGCGCATGCCGCATCGTTGGCGGCTTGTACGAAACAATTGACTGGTGGTAAAGTACCGCCAGCAGCGGAAGTTACCAGATTGGTGCAAAGAGTTCCATATTTAGCGTGTTTGACGGCACGTGAGAGTATTGATGGTTGGCAATTACATCCACCGCCATTTCCACCGGTCACTCATACAAGTAATAGTCGATTCGATTGGAAAATATTAATGTAGATAATTTTTTAGTACAGAATTTTATTATCCTTCTGAGATATTTAGCAAACGTTTTTGTCGCTACTTTTTTGGAATTCTTTTATTTTTCATGATCCGAAATGTTCTGAATGTTCAAATGAAAGGGATTTATTTATTTTTTCTTCAAGTTAAATTTTGTGTCACTTTCAAAATTAATAGTAAAATATTTTCATAATCAAAATTTTTAATATTCACTTATTAAGTACAAAAGAAAATTAATTATTATTGTTTATATTTACAAAAATTTTAACATAATTTTTCTAAAGAATTCAATTATTTTTATAAATAGTAATATTTTTTACAAAAAATCCAATTATTTTTAACAGAGTTTTAAATAAATTTCACGAAAGAATTCAATTATTTTTATAAATAGTAAAATTCTTCGCAAGAATTCAATTATTTTTATAAGTAGTAAAATTCTTCGCAAGAATTCAATTATTTTTATATAAATAATAAGATTCTTTGGAAGAATTCAATTATTTTTATAAATAAGAAATTTTTTTGCAAAAATTCAATTATTTTTAACAAAATTTTAATAAAATTTCACGAAAGAATTCAATTATTTTTATAAGTAGTAAAATTCTTCGCAAGAATTCAATTATTTTTATAAATAGTAAATTTTTTTGCAAAAATTCAATTATTTTTAACAAAATTTTAATAAAATGTCACGAAAGAATTCAATTATTTTTATAAATAATACAATTTTTTGCAGGAATTCAATTATTTTCAAAACAATTTTAATTAAATTCCTCGGCAGAATTAAAATATTTTGAAATATTTTCATAAAATTCAATTATTTCCTAAAATTTTAATGAATTCTTTGAAACAATTCAACTACTTTTTATAAATAGTAAAATTCTTTGCAGGAATTAAATTATTTTTAATCCAATTTAAATAAAATTACACGAAAGAATTAAATTAAGTATTTTCAAAAATTTCCATAAAATTCAATTTCAACAAGAATTAAAAATTTTCTAAAAATAATTGAATTATTCTCAAAATATTTTTAAAAAATTCTATATGAAAATTAAATTACTTTCAATGCAATTTTTAAATATATTCTTCTAAAAAATTGATAGAATTCAATTATTTTCAAAAAATAATAAAATTCTTCTGATGCTTAATTTAAAAAAAATTCTTTACAGAAATTCAATTTTTTTCGAAACAACTTTAATATAATTTTTCGAAAGAATTTAATTATTTTCAAATATTTCCATAAAATTCTTCAAAACAATTTAATTTTTCCTAAAATTTCAATATATTTCTTCGATCATTTCAATTATTTTTATAAATAGTAAAATTCTTTGCAGAAATTTAATTCTTTTCAAAATAATTTTAATAGAATTCCTCAAAAGAATTTAATTATTTCTAAATATTTACATAAAATTAATTTATTTCTTAAAATTTCAATTATTTTTATAAATAAAAAAATTCTTCGAAGGATTTCAATTATTCTCTTGAAATTTTTTGATAAGATTCTGTGCAAGAATTCAATGATTTTCAATAAATTAATTTTAAAATTGAAAATATTTAAAAAGAAAAATTTGTTAAAAAAGTTAGAAAAGAAAAAAGCAATCAACAACAATTCGCGAACTTACTACCGAAATACAACGATTATTAATATAGATAGATAGATAGATAGAAAAAGATAGATTATTTTGTTTATGAAAATATTTTTAATAAAAAATACTTCCTTCATTTGAAAGTTCAAAACTAGTGGATCATTTTTTTTTTTTTTTTGGTTCAAATTAATTGAACAAAGAATTAAATTTTTGGAGACTTTTTTTAAATATTTTTTTACCGTGTAGTTAATTTCTATTTATTGGTTAAATTTATTTTTTATTGTATTTTTTTATGACATTTTGTATTGTATTTTTTTAAATACATTTTTTGTATTATTTTTTATTGCATTATTTTTAATTACAAGTAGTTAAACTTGTGGCTCGAGGTCAGTTACTGTTTTGACGTGAAATTCTTCCAATTTTGATGATATTTAACGTGACTGCGTGGTCCAGACCAATGAATTTTAATAGTACATTTAAATACAACGATATTAATTTTTCTATAAGTGTGATTTATGCGGGACAAGAAATTTATACACAATTTTACCTTTTGGTAAAATTTAAATTTGAAACTTATTTTTTATATTTAAGCAAAAATTTTGATTTGTCAATTTTGTTTCAGTAAAAGATTTTTATTCTCTGGGAAAGAAATTTATTTCTTTTTTATGAGAATTTTTGCAGTTGAAAATTAACTTAAAAGAAATAACCTGCATGCAAATCATGGTGCTAGGAAGTTTATAAATACCAATTTAAAGAAAATATTTATTAAGAACACCATTTAAAGATTGTCGTCATATTATTTTTAAAAATTATTTTCAAAATTTCACAATTGTTTCCTTTGATTATTTAAAACTTTATATTTTTGCGAAATCTTTCTTTTCTGACATCGAATATTGACGACTTTCTGTTAAGGGGAGTAAAGAGAAAAATATACATTTAATGTTAAAGTTGTTCTTTAAAAAAAAAGCATACCACAAAAAGTGTACTTTATAAAAAAAATGAATGGAAAATCAAATTATTTAAGTAGAGTAAATGTTTCAAATTTACGGAACAAAAAAAGAAGTTTTCGTCAGTGGAGATAAAAGAAAAATCGTTCTGTAAAGTGGATTAGATTGTAGACAAAATATTTTTTAATGAACGTAGATATATATTTAAATATTCTCCAAAGGGGAAATTTTATTTTTGTTTCTTATATACGAATTGAATATTATCTATATCTTAATGTTAGAAATATTTCCATCTAGTAAAATGTCTATTCCTCCCGTTTTTTTCGATTTAGAGAAATTTTCAACCGCTAAATTTCTTTAAAAGAAACTAGTATAACAAATCTTAATGTTATGGCCTTAAATGTAGCTAGATAGAAAGGGAAACAAAATAAACAAAAAAGAGAAAAAAAAAATATCACACTTTAGTGGACGTCAATTTTTGTCGCAATTTCCCTAAAAAAAAACTACATTCACTTTTACGCTTCTTCAAAATGTTAATCTTAGAGAGGTCAATTACACAATATTTCGATTTTCCAAGAGAAGAATAGGAAAATTTAGATTAAAAAAAAGAAGATTTTTATGGCAGTAATTTTATTTTCTTTTTTTTTTCATAATTAGAAAGACAGGATTCAATCAAAAATTAGAGATTTTATCTATAATATATGAAATTTTACCAAAGAACACTATATGTAATTGTATAAGAGAGTATTTTATTAAAAAAATATGATTTTTATGAGACATTTTTTACGTCTCCGAGCGGTACAAATTTATAAACAATGTGTAATGTACAATTATTATATATCTCTGAAAATGTACAAAAAACAATGTTATTCTGTTTATATCACTATTTAATAAAGTGTAGCAATCGGATAAAATGTTTTTTTCATTCACACGTTGTTCAATAATTATTTTTTTTAATAGCTCGTAAGTTTTATTTCTTTATTTATAATTTCTTTATATTTATAGTTCTTTTTATTCTTGTTTGTAAGGATTATTTCATCTTTTTAATATCTAGTTTGTAAGTTTATCGAAAAATTTTCTTTAAATTGTATTATATTTTTTTTATCTAAGAATTTGTTTCTATGAACAATTTTTTTTTTTAATTTTTGATTGATTATTATTTTACGTGTCCGGCTTCTTTGAGTTTTGTGATTAAAGTGTCGACGTCGGGTAGAATTGAACCCGATTGTCGAACAGGTGGATCTTCGACTGAAACGACTTCTATTCTTGGTGAAGTGTCAACGCCAAGATCCTTTGGTGTCATTTTCTTGATTTGTTTCTTTTTTGCTTTCATGATATTCGGCAGTGTCGCATAGCGTGGCTCGTTTAATCGTAAATCGGCGCTCAACACTGCTGGTGTTTTTATTTTTATTGTCTCCAATCCTCCGTCAATTTCTCGGGTTATTGTCAAATCACCCTGACCATGTTCAATCTAAATTTGAATATTTAATTTTAGAATTGTGAGAATATTTTGGAAATTAATTTTCAGGGTTGCCACAGGTCAGGGTCAGGTCAGGTCTATAGTTAGGAAAATCCGGGAATTTTTAAGGAATTTTTATTAAAAGTTCTGGAAAAATTAAATTTATAAAATTTCCTAAGAAATTTCTGAATTTTGGTGTCTTTTTTGTTTTTCAAAAATTTTTTAATTTGAAACTTTATACAATTTCAATTTTCCATAAAATTCTTCAAAACAATTTAATTTTTCCTAAAATTTCAATATATTTCTTCGATCATTTCAATTATTTTTATAAATAGTAAAATTCTTTGCAGAAATTTAATTCTTTTCAAAATAATTTTAATAGAATTCCTCAAAAGAATTTAATTATTTCTAAATATTTACATAAAATTAATTTATTTCTTAAAATTTCAATTATTTTTATAAATAAAAAAATTCTTCGAAGGATTTCAATTATTCTCTTGAAATTTTTTGATAAGATTCTGTGCAAGAATTCAATGTTTTTCAATAAATTAATTTTAAAATTGAAAATATTTAAAAAGAAAAATTTTTTTAAAAAATTAGAAAAGAAAAAAGCAATCAACAACAATTCGCGAACTTACTACCGAAATACAACGATTATTATAATATAGATAGATAGATAGAAAAAGATAGATTATTTTGTTTATGAAAATATTTTTAATAAAAAATATTTCCTTCATTTGAAAGTTCAAAACTAGTGGATCATTTTTTTTTGGTTCAAATTAATTGAACAAAAAATCAAATTTTTGGAGACTTTTTTTAAATATTTTTTTACCGTGTAGTTAATTTCTATTTATTGGTTAAATTTATTTTTTATTGTATTTTTTTATGACATTTTTGAGTATCTAATAATTTTTAGAGTGAATCAAAATATTCTTTATGGTCAGAGAAAAAGTCTAAATTTTGTCTGGATATCAAGGAAAAAGAAAATTAAATTTTTGTGGCAACCATGATTTTCTATTTTTCTGACTAAAAAAAAGAAATCTGTTACCTTGCTGCAAAATGTTCCTGCCGGCCAGTCCAATACTCCGGCAATCATTTGTGCCGTTTGATTGCAGTCATCGTCAATCGCCTGTTTTCCAACGAGAACAATATCTGCTTTTTCCTCTTGTGCTAATTTTGCAAGAATTTTTGATACGTGAATTGGTTGTAGGGATTCGTATTCCGGACCGGAGATTTCGACATGAATTCCACGATCGGCGCCCATTGCGAGGGCGGTTCTTATTGTCTCTTGAGATTGTGCTGGTCCACAACTAACGGCAATTACTTCCTGAGCGAATTTCTTTTCTTTCATTCGAACTGCCTCCTCAATGGCAATTTCGTCGAAAGGATTCATCGAGTGTTTCACTCCTTCTGTTACCACTCCTGTCTTGTCCGGCTTTACTCTAATCTATCGATAAAAAAAAATTGAAATTAACATCTATATTCCAAATTAAATTAAATCCATAAAATTAAATAACTTAATTAAATATAATTCTAATTAAACAACTTAATTTTATTAATTGCAGTGAATTCTAAAATTAAAATTTACGTCCAAATAAGTTTTTAATCTGAAATAATTTCTCAACAATGAAAAAGACGATCGAAAAAATTAAAAATATACAAAAGAGGTATTTTTCGATAAAAATTAATTTAATTTTAGCTATTTAAAAACTGATGACCTTCGTTTATGTTGATTTATAAATAATTAAAGATAAAAAAATTCCATTGAAAAATAATTATCTCTTGCATAATTATTGTAGTAATTACAAACTATTGTAATTACTTCTTATTTAAAGATTAAATAGAAAATTTAACAAAAAAATTAAATTTATTCAGGGGATACTAGATAATTTTAAAAATACAGACAGATGTCATTTTTTTCCTACCTTAACTGCATAGTCGATTACTCTTTTAACTCCAACAAGAACTCGTGCCATTTTTTTTCTTTTATTTTTAACAAATAAATTTAATTTACAGAAAAAACAATTTAACACTAAATTGACCTAGAATCAGAATTATAATTAAAAGCAGAACGTCTTGAATGTTTTACAATGATCTGGAGCTTGGGGTAAAAGTCCGAGTTCCAACTCCCTCAATCAACAGGCAATTTTATTGTAGAGAGAGAAGGGGGATTGATTACGTCATCATAATTATAAAACAGCCCCGCAATCGGTAATTTTTTATTTATATTTATAGAATAAGCAACTCTGACAATTGGAACATTGATATTTCATTGTTTAGGAATAAAATATAATTTTAATTAATGGTAAAAAGCATTGTTTACTTATTGTGGCGGGGAATTTAAAATCTGAAAGAAAAACAAGAAAAAGAAATTAGAATTTATGGGGTTTTTATTTTATTGAAGATACTTTTAAATATTGATTGTATTTCATGAAAAAAATACAATAATAATAATTTTTAATCAAAGAAGTTTAGTTATGATTTGACAGTTGACACTTTTTTGACATTTGAGGTTATGTTTTTGCAAATTTACCTTATTTTCAAGTTTTTGAAATCGTGAATAAAATATTTATCTCCTCGACCCGTATTAGAACAATTTTTCAAGTTGATTTCATTTTATAACATTTATAATAATATTTTTCCTATTGTTTATTTCTTGCGTTCCTTGCGTTTCTTGCATTTTTGTTTGTTTATTGTTGAAGGAGCAGACGAATTTTTTTTTCTCTCTTCTTACGCCTCTAGTGGTTGCAATCGTTACCAAAAGATTCGAGTGTGACGTGGCCCAAGTGACGGCTACACGAGTCATTAAAAAAAAAATGTGTGTTTAATAAGTTCTTTTTGTTAATTGCTTGTGAAAAATGTTGTAAAAAAATGTGTTAGAAAGTGTTTAAAATATTTTTGTTAATTAATTTTGTCAATATAAACGACAAGGGAATTGTAATCGCTGGTAAGTTGACATTTCTAACCTCTTTCCTCCCTTTTACCCATCATTGTAAAGTTGTCAGATTTTCAATTTGTTCCTTAATTGTTATATTTCCTTAATATTTTGTTTATTTACCCAAATTTCGAAACAATTATTTTTTGTCTTTTCTTTCTGGTTCGGAATTTGGTCAATTTTAACAATCTGGTATGGTTTATTACTTGTCATATGTATTCAATCTGTTTTGTTATATTTGAATATAATTTGTTAATTTTATTGTATTATTATTACTTTGTTTGTAGTATTATTAGTTCGTTTGTATTATTATTAGTTTCTATTATTTTTAGTTTCTATTATATTAAGTTTCTATTATTTTTAATTTCTATTATATTTAGTTTCTATTATTTTTAGTTTCTATTATTTCTAGTTTGTATTATTAGTTCGTTTGTGTTATTTATTCTTCGTTAATAATTAAATGTTAATTAATTGGAATTGAAGAGGAATTTTAATTGACAAATTGATTAGGATGTAATTTTTCTTTATTTATAAGCAAATTTTGTTTGTTTATTGAGACGATTATTTTCCAGTAAAATGACAACTTATGAGGAATTTATACAGCAAAATGAGGATCGCGATGGTGTTCGATTTACATGGAATGTTTGGCCATTGTCACGAGTTGATGCAACACGACTTGTTGTGTCATTAGGAACACTTTATCAGCCAATTAAAGAAAGAAGCGATCTTCCAGCTATTCAATATGATCCGGTGCCATGTAATAGGCCAAATTGCAGAGCAATTTTAAATCCTCTCTGTCAAGTTGATTATCGTGCAAAACTCTGGGTTTGCAATTTTTGCTTTCAAAGAAATCCAGTAAGATTCCGTTTTATTCGATAGAAAATCTAATGATTTATTATTTTTTCTATTATATTATCTTTTATATTATATTTATTTCTATTTTATTTCTATTTCTATTTTCTAATAATATTATCGTCAACAGTTTCCACCTCAATATGCTGCGATTTCTGAACAACATCAACCGGCTGAATTAATTCCAATGTACTCGACAATCGAGTATACGATTATGGTGAGTTTTTCTGTTTATTTTCGAGAGTAGTATTAACGTATTTTCTATACAATAATTGAAATAGAAATTTATTTATTTATTTAATCGGTTTATTAATATTTTACTTGAACCGAGTGTATTTTTAATTTGTTATTTATTTATTTTTTTTAATTTTCAATAGAGAGCACAATGTTTGCCACCGATTTTCTTACTTGTCGTCGATACCTGTATGGATGATGAAGAATTGGGCGCTTTGAAAGATTCCCTACAAATGTCTTTGTCTTTGCTTCCACCGAATGCTCTAATTGGACTCATTACATTCGGCAAAATGGTTCAAGTTCATGAATTAGGTTGCGAGGGTTGCAGTAAAAGTTACGTATTCCGAGGCACCAAGGACCTTCAACCTAAGCAAATCCAAGATATGTTAGGTTTGTATTTTCACTATTTAAACAAAATTTATTTTCCCTTTTTGACAGGGCTCGAACTAGGTCCGTAAATTTGCTTCAAGTTTGTAAAAGTCAATTTTTTAAAAAAAAGGTCCTTAATTTTTTTGAGAAAAGACGAAAAGTTCACAAATTGGACGATATAATTTGGAGAATTTTAGAGAAATTACAAATGATTACAGAAATTCAATTATTTTCAAAAGTACTAAAATTCTTCGCAACAATTCAATTATAGTCAAAAAATTTTTTATATTCTCGTGAAAATTTCAATTATCTTTAGAAATAATAAAATTCTTCTCCGAAATTCAATTATTTTCCAAAATTTTCCTCAATTCAATGATTTTTAATATTTACTATTTTAATACCATTTTTCAAAAAAATTCAATTATTAAAAAAAAAAATTAATTAAATTATTTTTATATAAATAATAACATTTTTTGGAAGAATTCAATTATTTTTATAAATAGTAAAACTTTCGGTAAATATTCAATTATTTTTAACAAAATTTTAATAAAATTTCACGAAAGAATTCAATTATTCTCTAAAATTTTATTAAAATTCGTCGGAAGAAGAATCCAATTATTTAAATTTTTTTTGATAAAATTCTTAATGGGAATTAAATTTTAAGAAACATTCAAATGTTTAATAAATTATTTGTTTATGTATTTAAATAATTGAATTCTAGTAGCGTGAATTTTTAGAAATAATTGAATTTTAAAATTAATTATTTTGAAAAAGTTTAATTTAATTTTTTTATACTATTTGAAGTTTTAATTTTCACATATATATCTAATTGAAGAATTTACGAATAATTGAAATTTAGTAAAATTGAATATTGTAAACAAATAGATTTGAAAATTGTCAAAGTACTTTTTCGAAAATTATAAAAATTGGCCCTTGAATGGTTCTTAATTTTTCATGTTTGGTTCGTATTTTTAAATAATTTCACTAGTTCGAGCTCTGCCTTTTTCCGAACTCTTTAATTTATCATTTGCCTTTCGCCTTTTATTTACAATCTGGATTTTTTCTTTTTTCATTCGCATTTTTATTAGCTTTGCATTTATATTTTTCTTTTCTTTCATTTGGATTTTTATTTTATTTTTTATTCGTATTTTCAGGCATTGGAAGGCCAGTTCCCGGACAAAATCCGAATCAGCAAAGAGGACCAAACGCACAACCGTTGCCACCTGCGAATCGATTCCTTCAGCCGATTCACAAATGTGACATGAGTTTAACTGATCTTTTAGGAGAATTGCAAAAAGATCCTTGGCCAGTTGCGTCCGGTAAACGTTATCTCCGCTCGACGGGCGTTGCCCTCGCGGTTGCGACCGGATTACTCGAGGCCAGTTACGCAAATACTGGCGCAAGGTAAATAGAAAAATACCAACAATTTTCCTCTCTTATTCTTTTCTTTAACTGAAAAATAGCTAATTTTGACTATTTTCTTTTTTGTTAATTTAATTAATCATAGCTAATATTTTCTTCTTTTTTTCTTTCTTAAAGAATTATGCTCTTCGTTGGAGGTCCATGCTCCCAAGGACCGGGCCAAGTTGTCACTGACGATCTCCGTCAACCGATAAGATCCCATCACGACATACACAAGGACAATGCGAAACATTTGAAAAAGGCGACAAAACATTATGACGGTTTAGCTGCGCGTGCAGCGGCAAATGGTCACGTCATTGATATTTATTCCTGTGCTCTCGATCAAACTGGCCTCTTGGAAATGCGACAATGTTGCAATTCAACCGGCGGTCATATGGTGATGGGCGATTCATTCAATTCAACATTATTCAAACAAACGTGGCAACGTGTCTTTGCAAAGGATTCAAAGGGCGATTTGAAAATGGCATTTAATGCAACGCTCGAGGTGAAAACATCGCGTGAAATAAAAGTTTGCGGCGCAATTGGTCCGTGTGTGTCGCTTGGCGTTAAGGGCGCGAGTGTCGCTGATCAGGAAATTGGTTTGGGTGGTACTTGTCAGTGGAAATTTTGCTCATTAACACCCTCGACAACGACGGCATTATTTTTCGATGTCGTCAATCAACAGGCAGCGCCAATTCCTCAAGGTGGTCGGGGTTGTATTCAATTTATCACTCAGTATCAACATTGCAGCGGTCAACGGAGAATTCGTGTCACGACAATTGCGAGAAAGTGAGTTAAATTCAAAAATTTTAATCAAAATTAGTGATAATAATAAATTATTTTTAAGAAAGGTTCTTTTTTTTAAGTTATTGAAATTGAATATAAATTTTCTTTTTAGTTGGGTTGATGCATCGACGTCTTTACATCACGTGAGTGCAGGATTCGATCAAGAGGCAGCTGCAGTTTTAATGTCGAGATTAGCAGTATTTAGAAGTGAATCTGACGATGGAGCTGATGTTCTTCGTTGGGTTGATAGAATGCTAATTAGACTCGTGAGTTTTTTTCCCTTCATTTATCAGAGACAGGGCTCGAACCAGTGAAAGTATTTAAAAATACGGACTTTAAGGACCAAAGATTAATAATTACTGACAAAAATATAACCAGTCCGAGACAAATAAGAGACTTAGTAAGACTTAAAACTATAAATTAAATTTTTTAACAATAAAACATGAAGATATCGATAACTCCGAGTCTTCGACTCGAAGTGATCGTTTCTTCATGTTTTATAATAATTAAAGATGACCGAGTGATAAAATCATTATCAATTCAATTATTATTTTCAAGAATATCTAAAATTCTTCTTTCAATCGATTATTTTTAATAATTTGCGAAAAAGTTCTTTAATAATTTTCAAATCCATTTGTTTACAATATTTAATTTTACGAAATTTATTTCAAAATTCACGCTCTAATGCTTTTAATATTCAATTATTATCTAAAATTTTAAGTGAAATTCATTTTAAATTCAATTTTGATTAGAAAACTACTAGAATTCAATTATTAACATACAAACAAAACAATTTATTAAATAATTGAATGTTTCTTAAAATTCAATTCTCATAAAGAATTTTATCAACAAATTTTTAAATAATTGAATTGTTTCGACAAATTTTAATAAATTTTTTAAGAATAAAATTACATTTTTCAAGAAATTCGATTAAATTTGTATTAAAAGTAATTGAAATTCTGCGATGATTTTTATTATTATTTGTGAAAATAATTGAATCCCTAAGAAGAATTTCATTATTTTTGAACAATATTTAATTTTTGCAAAGAATATTATTACTCTTGAAAATAATTGAATTTCTGCAATAATTTGTAACTTTTTCAAAATTAAATTTTTTTTCGTGTTTTCAACTAAAATTCTTCTATAAATTCTTTATTTTTAAATAATTGATTGTTTGCACTTTACCGAAAGATTTTATTCCTTATAAAAATAATTGAATGCTTGCAAAGAATTTTATTAAATTTTTTTTAAAATAATTGAATTCTTTTGGAAAATTTTCTTAAACAATTGAAATTTTGCTAAGAATTTTATTAATTTTTTGAAAATAATTGAATTCTTGTGATGAATATTGTTATTTATGAAAATAATTGACTTTCTCCGAATAATTTTATTATTTATAAAAATAATTAAATTCCTGAAAATGATTTTTAAATTTTTCAAAATAATTGAATTACTGCGAAGAATTTAATGCCAAATTTTAGAACATTTGATTTTTTCGAAAAAATTTATGCAAATTCTATTTTAAATAATTAAATTTCTATGAAATTTTTATTTGTTTGGAAAATAATTGAATGTTCATGTAAAATATTAACAAAATTTTTGTTTAATAATTGAATTCTTTTGGGAAATTTTATTAAAATAGTAGAATATTGAAAATCATTGAATTAATAAAAATTTTTGAAAATATAATTTAAATTTTGCTGTGAATTTTATTAAAATTTTTGAAAATAATTGGATTTTATTAATTTTAAAAATAATTGAATTCTTGTGACAAATACTATTATTTATGAAAATAATTAAATTTGGCTATAAATTCTATTAAAATTCCTGAAAATAATTGAATTTTGTTGAAGAATTTTGCTATTCGCATTCATAAAGATAATTGAAATGTTGATAAATTTTTTAGATTTTTTGAAAATAATTGGATTTTTGCAAAGAATTTTATTAATTTTGAAAATAATTGAATTTCGAAGAAGAATTCTATTAATTTTGAAATTAATTGAATTTCGGAGAAGAATTCTATTAATTTTGAAATTAATTAAATTCTTGCGATGAATATTCTTAATTATGAAAATAATTGAAATTTTGTCAAGAATTTTATTAAACTTTTTGAAAATAATTCAATTTCGGAGAAGAAATTAATTATTTCTAAAGATAATTGAAATGTTGACGAGAATTTAAAAAAATTGTTGAACATAATTGAATTTCTGCGAAGAATTTTATTACGTTAGAAAGTAATTGAATTTATGCAATCATTTGTAATTTCTCTTAAATTCTCCAAATTTTATCGCACAATTTACGAACTTTTCGTCTTTCTTCAATTAAATTACCTACTCTACGGACCTTTTTTTTTTATAAAACTGACTTTTACGGACTTGAATCAAATTTACGAACCTTTACAGGATTTACGGACCCAGTTCGAGCCCTGTAGAGACAAGTATAAATTATAATAATTTTTATTTGAATTATGATTCTTTTTATTAATGTCTGGAAAAATTGATTAAAAACGAAAATCATCTTCCATAATTAATAATCTTTTTTTGAAATAACTTTTTAGTGCCAGAAGTTCGGAGAATATTCGAAAGACGATCCGAACAGCTTTAGACTCGCTGAAAATTTCTCTTTATACCCTCAGTTTATGTATCATCTGCGTAGATCGCAATTTCTTCAAGTATTTAATAATTCTCCTGATGAAACAAGTTTCTACAGGTGAGCAATTTTTAAAGAAAAATAACTTTTTTTCTTATTAATTAGTAAATAAGTATTAATAAGACTAAAATAATTATCTGAGAGGAGAATGCTAATATAATTTTGTTTCAGGCATATGTTAATGAGAGAAGACCTAACTAATTCCTTGATTATGGTTCAGCCCATTTTGTACAGTTATGGTTTTGGTGGTCCACCTGAACCAGTTCTACTTGACACTTCGTCAATTCAACCTGATAGAATTCTTTTGATGGACACCTTTTTCCAAATTTTAATATTCCACGGAGAAGTATGTTGTGATTATTTATTTATCATTGATTATTAATAATTCAAAAGAATATATTTAATAAAGTAACGAAAAGAATTAATTTAATTAAAAACTGACACGAAATATTTTTTTATTTTTAGACAATAGCACAATGGCGACAGTCCAAATATCAGGATCTTCCAGAGTATGAGAATTTCCGTCAATTGCTCGTTGCTCCAAAAGATGATGCAGATGAAATTTTAGCAGTAAGATTTCCTGCTCCCAGGTACATTGACACGGAACAAGGTGGCTCGCAAGCTCGTTTTCTATTGAGTAAAGTGAATCCAAGTCAAACACATAATAATATGTACGCTTATGGAGCGGTAAGTTGACACTTTTTTTAAAATTATTCAAATATTCAATTTTTATTTTATTAATTAGAAAAGAATTTAATACTTTCTCATCTGACGAGAATGTAAAAGAATTTTTGTTTCATAATTATCAAAAATAAGAGACAATTTTTAATTATTGAAAAATCATTTAATAAAGCTGTAAATGTAACATCATTTCAATCATTTGATTTAATGATATTTTATGTTACCATGATCCTGTGAACCAGGGGATGCCGATTCCTAGCGGGGTGTGTTTTTTTAAGAAAATAAAATTTTTTTTCCTTTGAATACTTTTTTATGGGGTCTTTTTTGGTGAAATGTCTTTTTTTAAAAAAAAGATATTATTTTAATTCATAATTTTTCGCACTTTAAACTAACACTAAATTTTTAAATCACCTCTACTTTGCCCTTTATCATTCGAATTATTATCATTCAAACATAACATCTTTGTATATATATATTTACGCTTTTCATTAACAAGAAAACTATAATTTTATCACAAAATAGTTTGATATTAGATAATATTGTAAATATCAATTAATGTCAAATTATTCTTGATAAATGTTATAATAATAAAATGTATATAATTTTATTGAGAAATATGCGCAATTAAAATTAAAAGAAAATAAATGCTAAAAAAGTCACACGTGAAATAATCTATTTTTCGAAATGGTGAAGGTGCTTTTTTGATATTTGCTTCTATGATTTTTTACGTGATATTTTTCTCTTAATTTCTATTCTCTGATTGTTATTTTATTTTTTATTCAGGAAAGTGGAGCTCCTGTTCTAACAGACGATGTGAGTCTTCAAGTGTTTATGGAGCATCTAAAAAAATTAGCTGTCTCGTCCACTGTTTAAATTTAAATTCTAAGATTATGTAGAAGTATGTGCAACAAAAAAAAAAGAAGAAAGAAATTTATATTGTAATTATAAATCTTAAATTTAATTTAATGAAACAAGTTTACGTATATTAAGAAAGTGGAGGTTATTGTCGTGAACTTATTCCAATGTAATGTACCACAATGCATTTTTTAAAAACTCGTATTGTAAAAAAAATTATAAAATTAAATAATTATTAATAAAATAGGTGACTTGATAATTTCCATTTTTCGTTTTTAATGCGACTTTTATCGAATTACATTTAAAAAATACGACTTTTTCGACTTTCTTTTACAAATGCGACAAAATACCACATTTTTGGTATAAACTGCAACTTATTTCGATTTTTATTAGTTTGAAAAGTATAATAGACAAAATTCTTTGAAAAGTTATTTTTGAATAATTTTTCTAATGAAATTTTCGAAATATACAATTAAAAAGCTTTTGAATAATAGAAATTATTTAAAAATATTATTTTATATTTTATTATTTTTAATATTAATATTACTTAATATTATTTCATTATTTTTAATAATAATTATTCAATAATATTATTATTATTTTTGTAAAATTCAATTGAAAATAATTGATTTTTTTCAAGTATTTTATTATAAATTTTGAAAAATCAACTTTTCAATTTGCAAAATTTTGAAAATAATTGAATTCTCAAAAATTTTAATTCTTCATTCATTCTAATTATTGAAATTCAATTATTTTCAATATTTTCGATTACATATTTCCGAAAATTCAAATAAATACAAAAAATAATAATTTATAATATTATTTATAATAATAAAAAAAACATTTTGGAGAAAATAATCATATTCAAAATGTTTAATTAAAATTCTTCAAAAAATTAAATATATTTTTTTTAAATTATACAAAACTTCTTTTTATAAATTCAATTATTTTCGAAAAATTACATTAAATATTTATAAAAAACGAATTTTTAAAATTGTTTTATAATAATTGTTTAAAATTCAATTACCTTTAAACAAAGTAAATTAAAATTTTTTTAAAACCTATTAAAATTTTGGAGAAATTATTTATAGGTAATTAAAATTCTTCAAAAATTTGATTATTTTCTTTATAGTTTTTAAAAACGCAATTATTTTAAAAAAATTTATATTAAATTTAAATTATTTTTCAAAGATTTCATCAAATTTCAATTATTATTTTTCAAAGATTTTATCAAATTTAAATTATTTTTTAAAGATTTTACCAAATTTCAATTATTTTTCTAAAAGATATTACCAAATTTCCAAATTTGTTTATTAATATAAATAATCTTTTGAATTAATATTAATTTATTATTAATGTGATTAACATTTACATAATTTTATTATATTATAATTTTAATATCAAGTTAATAAATTAATATATTAATACTATTAATATAAAATAAACACAAATAAGTTTGATACTTTAATTTATTATATTTATTTTTATATTTCACAAACTTTAACCATTTTTTACACACTTATGGTATTGTTGTTTCAATACCAAAAATAATATTTTACATAACTACATTATAGAAACACAAGGTCACTTTTAATAAATAATAATTCGAATGTATTTTAAATACATTCGTCTATTAATTTTCTCTTTACAAACAAAAAATGCTTTTTATATTAATTTTTTTTTTGGGAGAAGCTTGCAATTAATTTATTGCTCGTTAATTTAGAACTTATTTTTGATTTGGCCAATCGGGAAAAAATAATTTACCCAATTGCTTTTATGGATTTAAATTCAAAACAAGATGTTCTAAAAATTTTTTCCACTTGACCAGAATTTTAATAAATAAAATTTTAATTTAACTGAGAAATCGAATAGACATCTTTTGCTCGACGTCCGTTCTTTCCAGTGCCTTACAAAATTCTTCAAACGATATCATTCCATCGCCATTTTCATCTGCCTCCAAAATTGTACGCTCTGCAATACTCGTTAATTGTTCCTCACTAAATAATACAAGTTTCTTTTTTAGTAATCGAGAAATTTGATTGAAATTATTTATTAACTTGATGAAATTGTTTACCTTATATTCGCCCCAACCATCATGTGTAAAATAGCCAATAGTTCCTCTTTTGAAATTAAATCGTCATTGTCCAGATCGTACATTTTAAATGCAACTGAAAGAAAAATATACTTTGAATATTTTTCAAAGTATATAAAGATATTTTATATTTATATTTTTACATTTTGATTTGACTTACATCTCAGTTTTTCCTGTCTGCAATTTAAACGATTAGGACTATTCTTCTTAATAGGCCTAAAGTGAGAAAGCACTTGCATAAATTGAAGGAAATTAACCCGATCATTGCCGCTTTCATCGAAGAATGCATTAACAATTCTATCACCCAAGGGATTTATTGCCAATTCCGGTATTCTCAAAAAGTCCTCTCGACTCAATGTTCCACAATCTCCACGATCAAGACTTGTAAATCGACTGTAGAGACGTTCAATTTGATTCGGAGTAACTGAATAAGAAAAAATTCAATACATTTATTTTATTAATAAAATTAATAAAATACTTCAGAGAATTCAATTTTAAAGAGCAAAAAATGACAATTTACTTTGACGTAACAATAAAAAATGACGTAACATTTATTGATAATTATTGCAATAATAAAAAGTTTTAATAGTTATAAAAAAAAAATTGATTTTCGATGTCAAAAATATGCTGAGAATGTAATGTTCCACTTTTTTAAAATACTTAACGAGTAGGACATTATTTTTAAATTACACTTTTGATAACCATAATCATATCATAATGTAAATAATAAAATTTTTATAATACAAACATCCAGTTGCTTCCTGAATTTGAGCAATTTCCTCCTCCCGCAACAATAAACTGGAACTGTTTCCCATTTTTTTGCACAATTAATAATATTAAAAATCAATATAAATTATTCAGAAACTCAAACATGCATGTTTAGATATACTATTCAATAAAAGAGCAAAGTGCGTTTAATTGTCAATGTTGTAATAACACCAACAACACAAATAACACAAAACTGTTTTTTTCAGGTTAGAATCGCGGAGTGCTCTGAAGTTAGTCCATATCGAATATCGAAACTTCGAGAGAGTCGCGCCCAACAATCGATTGCAGCATTCGAGATATAACCAAGATGGCTGCCGATCAATCCGGACGTATTCTTTCCTCTCTCTCAAAAGTTTTCATTTTTAGTAAGTATTTTACAGCTTTTAGTTTATTTTTCTTCATAAATTATCTCAATTATGGATAGTTTGTGAAAAATACGACAAATATTGTATTGATTTGATAAAAATATTGATGGATTGAGTCAAATACGGTAAGACAATACTCAAGGCATTGATTGCGAACTTACGCAAATTTGCAATCAAAAATATGTTTATTTCCCTTTGTATTCGCAATATACGAAGGAAATTGTTGGTATACTGAATATTTTTCATCCTAAATCTGAAAAATCAATATTTTTCAGATTTGGGATTGTAAAATTTTCAGTATATGTATGTATTGGATACGTACTTGTTAATGCCCCTTGATCAGGCAACCAGTCGTACATTTCGTTGTACATAAAAAGTTCGATTGGAACTTTAATTATTATCAATTAATTTACAGTTTAAGCTTATTTAACGTTTTTTTTTGCTAGAAATAGGCAAACAATGTGAGAAAATAAGGCGAAAATGGTAATTGCGGTTAAAAATAATCGAAGCGAGCGAAATAATATATAGGTAATTGATACGATTTAGACAAAAACGTGTTTTGGGTTTCAACATTTCACTTCTTTTTCGAAGTGAAAAAACAAAATTTATTCCAATTGATCATAATTTCATCAATTTTAACGTCATTTTCCGCTTCTACTCACGGGTGAATATTGTTTGCACAATTTTTCTTGTATACCTATGTTTGATTAGGACATACAAGCCAGGTGGTGACCGATCACCACGGATCGTTTTTATTCTCATTTTTCATTTTTAAAACATGGTATACGATAGTCTGAGCGAAAAGTACAATATTTTTCTCCGAATTTCGTTAAAAAAAATTTTTTTTATATATTTTGTCAATATTTAATTTACTAATTTAAAATTTTTCTAATTTGAGGTTATGTTTCTTTCCTTTTTGACTTTAAGTTTCAATTTATTTTTTGGAATCATTTATTTAACAATGTTTTACTGGTGTCACTACAGTGAACTGTTTTTTTCAATAATGAATACAATTAATGTTAAATTTTGATAATGAATTTTGTTAATATTGAATTAAATAATTTTAAACAAATTTTTTCAATTAGTGATTAAATTTCTTTTCTTCGGACTTTAATTTCAATCCATTTGTTTTGTAACATTTTCTATTTAAAAAATTTTAACGCAATTCTTTGAAAGAATTTAAGTATCTTAATTCTTTTCAGAAATTCAATTATTTTCAAAAATTTTTTTAAAAATTCTGATCAACATTTTAATTATCTTTATAAATATAGCAAAATTCAGTTATATTCAGGAATTTATTTATAAAATTGATTGTAAAATTTAATTATTTTCACAAATATTCATCACAAAAATTCAATTATTTTCAAAATTAATCAAATTCTTTGCAAAAATTCAATTATTTTCAAAAAATCTAAAAAAAAAATTGTTAACATTTCAATTATCTTTATAAATAGCAAAATTCCTCACCGAAATTCAATTATATTCAGGAATTTATTTATAAAATTGATTGTAAAATTCAATTATTTTCATAAATAATAGTATTCGTCACAAGAAGTCAATTATTTTTAAAAGTAATACCAACATTAAATTATTTTCCAAACAAATAAAAATTTCACAAAAGTTTAATTCTTTAAAATAGAATTTGCATAAATTTTTTCGAAAAAATTAAATGTTTTAAAATTTGGCATTAAATTCTTCGCCGCAGTAATTCAATTTTTTTTTCAAAAGTAATAAAATTCTTTTCAGGGATTTAATTATTTTTATAAATAATAAAATAATTTGGAGGAAGTCAATTATTTTCATAAATAATAATATTCATCGCAAGAATTCAATTATTTTCAAAAATTTTAATACAATTCATTGCAAAATTTCAATTATTTTCGAAAATTTTTCTTAATTAAATAATTTGTATATCTATTATTTTAATAAAATTTCCCAAAAGAATTCAATTATTTAAAAACAATTTTGACAAAGTTCACAGGAATTGAATTGAAGAATTTCCGAATAATTCAAATTTTGTAAAATTGAATAGTAAACAAATGAATTATATGAAGATTCTCAAATATAACTTTTTGAAAAATTATTAAAAATAATTTATTTAAAGAAGAATTTTATTTAAAAATTTTAGAAAATAATAATTGAATTGAAATGATGAAAATATAATTTTAATGAAGTTTAGTAACATATATTCTTATATTGTAATATAAAATAATGATTTTATTTCTCGGTCATCTTTAATTATTGTAAGTTATTCAATTTCAAAAGATTTGAATTAGAAATTTCAAAAATCTTAGTTCCCATGAAAAAATAGTAATGATTAAATATTTTTGAGTATCTAATAATCATTTTTAGAGTGAATCAGAATATTTTTTATTGTCAGGGAAAAAGTCAGTCTGAAAATCAGGGAAAAACAAAATTATAAATTTTTGTGGCAACCCTGTTATAATAATTTGTAATTGTAAATAAATAATAAAAGAAAATTAATAAAATATCAAAAGGCAAATTTTAAAATAGTAAAAATAAAGAAGAAAATACGAATATATATTAGTTAAAAAATAAGATTTTGAAATTATTTTTCCGTGAAAATGTGCCTGTCAATTAATTAAAAATGAAATAATTTATATGGATTCTAATGTGTTTTAAAATGAATATGAGAGGATTTTGGAATTTAAGGGATTATTTGAGGGTGGAAAGGTAAAATGTGTATTAAGTGTATGGTTATTAGATTTCATATAAAGGGATGTGCGTGGAGGGAAAAGAAAGGGGTCTGGTTGATAGAGAAAGAGCTTTGGGTCACTTAGAGGTTGTCAGGGGGGCCTCTCCCTCGGCCTCTTTTTCCTCCTCTTGATATAGCTTCTCAGGTTACAAACCTTCCATTAGCCTCATCATGCGAAGCAATGGCTGTTATATTTCTCCTTGCTTCTATAAACTTAATTTCTTAATTGAACGTAATAAACGAAATTATATTCTTTGCTATATATATCGCACTAAGAATTACATTTTTTTAATTTCATACATTTTTTCCTCTTTTTTTGGACAACAGGAATATTATTTTTCGCAATTATTTTCAAAATTACTTGAACTTCAAAATACTAAATGTTTTCTTTTAATTTATACCTTCTCGTATTATCTTATTTTAAATTTAAGTAGGTTAATTGTATAAATCCCATTACTGTGCAAAGAGAACACATCAGTATCTTTAGAAGAGTTTTTTTTTATAACTTTGAAAAATGAGGAAACTTTACATAGTATTAAGAGATAAAAAAAAATTACGAATGTTACAAGTTATTATTTTTCTGTTAAATTGTTGAAGAAAATTATCTTGACAGTTTTTCTGCTATTATTATTTTAATTATTTTTATCTATAACAATGCGGTAAATTTAATTGAAATTACTTTTTTAATAAACAAATTTTTTGTTAATTAAATTCGTATTTAATATTATATTTTTATTTATAAGTATTTTATTATTTTCTTGTTTCTTATGATATGTTTTTTTGTAGGTAAAAAATGGAAGACTGGACATTTACAATTTGCAATTAATCTACATAAAAAGACGAAAACATCGAAATAGTTATTTTTGCTGTTGATGGCAAACTCGGGAAAATGGTACTTGAACCGGAAACTAAACGAGTGAGTAGAAATTTACAACAAATTTTTTAAATGAGTAAGTAGAAATTTAAAACAAATTTTATTATTATACAAATATAAAAAGAATTCAATGGCGTCGAATTTTAATTTCGTAAAATAAAATGGAAACGTCTGAAAAATTATAAATATGCGTAGAAAATTCTGAAAAAATAATATAAATAGGAATAGGTTTTTTAAAAAGTCGTAATATTTGAAATAAAATATATATTTTTTATATTCAAAATTAATTCTTTTCATTTTTATTGAAAAAATATAAAACATATTTTGTCAAAAATCTATATTTTATCTTATTTTGTCGAAAAGTAATATCAAGTAGAGAAATATTATCTTATACATAGTCTCATCGTTTCTCTTCTAAACATTATTGGTAAAGGTTGGATCTACTTCATGTTATGATTAACCGGAAGAGAATAGTGTTTTTCTTGCGTATGTATCTTCGGTTATATATAAATGTCTCATCCACTTCCACCGAGAATCCCCTGAAACATGAAAAATAATTGCGTGTTGATAGTGATAATAACACGATTATAAGGAAGTGAAAACAATTTTTTTTAACGACGGAAAAAATTTATTTTTTTTATGGTTTTCAGAAAACTGTTTTGGACGAAGGACATTTTTATTTTATTTATTTATCCATTTTTGTATTATTTGTATTTTTTTAATTTGATTATTTATAATTATAAAGAAATTAAAATTAATTGAATAAAAATTTTATAAAATTTCAATTTTCAATGAATTTATTAATTAGAAATTTTAAAGAATTTAGATTTTTGAAAAATAGAAAAAAAAACTTCACGCAAAATTATAATTTTAATTGAATTCAATAAATTATGAATAAAAATTAATAAAAAATAAATTTAAATATGAATTTTAGTTAAAAACACTGAAATAATTACATTTTTTTAGAAAAGTTACAAATGATAGCAGAAATTCCAATTATTTTCAAAAATAATGAAATTCTTCACAGAAATTCAATTATTTTCAAAAATAATCAAATTCTTCGCAGAAATTCAATTATGTTCAAAAATTAAAAAAAATTCTCGTCAAAATTTCAATTGTCTTTAAAAATAATAAAATTCTTCTCCAAAATTCAATTATTTTCGAAAATATTAATAAAATTCTTTGCAAAAATTTCAATTATTTACAAAAATTTTCCTCAATTTAATGATTTTCAATATCAATGATCAATTTTCCAAAAGAATAATTAAAGGTTT